TTTTTGCCTTCCACTTTATGGCTCAAGCGTGATTACACAATAAACAGTTAAAATCTTTATATTTAAAAGGTTGAACGACAATAATCCATTTACCTGGCAGCTGGCTTCAGGGATGAAGGTCAAAGGGAACTTGCTTTTCTGGTTCATCATCTTCACGGGCTTAGAGTTACTCTGTAAACAAAGAGAAATCCAACGGGATAAACTCGCAACACTGTTACAGATAGATCATTAAAAAAAAGATTGTGAATCTTAACTTGTATGAATTTAGTACAGCTACTTTCTTTCCTCTGGTGTGCCTACTATTATATAGTTGCTAAAAAGTTTTGCCATAAAATATGGAATATTCAGCTTCAAGCCTTTTGAGCTGATCTCTGTCTATAGGACTAATATGTCAATGCACAAAACAAACTGTTTGTGTTTGGAATCTTTAAAAAAAAACTAATATTGATATTATCATAATTATTTTACAGAAACTCACTCAAAGAAATCTTAGTAAATTGTCCAACAGCTGTTATTCAATTAAGATGCTTCCAAAACTAAGAGCAATATAGAGTTTTCATCCATTGTGTAAAATATGAGTACTTTCTGAATGATTTAGATATCTCCCATCGAGCTTTCTTTGGCCTTTAGTTTTCAGTAAACAACATGAACATAGCGCTGGGCACTTCATTGTCATCAATTTGTTTCTCAGCTCTGTAAAATTATGACTTTGTTTTTCCACTGATCTTATGATTTCCGTGGATTTTCCCAAGATACCCATTTTCATTCCTGGATGACTCCAACCCCCCGACACATCGATTTCTGCCTCGATGTGATTTTTTTTTTTTTTTAAGCCTACCACATTTTCGACTTTTGGATGTACCTTCACTTTTAGTATGGATCCTTCGTTTTATAAACCTGTTGGATTTTGAAAGGTATTCATGTTCACCTTGGTGAGCCTGAACTGAGCGTCGCGTGTGGCACTCTCCTGAAACTTCTTGCTCCAGCTGCCTTTGAAGTAGATGGCGTTGACCAGCACCAGCCTGGTCAGGTTGCCCAACACGCCACTGGGCAGTAAATCCTTAATTTTACCTGAGGAACAAAATGTGTTCACATATGAAAGTTCTGAAGCATTTCTGATGCCCTTTATCATGTTTACTGTGTTCCATTGACATTTTCCGGCCTCAATGGAAAGTTAATACACGACAGTTATCAAGGTAAATAGAGATTTTGTAGTTTTTGTTGTCCACCTTGTGTTTGGTTCTCCACCCAGCCGTTGATGTTAACCCTGGCTGCTTCTGAGCTTTTGATGAAATCCACTGTCTCCAGCTCAGCATTATAGTGCTTTCTGGTCTTTCCTAAGAAATCCTGAAACCAGTAAACACTTCTTTACAGACAGAATTGTATTCTGACTATCTCCCTTTATCCTGTTCTATTTTTTCCCAAAGGTTTGCCCCTCTATCATTCATAAAAAAACCACACCCACGATGGTGAAACAGACATACCTCAACAAACTGGAAAGACTGCTCTCCGTACAGCCTGTTGGCGACACTCAGAGCGTACGGAGCGTCTGACTTGTTGAGCTCGGACAGAAGCTGAGAAAAGCTGCTGTGAAGCTCATCCTGACATCCCTGCGTTTTCAGGACCTGTGGAAAAAGTCAAGTTATGTGTCAAAGATCTCAAATATTGCATATCAATCACGCTTTAAAAGCTAAAGCATGTTTGCATTTACGTCCGATTGAATTTTTTTTGTTCCTGTAAAATGACTTTCTTTGACCTAGTTTGTCGTGAAAGAAAAATTGGAAGAGTTGGAGCATCTGAAATGTGGATATTCAAATGATATCGTTATACTGCACTGAACAATATCACATGATGTTTGGAATGTCAATGGAGAGATCTACAAGTTCTCTGAAAAGATTGGGGTTGTGGAAATTATTGTTTTTTTTATTGCAATCTCAAATCTTCTTACAATCCAACACAAATCATTTCAAAGGTTGAAATGATTTGTGGAAGAGTTTCAGAGCTGATGGAGACATATTCATAATCAAATTGCATCCATTTTTTCTGCAGTTGAGATTAAAGCTGATCAAACCTGGCACCAATGACTCATTTTCAGTGATTTTCTTGTGCTCAAACATGCCTCCAGTCCTTTAATCTTTTGATGAGATCTACAATAGATGATGAAACACTCGTGTACTCTGTCATTTAACACCTAGGAACACGATTGGAAAATTTCCTCAGAATTTGTAGTGAGAGGTGCCTAATCTCTGCCAGTTTTTCCAAGATTCAATAAAGTATTATTCTTTTTTCAGGCCTTTTGTTGAGCCCACTCCAATGCTTTAAACTTTTTTAACAAAGTGTTGAAATGTCTAAATGTGTTAATTTCCTGTGTTTTGTTTTGAATAAATAATTATTCAGGAGATTTACGAAAACACTGAATTATATTTTTATTTGTATTGTTCACAGCCTCCCAACCTATAAAAACAGGATAGTTTGAAATGTATTAACTTAGCTTTTTGTCATTAGTTAATGGATAAAGTGGCACATTGTGTACTGCAACAGTTAGATTTAACAGTAAAACAGAATGATTTGCTGAAAATAAATAAGAAAAGAACAGGTGAAAAAAAAGAGCCCATTTTATACCTTCAATAAAAGAACCCACATCCCAAAAGCTAACGAGTCTTCCCATAAATATAAACAGAGTTATAAAGCAACATGCTATCCTTTCCAAAAAGTCCAAAAATGTCAAGATGATTTTTTCTTCATCTCCTCTGTGCATACTGTGCATCCACAGCATTTCAGCACACAGAAAATAACACAGGGTGCTTTGTTGCATTGCAGTTTTTACCCCAATGTTAAAGTTAAAGACCACAAGAAGAGAACAGAAGAGAACCATCATGATGTCAAACTGTGGAACCACCGCCTCTTTGTTTCCCGGGAACCCGTCACCACAGACCACCACCCAGCGCCCCTGTTAGTAACGCGTGCCCCCGTTAGCACGGAGCCTCTTTATTACTGGCTTTGTCACCACCTTCAGAAAGTTTGGCAGTCTGGAATGAGCCTGCTGTTGCATCTGCATCTGCTGTCCTCCTGCTTTCTGCGCCTCCTCTGCCTTTGCGAAGCAGAGAACCTACGGGTGCAATTGGTAGTGACCGCACTGACGTTAGACCTCATTTCATAATGTGTACAGTTAGTCGTGGTACCAGTAGTGTGTGGACTGGGTTGCGTTCTGCAGGCACTGCACACTTTAGTACCCTCAAGATTTCCTTTTAATCCAGGGTTCTTATCCAAACCTAAGTGGATAAGTCGAGTGTTTGCTTATCAAGCTTCAAAAGTAGTCCACCATTACATGCCATCAGGACGTCCCTTTGACAGGCTAGTTGCATTGAAAAGGGAATGAGTGAACTTGGATCTCATGAGTTCAGGAACAGAGAATGACTCTCCGGTACCTTGAGGTTTCCACTTAAAAACTAACAAACGAAATAAAAAAGCGGCTAGTATAGAATGAACAGTGAAGATAAAATCTAAATAAAATGTCTGCATGGCTCAACGCGTGCGATGATGACGAACTGCCGCAGCCGGTTCGGGTTTCCCTCCAAAACCGTGATCTTTATAGCTTGTGATTCCCATCTTAAGGACACACACAAAGTTAACAAAACAAAACGTACATTTATGTAAACATGGACCGTTTTAAAAAAAAAAACTCCAGTATTGCATGACATTGACAAACAGAATAATTGACAAAATTGCTCATTAGTTCCAATGATATATCCTGGTATTTGTCTAGAGCCATCTTTTTAATGACCTTTTAAAATGCTAACATATGGAGTATTTTAGAAGAGGTGCAGGGTGCACTAAGAAAACATAATATTTCTATTATGAAGTGATGAATGTCAGTATCAGTTACACTTCTGAAGCTGTACACAGTCAGATATTAGATCATTGAAGTTGATATATGAGTCTTAATGATTACATCTTGGAAATAGCTCTCTAGGTTGATTAAACAAATCATGCATGCATTATTCTGATAAATGTTAAAGATAAAGTTTTTTTTAGAAGTACTAATACAAAAAAGTACAAACACTAATGGGAAATGTGTATAAAACTGCGCAATGATTATGACCAGATGCAATTTCGCCCATTTCCCAACTCTACTGAATCACTATACAGATAGATAGTTTCAGTAAAATCTTATGACCTCTTACAGTTACTCATGGTTCCAAATTCCCATCTATTTTCTTGTGCAACAGCTACCAAAACAGGCTTTAACTAGTCAAACTTCAAACAAACTTATTCTTGACACTAACAGAATAAAGCTTGCCAATGCATGCGGTATCTTCTACTTAAGTTCCAATAAATGCATTATTATTCTAAGTCTTAAGTCATAGTTTCTAATGAATGGGGTTGTTACTCAAGCCCGGGGTCAGGTCAGATAATGGGCGAGGCAGTTCCCTCCCATGTAGTCATCCACACTGACTTGACTTAACTGGGTGTGGTGTCACTTAATAAAAACTTGACACAATCCTGTCTTAAAGTGTCAACTTCCACAAAGATTGGAAAAAAAGGAAAAAAAACACTGCATTATTCTGGTTGGCCTCGGAAAAACTGACTACAAGAAGAAGCTTTTGGTAATGGATTTTACAGTATGCTGATATCTGTTTCTTAGAAAGTTACTATAGGGAGTTAATGTTTAACTGCTGTATCCATAAAAAAGTCCCACAATGTGTACAGGACACAGTTTATTCCCTAAATGTAACTGCTGTCCTAGTTTAAATGAAAAAGGTAATGAATGGTAAAACCTTTGTCGTACCAGAAAATGTACTCTGTTGCTATGCACTGCTTGGGTACATTTCAACAGATCTTTATTGTTTCTATATTATTTATCATATTGCCATAGTAACAAAGAACAAGCCTGGTCGTGATAAAACCCCTGACAGAGTTTGAGCACGACTGACAATTTCTGCTGACACGGAAAGATAAAGCCAGTGACTCATGGACTTTTACACCTATCCATATCTACGTGTTTTTTTCTTTCACTGTGTGGCGTTTTCCTGATCGCGTCTTTATGAAATGTGACCCTGTAAGTGTGAGCAAAGTCAGAAACAACTTAAGCTGCGCTATCGTACAGAAGGACAGTCGGTGTTTAAATGAGGTTAAGCAGTACCTCTGACATCTGTGTGGCCGTGTTGCCTCTGGCCCCCAGCATAACCATAGCCAGGGCTGAGGAGATGCTGAACGGGGAGTAGAAGACATTTGCAGTCTTGTCGTTATCACCCAATGTTTTGAGCAAAGCCAAGGAGAAGCTGGTGTTGGCCTTGGCTAGAGGGGTAAATGATTCCATTGTGCCTGTGGAAAGGGATGTGTACTAATCACTGACTTGAATAAAATGTTCTACTTCTCTTCTTGGATCACACTCCACAGTTGAGCCACAAGTCACACACAGTGGAAATCTGCACACAACGAACTGGTGTACATATATGAATGCAATGTTTGTCATTTCTTCATAATTTATTGATCAATAAGAATTTTCTATAGAGTAATGCACATCTTTGTTGATGTTTATACCACTTTAAGACATTGAGTTACACTGGAATGCCGTAAAATAATCTGTCAAAATAGTAAAAAAAAGGTCTTACACTACCTTCCCAATTACACAGAGATTTAAATGTAGAAAATAGTTAGAGATTTAACAGGACTTTTTACCTTCAACACTGAGCCCTGTCCTGTATCTTACCATTTCCGTATAATTTCTGTAAAAATAATGCTTACCTGTTGCTTTATTCCTGTTACACCAGCCATTCACAAACATAATATTTCAACCTCTCTACTGAGTACGACATATACTATACTTACTGACGGTCTTTTATTCCTTCAATCCTCTGGAAAAGCTTGTGATTTCTTTAGGTTCAAACGACACAGTCACTTAGACGCTCCGGTATTTAATTTATTTGGTCGAACTGACACGCCCCAAAACCTGACAGACATGGGAAAATTACTTCCGTATCTAGTAGCTGTACGGAAGCCGATAGTAGGAAAGATCTCAAGAATAATCACAGCGACCGCTGCGCATGTGCGGGATGTAACGAGCAAACCACATGCAGGGATTCCGCGGAGGTTCCCGTGAATAAATAGGTTATAACATCAATGACAATAAAACTCACACTCAGTCTCCCTTTCTCTCTCTATATATATTTTTTTTTTCTTTTTTTGTGGCAGGTTTAATGATAACGAACTTGACACGATGCACATTGACGTGTTGCCGTTGTTACCGAAAACACAAGAAAAATAAATCAATTCATTCAGTCACTGTCCATGTTGATAGTAGTAGTGGTAATTGCATACTATTTCAGGGGAATTTCGCACAAAAACCAGCAAACAAAACTGTTACTATTGGTTTCTGTTCTCTACGTTTAGGATAGCGCCCTCTAGCGAATGTTGTTAAGCACTGACTTAGCTCATGTTAGAGTTCAAGCAAGCTAACAGAGAAGGACGAGGAAGGAATGCGGCGGACAAACAGCAAGAGGACAATCGGGTATCCGGTTTGATGTGTGTAATGAAATAAACTCAGAAGGACACGGATACTGGAAGCGCGGCGGTAGGCAAAATGTTTACTTTCAGCCAGAGTCATCTTTTCTGTGTCCACGCATGCTTTTGCACATAGCTTGCAAGCTAACGTGTGCTTAATGGCAACATATTTCGGTGTTGTGAGAGGGATGGTGGACACGTTGGAAAAATGAGTGTGTTACAGCTTGACTCGTTTAATTATTGTCAGAAAATTAGCTCGGAAAAGGGATTGGGAATTGTCTGTTATGTGTTTGGAAATTGTACGCCGTTCGAAACGAAGGTTTTATTTTAAGCGACTATTATTTAGATCGATTTCATGTTAGCTTACTTGGGAGTTGTTGGGAATAGTAACCGTGTGTAACTAATTAACACCGGCGTTAGCTGTTGCTAGCTCTTGCTGTGACAGCTGTATATGTATACAGTTATTACCACCAGGCAAAAAAATATAATTTCTGTCGAAGCTAGCGTGTTAGTGTAATTATAAGTTACTTGTGTGCTTTGTTAGGGGAAAGTCGGCTTTCGTCGCCTCTTAATTAATGGAGTTCACGAGGCTCTGGGAAAACGTCCCATACGGCAACTCGGTTCCGATATATTGCCAAACGCTCGATATGTAGTTGGAAAAAATACCATTAAACTGGTAAGGACGAAGCGTTGCGTGTTTGTTTTGTTAATAGGTCGGCCCCTGTCCAAATTTTCCTGTCATGTCTGACCAAAATAGAAGCAAGAGCCGGTCAGGAGGGGGTTATTCATTCGCAGGATTGGATACAACACGACGCAAATATGTCTTTACACGTCCATTGCTCTGAATATGAGCCAGTAGACACCTACTGTAGCTTTCAAATGTGGCTCCACGGCTGCTCCGGGGGGCTGGTCTCTGATAAGGAATTAATGAGGACGCTTGATAGGTGACTGTCTGTCTCGCAGTGGGAGCATAAATCGATTTCACGGCCCGTTTTCTGTAACTTAAACGAACTTGTGGCTCAGTCCTCGCTTGTCTGGAGCCGAAAATAGCGGCCAATTAATGTTTGCACCTTTCTATGGAGTTACCAGCACTTCCTTAAAGGCTATATCTAAGTTGGCGTTTGCATGATACACAAATTGATTAAAAAATAATGATGACCGGTTTATTGTAGTAAATAATTCATCTGCTTTTTCATTTGGTGCCTTCAAACAGGGTTAATGTTTGCGACAAGGCCACATTTGCATCAGCTTAGTAGGAATTTGTTAGATTCTGTAACCTTTATAGGTACCATTTGAATCAGTATATCAATTTTAAACTTGTTTTTGTTTTTTCAGGGCCTTCAGAATCTATGTCTGCTGTCACTAGAAAACTGCCAGGATTAGGCCAGATTTTGGTGTAAGAACCCTCATCGACAGCTGCAGTGGCGGGGCAGGAGCGCGTTTCTCAGGAAGATGGCATCACCCTTCGTGCCTGTCCCAGTCCCCATGGACAGAACCTTGTCAGGTGGCAGCAACAAGCTGCGGCGGCCAAAGCGAGCCGCGTCTCTGGGAAGTGTCTCCAGTAGCTCGGAGTCCTCGTCCCCCGTCGCCAGGGCCGCTGGGGAGGAGCAGGACGGAGGACTGGGCGCTCAGCGTCAGTCCCGCTGCACGGGCAGAGCCCCCCGCAGCCAGACCCCGCCAGCCCTCCACAGCCCGGGGACCCAGGCCAGGGTCAACGGGACGCTAGAGCCCTCAATGGAGTACTCGAGTTGCCCTCGCTCGGCATCGGATCCAGCAGGGAGCCAGCAGGAAGAGGAGAGGCCCATCACCCCCACCGTGTTGGGGTACGAGGTCATGGAGGAGAGGGCAAAGTTCACGGTATGACCAGAGGGACAGAATTTGTTTGCACAACATGCCATTTAAAAAAACTAATTTGGCAATATTTAGCCTGCTGATGGACTAGTTTGACACTTTATCCAAATATTTAAAACTGTTCAAAAACAGTATTATAATTTTTACACGTACTAAATTGCGAGAGCATATATAGATTTTTAAAAAATGACACTTTGCTTCAGTTTAGTCCAACCAAACTAGTTTTTCTCTGTCTTTATATTTGTCCTAGTTACAAAATTCAGCCCACTTTGTTTGAGTCAACATCTCTAATGATTAGAGAAATGTTAAAGCCTCTTTTTCTGTGCTCCAGGTCTATAAGGTCTTGGTCAAGAAGACTCCGGATGAGAGCTGGGTGATTTTTAGGAGGTACACCGACTTCTCCAGACTCAATGACAAGGTATGGAGGGGGAGTTCTATTTTTTTACTTTCTCTTTTCCCTTTTTCTCAAGTCTATATGAACCAATTGTGTTTTTTTTTTTAAATCATCCTCATAGTTCATCCTGTGATGTTGTCAGCCATTTGCTCCCGTTGTGTTGTGTTTTGTTCTTGAGCGCACAGTGGAAGCGATTAGAGCCGCACAAAGAAGCCTACTGTTCCCAAAGGCCTGAGCCAACTAGGTGAAGAGTTCTTTTGTGTTTTTGCTTATGTGGAACAAAGAACCTGCCAACAGACAGGAAAAAAAGTCAAATCTTAACAATGGTATGCCCAATTATATTGTATTCAAAAGCAGCAAACTGCAATTAAAACAGAGACATCAGATTTGAGAACTTGTTCTTACAGACATAGCATTAAGAATTCTACCAAGTTTGTTACTACCTGAACCTCATCTGAATATTTGCTTAATTTAAGTATATCTTACTAAATGTCATCAGCATTGATATTAAGATCACCGTCTATGATTTTTGGTACAATATTCTGTTGAAATTTGATAAATTGGGCCTAACGCTCAGTATGTTAAGATCAGGAACATATTTCTGCATAACATGTGGTAAATAACCTTTTTTTTTTCTTTTTCAATCCCACAAATCTGACTCCAATTAAACAAACACACTTAACTGAACGTTTTTAAAAACGTACGTTAAGAGTTGTTGGGAGTTATGTATGAAGCATTGATTTATGATATTTATTTGGGCCCGTTTCCTTTGAAAGAAAACATAAATACTCACAAAAGAGCACCCTGTTATTAGAAACGGCAGCTCAGATTCCACTGTGGCATCATCTGCTGTTCATGTTGCTTGTGTTGATATTTGAGCCTCCAGAAGCCTCCGTCTGTATAGTGTAGCAAAGTGTGCAAACATCCAGACAAAACCACTGTCCGCTTCCTGCCAAGAATCCGATATCAAGTTCTGTCATGTGCTCTGTTTCCTGATGTTTTCAGGTCCTTCAGTGTTCTCTTACAGTAGATGGAGGTGGGCAGTCGGTGTCCTCGGAAATGGAAATTTATTTGGAAACCTATAGTTTCGCTGTGTGCGTTCTCTGTGTTGCACTAGTTTTCTAGTTTACACTTGGGGAAGATTCAGCTGTTAACAGCTTTAAGATTGAAGGGCAGCTATTCTGCTAATAAGGCCAGGGATCGTGGAAGGCGTTATCAGAGGAACTGAAACACCATCATGTCCTCAAACAGCTGCCCAGGACGTTCAGTGTTTTACTCACCGTTAATGCTTGTTGCAGCACCTTTCTCTTTCTTTGTGCCGCAGCTGCTGTGGCTTTGTGCGAGAGTGCTCACGTGGCACTATGTGTGTGTTCTCTTTAGCTAAAGGAAATGTTTCCCGGCTTCCGCCTCTCACTGCCTCCCAAAAGGTGGTTCAAAGACAACTATGACAGTGACTTCCTGGAGGACAGACAGTTGGGACTTCAGGCCTTTTTGCAGAATTTGGTGGCACACAAGGACATAGCAAACTGGTATGCAAAGCTGTCGCCATGTAGTTTTTTATAGTTGAACTGTAGCCCTTTGTTGACTCTGTTTAGCAAAGCAACGCCTTAGTAAGTGATTAATGAATTACTGCGTGTAAAACAGTCATTTATATGGCTAAATGTTCCCAAAGAGAGGGAAATACTTCCAATAGCAGTCTTTAGTGTGTTCATCATATCAGCTTAACATGGAATTATGTTATTGTTATTCCATAATCGGCCCATTTCGAGTATTTCTTATTGCTGAAGAGCTCATCATTGTGTTCCAAACTATGTTTCAGCCTGGCTGTAAGAGAGTTTCTGTGCCTTGATGACCCCCCTGGGCCTTTTGATAGTCTTGAAGAAAGCAGGGTGAGTACACACACTCGTGGACGTATACAAGGCTTTGGGTACTCAGGATATTGGAACTGAATACTGAATGTATATATATATATATATGCTTGAATAAGACACAAAAAAGGATCAAGATCGAGAAAAGGAAAGGAAATAAATAGAAACCTACCTCCTTATTGCAAATGACCTTGGGCCTTTTGAGCATCTATAGTTTAGGGAATATTGCCCATCTGTCTTGAAAATGTCTGCATGAATTTGTATGTCGCTCAAAGGTAAAAAGCACACCTGTGTCCCATCAGAAGGGGTTAAGAACAGTTCAAACCCGGAAAGCAATTCTCTAAAAAGCATAAAATGATTGACTTGCTTTGGAGAAGAACTCGGCAGGAGATCGTCTCCTCTGTGCGAAGATATACATGTCGGCTTCCTCCGGACGAAAATCCACGCAGAGGCCCTGCAGCTTTTGTCATGGATGCCGAGTTCAGTGTGCGACTCTGGAACCTGGCTTTGGACTCACTTGCATTTCCAATGCTTAAAGAATTTGGCCGTATTCATAGCAAACCAGTACAGAATTTGGGAAGCCATTGGTTTCTCTGTGTCCTAGAAGCATTTCTCTCCTTTAATTAGACCTGGAAAGACGGATCTTGTGGTAACATATGATGCAGAGGGAGATACCAGACACACATCAGGTATCATGATGTTCATTTTGTGCATTACAAACAGCACCCATGTAAACAACTGTTAAAACAAGGGTCCTGAGTTCTAAATTTTGTCCTAGCCAAAAAATGTTTCACTCTCCAAATGCCTTTTATAGGTAGAAATGAATAAGGTTACCAAGTAATTAATTACAGTTCATCTTAAATAGATGGACCGTAGTACCTGTATTCAAGAAGGTTTTTACATCCAAATAATTTATGTATGCCTATGTCTGTAAATGAATATCAGCGGGGTTTGGGGTTTCTCTCTGAACTGCCCCGCTGTTCTCTGCTTTTGTTGGGGCTCCTTTTAGGCATTCTGCGAGACACTGGAGGAGAGCAACTATCGCCTACAGAAGGAGCTTGTGGAGAAGCAGAGGGAGATCGCTTCCTTGAGGAGGAGGCTGGAGGAGCGGGAACAGGCCATCCTGCTGCTGGAGAGGCACATCAAGTCCGTACCGGCCCACAGAGCCAGCCAGGGCTCACACACTTCTGGGCTTACGGGCGCGATGGGCTCGTGTTGATTTTGTTGCGGTGTGCGTCTGTGGCAGTGGGGAGTGCGCGAGCCCGGTGTCTCCGTGCGGCCTGTCGGCTCAGGGCAGCGAGAGCAGCGCCGACGCCGACGTGGAATCGTCCGCCGCAGAGGCCGACCAGGAAATGCCCGACGACGCCGGGTAAAAGACGGGTTTTCTATTAGGGATAATGAGGGGAAATGTGCTCATGCGGAACGAAAGAAAATGAAACGTAGACTAGAAGCTTTTTAATTTACTGCTTTCCTATATTTAAAAGAACATCTAAATGGAGAAAAACAGGCATATACCTACATTTAAGATAGAAACAACAAACAAAAAAAAAAAGCACTGTGGATCTACAATAAAGAGCTCAGTGAACAGTGATCAATAAGGCTCGGCCAGTGCAGGTTTTTCCCTCTTAGGCCTCTTACATCTAATTAAATTAAAAAGGAGTAACTATTGATTTCCAAACCGGCCCCGTTTTCCAGCAGGATTACTGAACATCACTGAATCTCTGCAGCAAAAGGCACGAACACAATAATCCAGAATAAATGTGAACACTTCCCAGAAACTCTGCTACAGCAGGGGAGGGTTATCATAGCCATGCATTTCAGTTTGTAATAGATAAATAACATTAAAGTTATCATGAGGATGGGGATTAGCCTTTGGCATGAAGACACTGGTATTTTTTTCAGGGGGGGTGGGAAAAAAAGGAAAAAAATTTAAGAAAACGCAAACAATGGACACAAATCAGCTAAACAAAAAAGGATCCTTAAAAGAAGTCAAACGAACCAAATGCATCTTAAGAAAGTAACTAGCTGCTGAACAGAAACAAACTGACTGAACACAGCGAACACCCCAGAATCAGAATCAGAATTAGGTTTATTGCCAAGTAGGTTTTCACATACAAGGAATTTGCTTTGGTGAAAGCACCGAGGCAGCCATTTTCGGCGCCAAGACTTAAGTCCTGGCTGATCAAACCAGTTTGACATAAGAACAGAAGCTAAATACTTAAAAAAAAATATGGAATGATAAGTTAATTGTAATAAAATTAATAATGAATCGAAATGAACAGGCAGTTTAACAGTTAATCACATTAATCATCACACTAAGTGAAAAGGTAACTGAAATTTAAAGAGAAAATGAGGGAATAAACATTTCATTTGTATGTCACACTTGATGGTACGACCAATCAGCATTTCCCCTGTGTGGCCCTGCAGTTTAGCTAAATGACCATCACATTTTATATGTGTGATAAAAGTGTTAAATTGCTTAAACTAATTGCTTATTGAACAGTTTCGAGACCAAACTTTATCTGTGAATGAGGGGGAAAAAATACAGAATAATGGCAATCATCCTCGTTTCTGTTAACATAATTGTTGTACTTTTGTTTTTGGTTTCCCCTCTAAAATGTTTCCCCCCTTCCTTGTTTCAATTCATTTTCTCAATTTTTTTTTACTTGCTTATTTCTCAGCAGCCTGGTCCCAATCTGAAAAAAAAAGGGCTTCATAACATGGAAGGTACTCCAGCTCCCTACAGGCAAACAGTCAAACCCTCATATTGTCCTTCCAGTAACTGCGGTAAAAACGTCTCGTTTTGTGATGTCAGCGTGTTTGACGGGATGGCTTCAGATTCTTCTCGTCGCGTCCGCCTCCATACACGTCTGGCATGCTTCCATGTGCCTGCCCTTAGCGGTTGCCTCTCTTCTGTGTGTGCTGGCTGGACATGGCTCCTGCAGGGGAAACGTAGCGGTCACCACCTTTGGGCACTTTCATTCCGATGTGTTTTTTGTTTGTTTGTTTTTTTTTGTCCGTTTTTCTTTTCCCAAAGCCGGGGTGGTTTCACTTTCAGTACACCGAGTTCGGTTAAAAAAAAAAAGAAAAGAAGAAGAGGTTATCTCTGTTTTTACACAGGACCTTCTTCAATGTGCGGTGGTCCGGCGACGGGTTTACAGACAAAGGAGGGAGGCAGCTTTTATTTAGAGTACCCACTCTGCCGCCGGCCGCCAAAATAAAGCCGATAGCAAGGCGCCCCCCTGCCTGCCGGCGGAGCAGAGCGTGGACTGAAAGCGACCCCGCCCCGGCTGTGCCGCGCCCCCCGGCGTGCGCTACTCTGGCAGGTTGGCGCAGCGCGCTCCGGCCTGCGCTCACAAAGCCCAGTTTCAGGTTTCTCTCATTTTTCCTCTCCCTTCTCGGTTATCTTACTGACATCTTCTACTAATAAACGCTCCCTCTTTGATCCCAGCAATTCAAAAATAGTGCGGAAGATCCCTGGGCCGCATAAAATAAAAAAAGACTCTGTGTGTAGACGGTCCAGATAAATGGGAAACGGTTTGCAGCGAGGTGAAGAGAAAACTTCTTTTTTTTTTCCCTCTCTGTGTTCTCAGGACGCGCACAGTCAAAGTCAGAAGTTTGGAGACGCGCCTGGCTTTGTGTCTCCAAACTTTTGAGTCGTACTACATGTTTTTAACCGGCTGTCTCTGTGGCTTGAAAACGTTCCTGTCTCTGTCTGCCCCTGTGGATGGCTGGGAAACCTGTCCGTTCACCTGTCTCCCCGCCGCTCCTCCTCTCGGACTCTCTCGGCTTTCCGTTTGTATCGTGGTTTTTCAGTTCCGACGACTCGCTCGCAGACGGTGAATGCGTGTCCACTCTCTCTCCAGAGGCAGATGTGAGGTCCAGCCGGTGCGTTCCTCCGCCTGCTGGTGCCGGCCGTCCCTCAGCGCCTCGCCGCCGCTCATCCAGGTCACTCAGCTGTATCACAAGAAACCGGAACACTAACCAGGAATTCCCAACTACATTCCATTTTTTGGGGGGTTTTCTTTTCTTTTCTCCACTTCCCTTCACATTTTCCCCCTGCAGCGTTTGGATTGTAACTGCAGTTTGATCACAAAGCTTCAAAGTTTAACCCAATGTCATCTTTGCCCTCAAGATTTTTTGTTTCTTTTCTTTTTTTTTCCCTGCAAAGTTAAGAAGAAACAATTTTATACAAAAAATTGGGCAATTTCACCATGCAGAAGTCATTGGATCGGCTTGTTCGTGATATCTTAAAGCCAAAGTTTGGCTTCTTGACCCAAAAAAAAAAAAAAAAGAAGATAAAAGTAAAAGTTGGATAACTTGAAACTTCCCCGGTTTGAGGACTTTCACATATGTGACAATCTGCTGAAAATGAGTCGTCGGCGCCCGCTAACCAGGTGGCTGATTTAGAGGGTGGGATGTGGCTGCTCCGTTATTCGGGTCGACATTCCCTGATGTTCGGAGTCTTAAGTAGAATTTTTTTGCCACAGACATTGAAACGGCGCTTTGACCATTTCAAAAAAGTCTGCGGCGTTCAATGAGGCTGGTGTCTAAAGGATCCTTTCACCCAGTTTGCAAAAAGAAGGTAAAACAAAATGGGCCCTTCTCAACAAACATGAAAACGTGTAGTTTTGGTTTCACTGCTTGAGGAACTCACAAGATCTACCAATCAACTTATTATTATTTATGCAATTTAGATAAGTAGGTGCGTTTTAAACTACTTTAGAAGCAGCATATTGTATTTCATACACCTCCTTGTTGATAGGTTTTATTTTAATATCAAGGAAGTCCAGAGTAAAGTGTTTGATCAGCTTTGTTCCCTCCATGATTAAATGGTCTTCATTTCAAAATTCCAGCAGGTACAACTACATATAAGTAGGAGTTTGGGGAAACACTCATAATGTAGCTGAAACTGGCAATAGTTTAGACGAGAAAAAGAGCAGAGAAACCCCATATTGTATCGCAGCGGTGCAAATCTACTTGGAAAAAACGGAGAAGAAAAAACTCCAAACTGAGACTGATAAGCCACATTTCTGAAAGAGGGGCCTGTGGGAAGAGTTCACTTCATTAGCACATCTTCGGTTTTATCGAACCAGGGCTGCTAAATGTCGGACGTTACACCATCATGCGAGTATTTTCAAGAAGTGGGCGCCAAAGGCAACTAATACACACAAATCAAGCTTGTCAGCACTATCTTTATAAAGACTGTTCACCGTTAATGAATCACCCACATAAGCCATATTTTGTACCTCAACAACACTTGAGAAAACAGATGTTTTACACGGTGGAACGGTGTGCTGATCAGCCGCCGTTTTCCCTCTTTCCAGTCGACGAGGGGTCGAGTTACCACAGCTGATGTACAGTTATCTCCTACTTGGCCCCGGACGGGCCATGTAAAGCACTTTATGGATGAATGGCAACACGCAATGTTTGCTAGGATATTGTTTTTAAGACTTTTGAACAGAAACATGCCTTTTTTGATCGATGCGTGCGTGTTGATTCCTAACTGGATCTAATTTGTTAATATTGGAGTTTGGATCATTTTCTGTGCTCAAATGTAAATTAGCCTCTTGCATAAGTAAGTGCCTTGCAGATTTTTTTTTTGTTAGCTTTTCTTTTGATGTCTGAATAGCTTTATATATTTGTGTTTGACATGAAACATATCCACTATGTCCCTCTCATGGAAATAATGTTTTAAATTACACTCTTATGTATATATTGTTGCTTGGAATAGAGTTTCTTTAGTTAAAATGAGAAGAATAAGAGTCTTAGATCACATACACTTATAGCTGCACTATAAAAAAAAAAATAAGAATGACTAATATATGGTGTCACTTAGGATTTGCCAGTTTTTAAAGGGATAAATCATTGAAAAGATAGATCCGGTATCTGTACTGTACACTATTCCACATGCTATAGCAGAGCTGTTTATCTGAGAGAAGTATTTGATTCACACTAAATAAAACAGTGTGACATATCGTATGTTTCCTGTTTCCTATTTTTGAGCTGCGCTCTGTTCCAACAGTGACTGTAAACCCTCCTAACAAAGCAGGTGCAGACGGCTAAGCTAACCGAACCAACACTTTTTTGCAGCACCAAAAAAAAAACATTCTGGTCCATTACAATCTATTTTAATACATGTGGTCCGCAACTGTAAGATTGTGTATGAGAGCTTTGTCTCCATACATTTATGGCCATGATTATTTGTTTTCGTGTTCATTTTCAAGCTCAATGAGTACGATCAAAGAAAATCACATTCATATTAATATAAACAATATCAATTCCACTCCTCTGTGACTATTTATACATGTTTACCTAACTATATATTTAACTGTTAACAGTCTATTATGTACATATATGTTAGTATATTCATTGTCCTACACTTGCTGTTTTTTTCTATTAAATACAATACAGTATATATATTTTAAACACATTCACACATTCATTTTTTATCAATTTAGTGTATAAATCCAGTTCACACTTGTCCTGCCAATCTGTACAAACTTTACCACTCTCTACGTCTAGTAAGATACTAAACTGCGGATCATTGTTCACGTACTTATTACTGTGTTCAATGACACTAAAGTTTAATTTAATCTAATCTAATAATAGAAGACCTTCTTAAAACAGTGTTTTCACTTGTTTTTAGTCTACGGCTTTTGCCAGAAAACAAAACCCTAATCATTTAACTGCATGCATCATCTGAAAAATTCAAATTCAAATGACCACGTGGAGATCTTCTGGGCCAGTGATGAAAAGAGTATAAACTGTATACTCTTTTCATCACTGGCCCACACATAAGTGTGTTGTGACCGTTTGAAACTGTAGCTCATCTCGAGCTTGTCACAGAGTAACATTCAATTACGGCTTTCTCATCCTTCTCCAGAATCCGGTTATGGATGCTCAAATGGAACATCTCCCAGCTTTCATATTGAGAAACTGAAATGTGAGCTGTCACAGACAAATGTCTAAAACTCTTTTCTGTAACTATTTACCCGGGAGCAACAGCAATATCAGCACTGCTTTACATAAGTTAAAAAAGGCGTGATGAGCAGCAGACGGCAGCATTAAGATGAGCGTGTAGTAGATAACTTGGGCAGATTGAATTTGGGTCCCAAATGTCTTGTTGGCTTCACAAGACACCAAATTCTATTAGACGCGCTGAGCAGTAGACAGTAAACACAGACTGATGTAACAGCTGTGAGGTAAAGAAAAGCTTCAAAGCACACAACCGAGTTGTGTTTCGCTAATGCTGAAATGTCACGACTGCTCCGGTGGATGTCATTTGATATTCCCCCAAGAACCACGCACACTCACATTCACTCCTAAGGGAAATTTGGAATGTCCTGTCAACCTAACATGCAGGTTTTGGGACAGTGGGAGGAAGCCGGAGAACCCGGAGAGAACCCACAGACACAGGAGAACATGCAAACTCCACCCAGAAAGGTCCTGGTTCCCCCAGGACTCCAACCCAGAACCCTCTGGTAGAAAGGTCCTGGTTCCCCTGTTACTCCAACCCAGAACCCTCAGGTCCTGGTTCCCCTGGGGACTCCAACCCAGAACCCTCTGGCAGAAAGGTCCTGGTTCCCCGGGACTCCAACCCAGAAGCCCCTGGTCTTGGTTCCCCTGGGACTCCAACCCAGAACCCTCTGGCAGAAAGGTCCTGGTTCCCCCGGTACTCCAACTTAGAACCCTTTGGCAGAAAGGTCCTGGTTCCCCCGATACTCCAACCCAAAACCCTTTGGCAGAACGGTACTTGTTCCCCTGGTACTCCAACCCGGAACCCTCTGGTCCTGGTTCCCCTGGGGACTCCAACCCAGAACCCTCTGGCAAAAAAGGTTGTGGTTCCCCCGGGACTCCAACACAGAACCCCCTGGTCCTGGTTCCCCCGGGACTCCAACCCACAACCCTCTGGCAGAAAGGTCCTTGTTCCCTCGGGACTCCAACCCAGAACCACCGTGCCGAATATATAATCGAATATGCATTTTTGTCTGGACTGCCTTGTTTATTGTTATTGACACATTCTGCCTTATAGTAGGGTGGTATTACATAATAGCACCGATCGCTGCAGTCACCTGGTGGCATTTTCTTTCAAACCACGGCATGACATGGATTTATTCACCACCAACATTTATACAAGCTGGCATAACTGAAATCAACATGGACCTGTTATGTAAGAGCTAAGAAGGTGGGAGTCTTTTGTTTGTTGGATAATGTCAGACAGGTCAAGAGAATATCTGATTATCTGACCAAGTGTCTTCTGTCAGTCTGCTGTCAGTTTCAGGAACTGTTGATGTGCGTTGTGCGGCCAGTCATTATCGTTGTCCTTTGTGTTTAAGCACATGAGAACAGCTCCATGTGGCTATGGTAGTTGGATAAAACACTAATTGACTAGAGGGTGTTAGTGGAGTAGAACACTTGCTTTGACTTTAAACTTTCCGTCCCAGCACGCTACCTTCTACTTTGTGAGATTTATTCCTGGACTACCTGGCTAGGTTTCAGCATCGCAGTCCACCTGCTTTGGTTTCGTAGGTAGAGGAGCAATAGACAATACAGATTTAGGCTGAACAAGACAAGGTCTGCTGAGCCAAAAGGAGAAAGATAAATCCTGACATGAAAAAAAAAAAAGATGTGCACATTTTGAGGTGACTGTTCGATGAGTGAAGTCCTTCATTTGACCACTTTTCTTTTTTCGTCCTGTAGTCTGGCATCAAACATTAACGCCGTAGACCAGGGGTTTCAGGATCCAGTCCTCGAGGGCTGCTGTCCTGCAGGTTTTAGACATTTTCCTGCTTCTGCACACCTGATTCTTATTAAATTGGATCTCCTCTGGACATTGTTGAGCTTTCCACCTGTCTAATGGCCCTTTGATGTGAATCAGGTGTGTTGAAAAAGGGTTACCTCTAGAACCTGCAGGACAGCGGCCCTCGAAGACTGGAGTTTGACACCCCTGCACACTCTTATCAAGCGTTTGTCCCCTCGTGATCCGCCGTGGATAGCCCTTTCTGTCTTTTTTACAATACGCCGCAACATCTTCTTTGAATGCTCAACCCCGCCTTTTACCCGTGCCTGTCTATCTCCGGTCCCACATGTTTCCAGATGTTACCAGCCCGTCCTCATCCAGCCAAAACGTACATATCCACATTATTATGAATAGCTTTCCCAAAGCAGGTCACTTCCCTCCACATTATTGGCTCCCAAATGCCTGGAAAACTTCTAACTTGTTGGTTTACTTCTGTGCTCTGTCCTCACTGGTCAGCTTTCTCTTTGAGATATTTCTGAGGGTATGCATCGGTGTTTCCTGGTGAATTTCGCCACCAGACCCAGAGCCAGAATGAAACGTCTAACCAGGATCCATTCTTGACATTTTTCTTCAAAAGTTGTATTTGCGTCTGTATTTTGCTGTCCGTTACTGTTCTTGTGCATCTAAAGTTTGATTCTTCTTGGGTAACACTTGCCTCTCCTAACGACAACCTTACATTTCACAGCGTTACAGTCTCATTCCAAGAGGCGAGCTCCTTTCCAGTCAATCATCTCTTGGGTCACCGTCCTTGGTCAGGGAACCCCCTGCCTTTGCCTGACCTTTCATTCAACTTCAGGCCCATAAGTAACCCGTTCCAACGGGCCTCCCATGGTTCATGCCACATCTCAGGTTCACAGTTTTAAGGTCTTTTTGACCTTGTTCAATCAAAAGCGAAGGCATCATCATGATATGTGCATCATATTTTTGCGGGGTGCCTTTTAGCTGGAATGTAAGTTTTTAATTTACGGTATTGCTTTGAAGCTTTTTAAAAAAAAAACATATTTTATCCTGTTTTATGCATACGATTTGTCAAATCTTTTACAGTTTTCTCACGCAAAGTAGGAAAAAGATCCAGATTCTTCATCCATCTGTTCAAGAAGTGTAATTTCCTGTCCAGCTTAAGTTTCTGCCAAAGGAGCTGTTTTAGGCACTTAAGGCAATTTCACCTGGGTGTTATAGTCATGATCTTTGGGTTTTGGAGACTTTTGGTTGTTTTTTACTCAGTTGGCTTCTGGGGTCAATGGTCAATTCTCATCTGGCCATCTGGCTTCGATTAGCCGCTGCTGGCTCGCAGAGAATCTCCCATTTAGTCAGACAGCAAAGTTTATTTCGAACCGTGACACCTAAAATCTTCTTAGTGATGCTATCACTGACTATAAACCCAGTGCCACATTTGGCAATTGGTTTCAACCTGAACGTGCTTCGTAGTTGCGTGGCCAAACTTCTGTCTACACTCCTACTGGACCATCCACCAGTTATTAGTGAGTAAGGCCCTCCAAATCGTTTGAAACTGCAGCACATAAAACGTTGTTGATGTGCTCCAAAGAAATGTGTTGTTGTTGTTGCTTTTCACTCTCAAGACGGGTCAGTTCTTCTTTTGAGGGCGGTGGGAGCTAATATTTTCACCTGTGTTTTTTCCTGTGTGGCTAAATTATATTTTCGGTCATTATAAACTGTCAAACGCTTGGACTAAATTCATTTTCCGACTTTCCTAGATGGAATATAGACCTAACAGGGCATATTTTAAGCACGGATCATTTGCCATTTATCGGTGAGGAATCATTCGCCAGGTTAAAGATAAAAGCGAGGATTCATGTTCCACATCATGTGGAGTCACACACTGTGAAATGGAAATTAAAGCTCTTGTTTTTTGGGATACAGTGTGCTGGAATAAGTGCTTTGGAGTTTGATCCCAAACCTGATAAGCCAGGGCATGTGTGTCAAGACAGCGTTTGGCGGTTTTTCCCTGTAAGGTGTCTCGCTTTTCTCCAGGTGCTTCTGCTTCCCAGAGTCCACACTAACTCAATTTAAAAGTGAATCGCCGTCTCAACCTGTCTGTGTTAGCCACACAACGTTGACTATCAGTACAGATCGTCCCCTGTCTCTGACAATTCAGTGCCTGGAGAAGGTCCTGCCTTCCTTGACCCTTCTGTAGAGTAAAACCAGAAGGGGGGGGCAGGGTGGAACGGGGGGGTGATGGATGGATAGATTGATGTCTGGTAAAAATGCATCCATACGTTTTAAACAAACGTGTTCGGTCTACTTGGGGGACCCTGGGAATCCACACCCCGAACACAGCAGCGTGCATGTTTTGATAAACTATTGGCTTGGAATCCAACCCCACATTAACCGCGCTAAAACAGGTACGCAAAGGAAAGCCGCACAGTTATTGATTCAGCTCGTGTAAGAAGGAAAAACAGGAGAAAATAACAAACTTAAAGTTGGTTTAAGTCACTTTAACAAATGTTTTTCATTTTTGTTCCCACTGCAAAAAAAAGTGTGACCATTTAACTTAATTGCTGGTGGAAAACATCATCACCATTAGAAATAAATAGGTGTCCATTTCAAAATGTACCAGATTGAAAGTTTTCAACACACATTTTTAAAACTAAATAAAAGTTGTCTTTGAAGAGGTGCAATTTTCATGTAGAAAACAGAAAAATCTACAAAGATGCTGGATATTTTGCCCCTCGACTCGAGTCAAAAGGTTTTAAAGTGGGTGCATATCTTAAAATCAGATTCATTTTAATGAACTTTGAACGCTTGATATTTAACACATAGAGTCACAAATTAAGCTTCTGAAGATATTAATTTCCTAAATGTTGGTGTGAGGTTTTTAAAGCTAATGCATGGTCCCTGCAGTCTGTGCTTTGTCCAATCTTTTCAGATCCAAAGCGGTAAAAAGTGTCATGATCCGTTGTGAAACTGAAAGCAAATTTAACAATGAATCAAAACAAGGATGCAAAACACTGGAAATCCACAAAAAATAGCAATAAAAGCTTAGACAAAGAAAGCAAACACACAAAGATACAGCAGGTAGAAGAGTTCTGAGTTGGACTGTAAAAGTTTTTTTTTTTACAGAACTACACATAACTTTGGACAATATAACATTTTTAATTACTAAAAATCTTAATCCAACGTGATTTCTTTCCATAATGTGATTCTCAACAGAGTTGTGCAAGCAATATGTTTGAATTCTTTTGCACTCATTTAACTAAAAATATTCACAATAGTTCTTTATATATAAATGTATTGATATATAGGTGAATATATAGATGTTAAGATTGGATTGAATTAATAAAAAGAGACAATTGTAAATCACCTGACCAAAATTTTAGACAGTCAAATTGTTTTTTATGTAGAATTCTTTCCAAAACCATCCATGACTCCGGTGTTCATACCACAGACTGACATCCAGACAAAGAGGGGTGTGTGTTGTATGTAGGAGCCTGCCCCTCAAATGCATATAAGTTGGAGACCACTGAAAGGCAGAGGCACAGAGCAAGGCTATGAAATCCCAACGTTTCACTGCCTTGTACATGAAGCCAACTTAAAAACGGGGTCTCTCCTGTTTGAGCTCCTTTCAGAGAAGACTTGCCTGAGTACTTGCAGGATGAAGTTGGCTGTCTTCTGCTTGTGCCTTCTGCATTTGGCTTGGGTTGGTTCTGGACTCTTCACCCGCAGCAGCCCTCCGGCCAGCAGTGGCAGAAAGCTGCTCAGCGGCGCCTCTCAGAGCAAAGGTGAGTGCACAGGCAAGACTCCCTATTAACATCATTTCTGCTGTTTTATGTCAGAGAAAACAGCTCATGAAAACATTTATTCATGCCATTAAGAAGGAAATCCGAGATGCACTGCGCTGTTATAATGACGTGTCTATAAATGTAATGAAAGTGTGTTTGGCAGTCCTCGAGAAACAAGTAGTTGTAAAAAACTAATAAGAGTTAGATACTTATGAAGCCCAGAAAAACCGTCATAAACAGCGACTGGCAGTGAGCAAAAGGCGTTTAATTTTGTGGTAAGCAAGATAATTACTGTTGAACACAGTTACTGTTTGTCTGCTCATTTTTTAAGGACCTTATTTTACAATTTGTATAAACCAAAGTAAGCTCAACTGAAGATGTTTGGGACAATTGTGTGATATGGATGTTTCACAGTAAATGTATTGATTCTGTAATTTGATTCCTTGATCTGAACAGAGTTTCAGATCATATATAAATCATACTATCATGTATAAAGTGTTATCTTTAGTGAAAAACAATCCATTGGATATGATGAGAATATTGTGATGCGATGAGAGAACTGTAAAATGAATCATTTTTTTGGTGTAATTCTAGACAGCAAGGCATTTGTGTCAGTTGCATCTAGATTTGTTAACCAAATGATGTAACAGAATGGGGCACTAAAAGAGACCTACAAGCAGTAGGAGGGCAGCTGAGGAAAACAATAAACTTTTATTAAACAGAACTCAAGGCCCCGCTACAGCAGGGAATTCGAAACAGTAAGCAGAATGTGGCAGGAACAGATTGAGCTTGATATGGGGGGTGTTATTCTCAACTGAGACAATATTTATAAAGAAAGTTTTGGTCAATAGCAGCAAAGGCCTGGCATAAAATTAGTGTTAAGCCAAACCAAGCAGCTTGTAGAAGAACAAATTCTGCTCAGAAGAAAGGAAAAAAAAAAAAGAAGATGGCAGAACTAACATACCATCACACAAAAACACATAAATCGCTACGAGAGTGTTCTGTGTATTGAGATGTATTGCTTCACGTGTTGTTATTGTTCTCTCTGCTGAAACAATATCACATGACAATAGTCTATGGTCAAGGTCCGTTATAGTTTTTGTTTAGAAAGTGGAAGAGAGAATCTAAAATATCAGGCACCTCCTGCTTCTCATAGCATTAACATGGGAAAAAGATGACACAAATCTTTGAGTAGTACATACATACATGCAAGTTGGACAATGATATTGAATTAAAATCATCATGTACAGTAAAATAGACAATAAAAATTACATTTTGGTGACATTTCCCCATAGAAAAACACATGGAATAACACGCCAATGTGGGCCATTTCTGTCAAAACAGGATATACGATCATCATCAAGTGCTCGGTCAAAAAACTTTTCAAAGAAGTAAGACTTGTATCTGCCGTGTTTGCGGAGGGATCTACTGATCACCCACTTCCACTAACCCACCTGTTGTGATGACAGTGATGCTCTGGCCATTTCTGGCAACTTTCATCTCGTTAGACAAACATCCACTCAGCGTAAAGATGGGATGTAGAAATAGTTTGGGTTTGATGAGAGAAATTGCCCCCGTTCACTCAAGTTACTGTTGACTGTGCAATCAAATGCTCTTATGCAACACTTATATACAAACTAAAGAAAACATGTAACACGTTTAGGAGATAAGATTGAGAACCTCTAGTGGGCAGGGATGGAAGTAGTGTTTGCGTAAGGATCACTTACTAGCATTTAAATGCTAATGTTTCCTTACAACATACGATAAAGTCATTTAAATTCATTTAAAGTAATTGAGACATACAATATGTGGCACGATGCATTTGTGAGAAGTTGTACCACCAGTTTCTGTTCCTCCGCACTGGTCTGTGGAGTTGTCTTGTTCCGACAATGCTGGAAATAGTTTTTTTGGACTCATTAAAAACGAGCATGAGGTCATTCCAAGCAGGAGGTCCATGAGATCTCGTCGCATTCTGTGGAAATGTGGGAAATGCGTTTTTCTTTTGCAAAAATCTGTCAAACATTTACTATAAATGGAGCACGAGTCATCACACATGGATCGCTGCGATGTAATGTGAGACCATGTCGACACTCAAGTGTAACCGAGTGTTGATTGAAGTCAAAGGTGACGTAATAAAGTATTTCCTCTTTGTGTGACGGAAATGTTCCAATCTGACATTTATAAAGTACTTTTAATGTTACATAATTAAGGTTACATAATCATTACTCAGCTGTGACATTGTTTTTTTGCCACAAGTCTTGTCTAAAACCACATGTTGTGCTTCAGAATTGGACTTTTCCTGAAAACAACAAAAGATCCGAAGGCCCTTCTTGGGCTGAAAACTTTCCTCTGCTCCTGCTGATGTCAGAAAGTCCAGTCTTGGACCCCACTGAGGCGTATAAGTATAAGTGTGAGCAGGAAGAACCGAGCGAGGGCTCCGTACTGGTGGATCACCACTCATTTGGATGCTTTTATTGCCTTTACAATAACATTACAAGCTGTCACCAGCTTGCATAAGTTATCTTCCCTTTGCCTCCGGCTCTTTTCTCTTCATCTTAATCCACTGCATGTGTGAGCCTGCTGTGAGCATAACACACAGAGGGGAGAGGAAATGGGCTCGATGAAACGCGTGCACACAGACACACACATCCCTGTTATATAGAAAGTAGAACCAGAGCGGCAAACAACAGCAAGTGGCTCTAAAAGTCAGCCGAAACGGATTCTAACAATTCATGTCAGCTTTCCACTCCCAAGTAAGTTAAATAAATGTTGATGCCAATGCCAGACTTATTTACAACATTACATCTTGTAGAACCTTTCCTTGTAGGGGAGTGTTTTCACTGAGGGGTTCCAAATACTGAGAGGCATTACAAATTATGTTTCTCCTCTGTGATCCATCACAGGTCATGTTACTGTAATACATTGGAGGCACAAGCCAAGAAGCATCCATAACTAAAGTTTAGACCGAGAGCTTCTTAAGCTTTTGTTCTAATCGGGTTTTGCTGATCTTCTTTCAACAGGGTCCATAAACTACATCAGAGTGAGACCCCTGTTTGCCAGGAGGGGAGACTACGAACGACAGAGGGTTCGTGAGCCGGTAAGATGGATTACTTCAGCCTGTCAGCGTCGTAAAACATAAGCAGCTTCGGGATACGGGCTGTTGTGTTTGAGTTATTTCCCTGTTGATGGAAAAAGATTATATTTCCTTCCATTTTTCAGAGGCCCAAAACGGTTCCTGGTCCTCTAAAGGACGTCCCTCGGGTCAAAACGGCGCCGAAACCCCCGAGGCCCAGATGCTCCGCGCCCGGCCAGAGCTGCGTGAGCCAGTCCGGCTGCTGCGACCCGTGCTCCACCTGCCACTGCCGCTTCTTCAACGCCATCTGCTTCTGTCGGAAAACCAAGCCCCCCTGCGAGAGGAAGCCTCAAAGCACCGGCCAGGCCAAGCAGAGCCCCAAACACGCTCTGAAAGTCCCCGCCGGCCGTTGAATTGAACAATCTAGCCACCATACCAGTAATTCTCAAACATTCTCCAGAAAATATTTACTGTATATTGTTTGTATTATAACATTTTAATGTTGATGCTTTTATATCTGATTTTGCTTTGTTTTTACTCCAGTTTTCTCCACTGCCTGCCATTTATTTGGATGTATTTTGTATTGCTGTCGCTCGTCTTATTGGTATTACACCGATAACTGTATTTCATTTGAAGTGTTTCGGCTTTTCGATGCTACTGGTCTAAGGACTTTGGGCTTGAAACAATCTGTGACCACAAACAAACAGCCATCATCCCCTCTGTTTTTCCAGAGGAACTGATAGGAGACCAAGAAAAACCATCCCCACCGATGGGGTAGCGGTTACCAATTACAATGTTTCCCCAACCTAAACAGTACCCTGGTGTGTTGTCTATATTTATACCAGATTTGTATTCCTTGGGAAAAGATTATCAGCTGGCAACCATGTGAGCAAACTTCCTTTCACTTTCAAACGGGCTTTTCATAAAATTTAATGTTGAATTTCGACTCGATAGAAAGTGTGCAGTCATCTGCAGGATTCTGTCATATTGAATGGGTGGGAAATGATTAAATCGGATTAAAATAACATAACTGAGATCTTATTTTGCTTGAATTTGATTTTCCCGAAGCTTCCATGCTGTTACATATTTGCACTTGGTCCTTTTCCTGTTGAAAATGTTCATTTATCCCTTATCTAGATCCCTCGGAGACAGCTTTTAGCACAGGTCAGATCCACATCGTTTCATCTTTCTCCCTTCATCTTGACTCTTTCCTGGAAAGCGTCACTGCACTAATGTTGCCATGGCCATGCTTGACTCTAGGGATCATTTTTAATGACGGATCAATTAAATTAGCCTCCTCATTTGGTTTCCTAGCTGGAAAAGGCTCCAGCCCCTGTCGCAACCCTACTTAATTGGTGTAGACAACAATTAGATGGACGGATGGACGTTTTGTTTCCTTTATATATGCTACCAGCCTGATATTTCAACGATTAATCTTTGTTTCATCGGATCGAAGGATTCAAATGATCCAGCTCATCCATCATTAAGTAATGATTGACCTTTGTCTTACTCTAGCATAAAATAAAGCTTCAGTAAAGGGGAAAAAAATGACAATCTGCCTTGTTTCTGTACCCTTTACCGAAGAGCCAGAATATCAGGTGTCTCAGAAAATCCAACTTACATTCTTAAATCTTAAAGATGATTCTACTTTTGTTTAACATGTTTCCTTTATTGTACGACAAACCCACGGAAATTCTCACAATGAGAGGAAACACAATAGCATCAATGGCCGTGGACCAATGTTATTGCTGGACACATTCAGAACTCTGTCACTGAGTGTGATCGATGAAGAACTCTCCCCATAAACCAAGTAACTGGATAGTGGAACTGCACCTTGTAGAATTCACATATGTTAAATCCCCATCCAGCCAGAGGAATGGGTGGGAATTTGGAGGAACGCGAATGGGTCAGATCTGTTCGAATTACACGGTTGCATCTGGATGCTATTTTCCTTTCAACTACCAGGACAGACTGCAAAAAGAGCAGATTCAAGCCCTCTGCCAAAGTTTTGTCGGCTAATATCCTCCTCACTCTTTCAGATTCCTTTTTATTTAGCCAGAGTGTGGGATGCCTGCTTCCTGAAGGAAGTGTTTCCCACAGATCCTGACAATGCAAAGCCACATGAGCCGGACGAGAAACTGCGGGGGGGACAATAAGTGAGCCTGGATCTGTGTTCGAGTGCAAGCTAGGCTCCTTTTTTGGCACAGGGGGGGGGTTTGTACATGACCACACAGCAGCATCATCTGATCGATTAGTACGATGATCGGGTCAGATCCCTCATCGGTGCCTGGAGATTCAGTTTGACGTGCTCTTGAAAGGTTCTGCGCGTTAAAAAGTCTGATGAGACTTGCAGACCATTTTGAGTTGTTCTTGTTGCCTGTATGACCCGAGGAGCTACCAAAATCTGATTATACCTACTGACACAAAATTCGCTTTGAAACGTCAGAAGCGTCCGAGATGTCTGACCTTAACGTGAGCAACGAGCTCAGAAAATCATTTGTCCAGTTTTTCTTTTGATTTTATTTTTCATTTGAAACTATATCACAGTTTGAACTCATCACATTTGCCTCCAGATATCATGCAATTGAGTTTCCTTGATACCCGACTGTATCTCCTCTGTATTAAGATAGGTTCTCCAGTTTAACATAAATGGCTCCTCACCCAAACATTACTGTCCTCAAAAGAGTACACCTTCTCCTTAACCCTGTAATGCCAAATGTATCATATTTGATACGTACGGTTTCTGAAATGTTTTACGTCTGACACCTTTTGCATAATTTAATGGTAAAATCCTATTTTACACAATCAGATACACCTGAAAACAGGGGGAAGAAGACTACACAAAAAATAATCTTGACTTATCACATAGTAATAAATTAATATTAAAAACGTATTTATGTATTTTCTTTTTACATATTTTGTTAAAAGGCCAAATAAGGAAGTCAAACAAAAAAAAAGTAATTTTCCTTTTTGTTTTGTTCTTGGATCAGGCTTTAAAGGGTTAAGATGGAGGAAAACTGCTAAGTCTTGACCTAACAAGCTTGTTCCTGTATGTAAATGTACACAAAGCTGTTGTTTCGTCTCTCCTACCTGAAGGTCTGCGCACTCTATGTTGCACTTGTGTTTGGGTTTTCGTCTTTGGATTTATGGGCACATGTGGTCTGTTTTCTGAAAAACATTTTGATCAAAGAGAGGTTTAGAACACACTAATAAATGGGGACTACTTTGGAACATCGTTAATGTGGCACCACATGTCCGCCTCACAGCACAACAAGAGAGGAATAGTCGAACAGATCTGTTCACCTCACAGCGGGGTGCGGCTCTAATTTGGTGCTTTTAAAGCAAGTGATAACTGCTCTGTTGCCATTTTTACGTAATCCAAAATTCCTTTTCAGAAAGGTTAGTGAGACATTTGCCTTGTGGCATATCTTGATCACGGAAATAGAAAGACGGAAGAAGAATGGAAAAAGAGAACAGCGGGCCATAGAAGTAATGGTGGGTTAAAGACGAGGTTAAGCATCGTGTTTTCTGTTAGTGTAATGTTTTTTTTGGCCTTAAGCAAAAGTTCTACAGGTTCTCTGAAGGTCGGTAAAAGTTGCTTTGTGGCAGATGTCATTTTCAATTCCGATCTTGAACTTGAACCAGTTTCCACACCTATTAGACAACTTGGCACAGAATCAATTCTAAAGAGTGTCTTTAGACACTTTGTTACTAGTATCCTGTAGAAATGAAACCTTATTTTCCATGGTTGCATCGATAAAAAATGCCAAAGATTGGAAATGTTTGACAGACACAAATACTATTTTTGCACCAACATAATGATTTCCAAAGAGATATTTTTGGCAGAACATGAAGATTTGTTAATAGTCTGATATTATAGTTTTTACCCTTAATGGTCCCAACATGATTGAGAATTCTATAAAATAGAAATGTTGCTTTATTAAGTAGCCGTTCGACTGTAACCAAAGGGTTATAAAACAATTTTTAAATGGCACATCTTAGCATCTCAAAGTGGTGTCCTTAAGAAAAGAAAATATCCAGCAAATAGTGGAAACAGCTCTGTTAAGCCGGCCCCAAAGGCCTCATCTGAAATGGAACGGTAGCTACTGAAAATCCCCTTTTAAGGAAAGAAAAAAGGAGAAAAGCAGTGTGCCAAATGACAGGGTGGTTCAGAACCAGTGGTCACAGGTTGTGTGGTGGGATGGACATCCCCATTATTGAAACATTCTTCGATTATCTTGAGCTTCTTCCAAGCAAGAACAACAAAAGGCAGCCAGCATGGTGAGAAATTCTTTTTTTTTCACAGCAAAAAAAGGTGACCCAAAACTTTTGAATAAATCTAACATGTTTTTTTCTCCTAGACACAACAGCACGCGAGAGGATGAACGAAAAGAAACCTTTCCCCACCACATTATTCATTTGTTTTGTTGCTGTCTGAGGCTGAATGCAGCTGGGACGGTTCTGGAGAGCACTCAAAATTCTCGCTGGGAACCATATGCATATTCTGACACATTCCTTGCAGAAGCCTAAAATAGGCCGCAGCAGCTGTGATTTCAAACAGATGCACATTCTTCACTGCTTTCATTAAGCATTTATAGCATATCTGAATTAATAGGCCGCTGTATATATTATGTTTCAATGGAATCCAGGTTTGTTGGCCTCTGGCTCTTATTAAGTGCTGACCGTATAACGTTTTGTCAATTAAAACCAACAGGATTAATGGAATAATATCAAAAACACAATCTGTGTGTACTGTTAATTTTCTGCAGGTGTCGGCCATTTTTGTATTAGGATCAAAATCATCAAAACAGAGACTACTTGAAAATGTTGCATTCCTGTCTTTCTTAGAATTTTTGCCTTATTTCTTTGGATTCTTTGGATTATTCTTATTTAATTCAAGCATTTCCAATAATAAGCCAGAGTTAACAAGCTTTCCAATCATTTGCATCACATTTAATTAACAGAAGGACCAGACATAGCTTTGACACTGATAATGTTAATAGTACGATAATACCCACTAAGGTCGACTTAGTCGCAATGTAAATAACTTTATTTGTATTCATTTTCCCATCAATTAGTAAAAACAAAACTATAATGGATCCAGCCATTGACCACCGCAGTACCCACTCCATGGGAGCAGGAAAATAAAAGCCTCTCTTGCCAACTGTCTTTGTACGTCTAGGTGTATACTGTTTCCCCAGGTTAGATAAATGCGATGGCATGAAGCCATTTAGCTATTTTGTAAGAGCGGAGCAACAATGTAAAGTCTGCTCTCACCTGGAGCCATTGTGTGAAATGTTCCAATGTAATTGCTGCACTTAACTGAGGAGCTGCTTTTTGTTTTTTGTAACCTGAAAAAAAGGGGCATGCAATAATTTCAGCTTAATGTTGCAAAAGTTAAAGTCTCAGGGTTCTTTGGTGATGAGGCAGATCCACTTTTAACAATGTTGCTTTTATGAAAAACGACCACTCTGGTCACGTATTTGAAAAGAAGGTCAAAGGAAAGTGTTCTGCTGAAAAAGAAGAAAAAAAAAAGCTTTTTAAAAGTTTTGTTATTCTGTTCCTGTATAAAAAGCAGAGTCGTTCAAAGAAAAAGTTGAATTATCATGAAATTGACCCAGTCTTCCTTTCCCAATTCCTTATTTCAAAGATATTTGCTGATAACCAGCTCCAAAAAACAGCTAAACAAGGCCATGATAAGACTAATTACAATGATATGGTATTAACACTAATTCTCATTTGTAAATTATGATGTTTGGTTAGTGAAAAAAATTAAGTAGAAATTTTACAAAAGAATAAAACATGAAGAAAGAATTAGTCAAATATCCCTTGACAAGATGTTGAATGTTTTTTACGCTCTTTCCTTAGCGGAAAGATCCCCTGATTGCTTCAGTCTGTTACTGGCTCTGTAGATGCAATACTCCTTTCTATTAGCCATTCATGAATCAGACAATGTGTTTCACGTAGTAAAACAGCATAAATTTGGATGAGTTGGTGCAAATTATCTGAAAATCTTCGCAACCTGACGTGTGGACCCTGTCTTATCTGAGCCTCTGACATCTAAGACTATGATTTATGTGCACTGTCATCATACCGATGACTAAATAACCAAAGACTTACCAAAAATGACGTAGAATGAATTACAACACTACAAACTAAATCATCTACAAGTAGTGTAGATTTCAATCCACTGTAAGTTTGTCCAGAACTCGCCTTTGTTATCCAAAAAGAGCATTAGAACAAAACCTCAGTCCAAACCCCTTAGGAACTGACTAGAGATATATTTCACAAGAAGAACCCGACACTGGACATTTTGCAGGTTGTTTACTCTTTATTCTACGTCCTCTCAAACACGGCTTTAAGACAATCCAAGGCTGCCATTAAATGATAAAAAAAAGTGAATAAACATTAAAGATGAGCCCCAAAGTTGGCCTCATGTCAGTGCACTCACAAACGTACCAAAACAGTGTGTTCAAATTAAAATGACGAAATAGCACCATTAAGTGTGTTTTAATATAAAAAATGATAACAAATGCGGGCAGATCCGTCCTGTCCATTTAGCAGTTTTTAATTAAATATGATTCATAATATATTTAAACTCCTCTGGCTTCTGTCCCATCATCATCTTCTGTTCCATCTGCTGGCTGATATTAGTTTAAGATGAATGTCTTTGAACAAATCTGACACTTTTATTCCTGAGCTTTATGACCACTGTGCACCTTGCGGTGAACCCTATCTATTTGCTGCCGTGGTTTCTCCTTTTTGGAGTAGATGTGCACGATAACGTGCTCCTGCACAGCCATCCTCACTCGGCTGGATGTTGTGATTAGTGTTTTCTTAACCCTGGAAAGACTGTAATAATATACCGCTGCTGTCTTCGGTCCACTTGTTTTTTCTTAGGTAACTGAGATCACAAACGCGCTCCTTTTCTTTTTTGGATTTTTACAAAAAAGCAGGCTCGAAAATAAAGTAGAGCTGGGCTGGAAGTGGCACCGAAATCCGTATGTTCTTGCGATCCCTTTGATGGATGTTTTTTCTTCTACACCCGGAGGATGGCCTGTTTCTCTTGGACTGCCAAAAACTCCTTTGACAACAGTTTCTAATAAATTGAATCAACCACAACGTTTACCCTCTTAACTCTTGAAAAACAGATGAAAAATAACCTTTGCTTTTTCTTAAATAATAGAACTTTCGCGACTTTGAGAAAAAAAATAAAAGGAAAAAAATATCGAGAACATTATTAAACCTCATTAAGGATTTGAAATACATAATTTTGTGCATAAAAACATGTCCAAAAATCATTTGAATGGATGAACTTAAGTCTTTTTTGTGACTTGGACCCTTCAGTCTGTGTAAAACAAGTAAGAGCTCACATTTTTTTACTGACAGTGTGGCATTCAGAAATTATATTGAGCATTTAAAATTCAAAATAATTTACATTTAAAATCACCATCATACAAAAAGGTATTCATTATATGGATCATTCAGCTTTATCACAGTACTTTATGCTTTATAAAATAAGAAGAGAATATATTTATGGCATGATATTTTTATATAAAGCCATTCTGCTAAAGTCTCCACATCTCTGATAGAGAGCTTATCATATGAAACTCCTTTTCTTCTTCTAACCTCAGCTGGGCGGCTTTAAGATGTCATTCACCTTTTAGAATGAATGAATTGCAACCTTTTCTTAAGCCGGGGTTCTCTTTTACTCCCCCGAGACTCCAAGATATCACTGGCTGATGTTTTTTTTTTTTACCCTTTCTTTTTTGTTCGGACTATTGCTCTGCAGTTGGAGTCAGCAGGATTGTTTCTTTAAGGAGGCTGTGTGTTTATCTGTCTGTTTTGTGTTCACGCGTTTCTTGGAAACCAGATGGTATCTTCACAAGGAGACCCCGATTCAATAAAGCCTAAAGGAATAGTCCAGCATGAACGGCTTAAGAAAACCTTGGATGTGTTTGTGCTCAATGTGACAGAGAGAAATGTGTTATGATAAGACCCAGAATGTCAAATCATAAACAGATTGTCCGAACAAATTCAAACATCACTCAAGCCGTCGTGGTGTGCTTTTAATAAAAGAGTAGCATTGATTTTTTTTTTTAAAAAGGGAATAGATGGGGGGGGGGGAACCAACGTCGTTTTAACATCCCTTCCATGCACTCCTCTCTAATCTGTTGTTTTGGAAGGTTGATTTTGATTTTCAGGTGGATTTTTTATCAAATAAGATGTGATACGAACATGAAGTTTGGTCGACCTCAAGTTCTTCATTTCATTCCTCAACCCTCATCCATGTTGAAAATTCACTCATTATTAGATTAGATTTTATATCCCCAACCAAGGTCCCACTCTGTGCTTTTATTAACCCCCCAAAAACCAGATGACTTTAACAAAATAAGAAAATAAAACTCTCACGGCTTTTTAACAGGATGATCATCTTCTTAATTGATTTTACAGCTAAACTAAAGCCTACAACTAAAGCTAAAGCCTGGGGCAAAAGAGCGAAGCCTACAAAAAGGCCTCCTCTGGGATTTCTGACGGGACATCCCAATGTCTCCAATGAAACTCCAAACTCTGTTGTACCTTAACTGCTTTGAACGTGACGGAAAATCTCGCCAAATCTGATTTTGTGCTCTCAATAACAGAAAGAGGACTGATATTTGCTAAGGTTTAATTGATGTCAAAAACACTTGTAATGCATCTGGTTATTTCCTAACAATTCTTTGGCCCGACTTTCACAGTTTTTTTTGTACATAGTTGTTTATAAAGTGCTTTTGCAGACATTTTTAGTTGCCCTCCCTGTTGTGTTTTTGCTTTGCAGACAGCTTCTGGCTCTCTGCCATGACTCAGTCTTTAGGCTGTACATTCAAACCCTTTGTGCTGGCAGCCGAAGCCCCAGTCAGAACTCCGAAGGGAGTTCATCATCTCACAGACGTGGGCCTGAAAAGGATTCTGATTCTTTGGAACGGTTTGAGTTGCTTCCCGTCTCCCGTCATCCCTACAACAAGGGCAGAACAAGCTAAATAGTTCAGGTTTTTCTAACTTTTGCTGACTTCTCCTCGTAGCGTGAGCTTCTTGTTTCATTGATTACTGATATAATATAAAGATTATCTGTAAAAAGTCACTCAGTAAGGAGTCAGGATTGGCTCCTGGAATGTTTTACATCGGAAATACAGACTGAATGCCCTTGCTTTACCAAGACTGTAGGTGGTGCTCCATAGATTCAAAGCAGAAATCTCCATCCTCAGTGTTTGAGTTCACTGTTTACATCTGTTTAAAATGGGACTTTGTGCCTAGCTTTGCTTTTCCCTGGATGACGACATGTTTCACCCTTATTTGACTGAAATGCTTAATTGCCCCTGTGAAGTGAGCTCAACTTGAATTGAGATGTGAAGCCAGAGTTACATTTTGGCCTTTACGCCGGATAAAAAGATCCCGTCTTCTTTGGGTCTGAGCTGTGAGTGATTTTGTTAGGGTAGCTTTGGGAGAGCCTCTGTGCCCAAATGACCAAACAGCTTAATCAATTAAAACAGAAGTGAGATTTCATCAGTTAAGGTATGTTGACTAAATGTATATATAATTTGCAATTATAAATTTTGATTGGATTAGTTTTTGTTTTGTTTTTTCACTTTTTAATCCTCTGGCCTTCCAAATTTAGTCTAGTTTTTGGTCTACACCCATAGCAATGGGTTACAGTGCTATCTCTAAAAACATTATTAACAGTATTATTAACTAAAATTTATTTAAAATAAACATATTCCTAAAATATGGAGAATTTTGAGTGCCATGATGATGCACCAATGACAAAACTATAGCAGCCCAGTCACATAGAGTGAATAAACAAACTAAGAGTGAAGATTCTGTACTTTTAGTTAGAATTTTAATGATCACTGGGAATTAATCTACAGTACTTAGTAAATTTATCAGATCACCACTCAATGTAAGGTTCAGGGCAATTATTTAGGTAGACACCAGAACAAATATTTCCTTTTCCGTTTTTGCAAGACTGAATGCACTTCTATCTAGAAGTTCTTTAGCCAGGATATTATTTTTAATGATGACATATTACTGTTATCAATGTATTTTTAGATGTTTTGTGTTAAATGTTGTGCTAAATAAGAAAAAAGAAAGAAATTGTAAAGAAGATTTTCTTTTTTTCTAGATTTCAAATTATATTAATTCATATATATACTTGCATACCTTAACAGAAAACATACTTTTAGTGTTTGAACGTTCTGCTTGATGTATTTCTCACTTATTAGAGTCTAACTTAAGCATATCATGATGTTCTGACACAAAATGAATCACATAAAGCACCTATACACTGTATTTCAAATAGTATTTTTTCAGTGCTGAGTACACATTATGTTAATTTACAATGCTGTGAAACCTGAATTCGCCTTTACAGGAAAGGCTACTGTATTTCATTCTGTTCAATAAACTGTTACAATTTGGTCAAGTATGTTGTGGATCTTGTAGAACAGAGTTTCTGTTGCAAGGTTTGGAGCAGAGATTACCCTCGAAAAAAGGGAAGGAAACAAAGGTTAACTGATGTCAGACATCTCAGGGTTTTCTGTATCACTGGCGAGAGAGAAAATAATGCTGATCTTCAGATCTTCTGATGAGAGTCTCCAGAATGACCAGAAGCAGACGGCTGATGGAAACCTAAAGAGGAAGGGGTGATGCCAAGAAGCCATTACTGGAGCCTGCACACACCCAGAAGCACCTGGAATCCTGGAACTGATGGAAGCCTAGCCCCAAAAAAGCCTGTGTGGGATTTAATAGAATCAAAGAGCAATCACACAAAAGTCAAATCCTAAACACGTCTGTGGGAGCTGCAGGAAACCATTTGAAACGAGGGAAATAGTAAAAATATATATATATAAACCGTTAGAAAATACTTAAAGTGTAAGCTGTTGTGATTGGTCCAAATATTTTATGTCACCGTGAGTGAAAAAAAAAAAATTAGTTTGTTTTTTGCTAAATAAATAACACAAACAATTTTGGGGTGTTAAATAGATTTTTAATGTTCGAATAAACTGTTTAAACGTCATAGGACTTGTAGCCCCTGTGTGGGACCGTAACTCCTGTATTCGGTGTTATTACACAGCAATATTTGGGGTGGCGCGCCTGTCGCCCGACTGTTTTGCTAGTCGGAAGCATCTGAGCAGAGATGGCAATAGAACCGTAGCACTGTGGGGCCTGGACGGTTACCGACAACCGAGGTGAGAGTCAACCGCAGACAGGAAGGAAGGTGCGGAGCAGCAAACAAGGTAAAACGGCTACGTTTCTGCCATTTCAACCACCATACGAGACGTTGTCGACACGTTAAACATGCCCTCCTTTAGCCTGTCTCTCACATTCAGCCGAACAGCTTTACTAGCTTTCCGTGATGGCGGACAATTAGCCGAGAGGCTACGTAAGTTACTTAGCAAGCCGGGGCTAGCGGGCAGCAATTGGATAATCGCTAACTTGGCTAAGTTTGTAATGCTAGCTTGCTAAATGAACGGCGTTTGCTTTACCGTTACTACAAACTGCATAACTGAAACATTAACTAATACGCCAAGTTTACATATGCAAATATATCCACGTTCTAGACCAGTTAAATGACATTACAATAAGTGAAATGACAGTAGGCTCGCATTAAGGTAACAGCAAAAAAACAAAACAAAAAAAACGCAAAAAGATGTTTTTTCCCCCAGTCACAGAGTGGGCTAGCAGGCTTTAGCTTTACGGTGCAGGTCAGTGCCCAGACGTAGCTACAAGTCTCTGACAGATATTGTTCGTACGTGATTTGTTGTCCGACTGTTGTTTAGCTCACAAACGTTTACCTCACGCCTAAAAAGGTGCAAATGCAAAAACGACGTAGCGTCCTATTAACTTTCACTTTATCAGCTAGGGGCTGGCACGCAAGACGACCAAAAGTTAGCCAGTGTTCGTCACTCATAAAGAGTGGGGTTGTTGTGATCAGCATTGTGAGTCTGCACAGTGGTTTCTGTAGGTCATTGTCAGCTTGAAAGTGGGGTCGGTCTGCTTACTTTTACATCTATTAGTTCATGTTCATGCTGACTGAACTTTGTATTCTGACAATCCCCTCGGCTAGGTCTCTAGCAGCAAAGGTGCTGACGCGTGTTGTCTTTGAGCTTTTCGTGGACAAAACATTCCTCAGCACAGGTAAACACAGTGCTGGCATGCTGCTGGATTATCCAAGTGTCAATCGAACGTACGTGGAGACCCTCTTGTTATCTGTAGGTCAACTTAAGGCTCGCTTCCCTTCCATTTCCCTTCTCTGGTATTTGTTATGTATCAGTAAATGTCCTGTACAAAAGTATTAAAAAACAACACACAATTCCACTTGAAACTGCACACAGATGTCAACAGATAAGCAAACAAGCACAACATATAGACACAGTGGGCATTCAGTTCCTAAAGCATTTGATTATCCAGATGTGTGGTCATTTTTTAGGTAAGGTACTCCAGAAATGTTGTCAAGTTTGAGGTTATGTAGTCCAGAAATGTTGTCAAGTTTGAGGTTATGTAATCCAGAAATGTTGTCAAGTTTGAGGTATGTTACCGGCCAACACTGTATAAGAAAAAAAAGAAACATTCTCTATAGTATTTTAGGGTCATTTATGGTTGTTAAATCTACATAATTAAGGAATTCCCCACTAGGAAGCTGTCCCTTACATGACTTTACATTGCACCAGTTTTGGATGTGAAGAGTATCCTATTCCCAGCCATACAGGGCTAATTCAGTTTAAAGTAACCAAAATAATCTAATTAAATTAATTTTATGACTTGACCGCATAACCCCTTGCTATCATTAACCCAAACATATGTTCCTCTCTGCTAGAGTCCTTTTTATGAAGCTAACAAATGGTGTCATAGGAGTGATTAACACCTTGTGTTTCCTAACTACTCGTCCTCTTCTCATCTGATTAGAAGGCTCTAACCGACTGCTTGGGCCTTACATTGTGGGCTATATCGATGTCCTAATATGATAAGCGATGTGATCAGGAGTCTGAATGGGGTGTTTTATTTTTAGAATCGACTGGTAAGTAGCTGTCTGCTCGCTGTGGGCGATGCTGTGGCACTTTATTGCTTATCTTGATCAAAAAGTCTCCGAAAAGTGTGTGGGTGCTTTGGTTGAGTGTCTTAGTGACCCTGGATATCCGCTGACAAATACCGGCCAGTTACCCCAAACAACCTTTTTCAGCACACTCCCCAGAATGGACCGCTATGCTGATCAGATGACCCCGTGTCTTTCACCACACTGACACATTCTAACCAGATTATTTCATTTTGTGTCCAGTCGTAGAAGGCAGGGTAGGTTTATTTGTATATTACATTTCATTTACAAGACTGTACAAGACGAAAATAAAACAACCATTGATTAAATAGATTAAAAGTGCCGATAAAATACATTCAGTTGTCATAAGCACAGCTATATAGAACTGTTTACAGCCTGGTTTAAACATTGTCAGAGTTGAGGCCTGTCTCAGCTGTTCAGGAAGACTTTTAGGAGCATAAAACTGAAATGAAACCTCACCTCGTTTGGACCTGACTCAGGCCACCAGCAGGAGACCGCTACCTGAGGCTCTCAGAGTCCGAGCTGGTTCACGCAGCTCTAACATGTCAGAAACGTACTTTGGGACGAGTCCGTGAAGAGACCTTCACACAAGCAGGGCCGTTTTGACCTGAGCACTGGACTGATATGGTCGTATTTCCTGGTTCTGGACAGACGTGGAGCAGCAGCATTCTGGATGTCTTCCAGCTGGTTTGGAGCCCAGAGAGCAGGCCGTTACAGTAGTCTAACCTACTGGAGACAAACGCATGTCTGGCTTAGACACTATTCCTCTGATTCTGGCCATGATTTTGAGATGGGAAAAGGCTGCTGATGTCACGGATTTAATGTGGCTGTTAAAGCTCAGGTCCGAGTCCAGTATTACCTCCAGATTTACCTGATTTTTTTAGGTTCCAAAGAGAGAGTCTGAAGGTGACTGATGACACGTTCTCTCAGTTTCTGTGGGCCGCAGAGAAACATTTCAGTTTGGTCCGAGAATCAACAGGGTTCATGTTCTCCTGCTATCAGCAACGTGGTGTCTCACGGCTGTGGTGGGGCCGAAAGCATCAAACGCATTGTGACGCAGGAGAAATGTCCAACTTTTTCCAGGACTTTTCCTGATAAAATCAGGTTTGATATGGGCCGGTAGCTGTTTTCAGTACTCTGGCATCCAGACTGCTCCTCTTTAGGAGAGGCTTAATGACAGATGTTTTTAGGCCTTTGAAAATGTTCCAGTCTGGAGTAAGATGCTGACTAGATGAGTGAGTTGTGGTAAGAAACTGCTCAGCACAGACTTCAGGAATCTAGTGGCTAAATGGTCCAGACGAACTCAGGCTGCAGATGGACTCTTCAACAGTTTTATCAGTGACAGGTGTAAACTCTGTCAGCTCTAGATGTCTCAGTGGGGGTAGAGTAGTTATTTGTGTTGTGGAAACGATTGCGTTTTTATTGTCTTGAACTTTGTCATTAAAGAATATTGAAACTCATGACATTTGGAGGTAGAAATGAGTTCCAAGGGCAGTGAGACTGGACAGGAAAGTTGTTTCCGCTGTTTTTGATGGTGTAGATTTCAAAACGAACCTGGAGCTTTGACCTGTTTTTGACTTTGACTCCCTTTTCTGTGCCCTGACAGAGTCCTCTTTTCTCCATGGTGCTTTTTGTCTGCTTTAAGCCATTTTAACCTTGACAAGAGCAATGGCAGCCAAAACCTCTAAGACACTTGAGCTCAACGGATTGTCCACATCAGAACACAGAGTATCTTCAAACCTAATCGTTTCCGAAAACCTGTGTCCCTGTGTTTTCATCATTGAGTACACATAGTTGTAATTCAAGGAATATTTGCAGTAATCAGACAGTCAGACTCAGTGGCAGCTTCCCTAAATCACTGTGTCCCGGTCATTCCTAAACATTCCTGTTATCACAGATTAGGGGTGCCCGACAGTCGAAAGGAAAAGATGAAAACAGCAGGGCATTATGCTATATATATCATCCCTGTGCAGACTTGAGATTAGAATATGTTACCACTCGGTGAAAGAATTTTTCAAACTCTCGGCCACCAATTTTTCACTGAATATGAAGGGCATTGTCTTTCCGTAGCCGAGAGCTGGCTGTTTTGTAAGCAAATCCACCCCTACGCCAACACTGCAGGCCGACAAACTCCTCAGAAAAAGATAAGCAGTTGGTCACACAGCATTCCACAGAAAATGGAAGCGATACTCTGTAAGAGGCATGCTGTACAGAATATTCATAAAGAGTAAGTTAAGAAATGATACTATGTCTAAGTCACTTCTCATTGCTCACCAAAAGTGTGTGTTAGTCATTTTTGGGGTTGAACTTTCAGTGTAGTGGATGTGTGTATACACCAGCCAATGACACTGAGGACTGAAAAAATGGAACTATTAACTCAAACTTCGGTCACTTTAACACTTTCAATTGCCTTTGTTTACTTTAAATTTGAAGCACCAGAGACCTTGTTTTCTGATATCTCTTTCTCGCTCACTTTTGTAAGAATTCATATTGAAATGATTTGGTAATCTTTTTTTTCTTTTTCTTTTAACCATGCATTGTCTTAAAATGTACCCTGATGGCTGTCTGTGCCTTTCCTCTACAAATAGCTTTTTTAGTCAATATTTGAAAAAATCCAAACACTATTTATTTTTCTAGGAAATCATATCATTTCAAACATCAAGGAGAATATTATTCTGTATAATTTTCAGTACTGCGCAGAACGATTATTTAAAAAAATTCTATTGGAAACAGTTCAATGAAAAAACGTGCTTAAAATTGGCACAAAATTCAATTTTTTTTTTCAAAAAAAAAAAATTCAATACATTACTTTACAAGGGGGGAACAATCAGTTAATAAATTATGCCTCTGATTCCTCCCATCCTCACAGTGTGGGTTGAGAAGGGTTGTCACGTCAGATGTCGGAATGTTTGTTTGGAAATATTAGCCCTTCTTCCAAGGGCTGACTTACAAGTAGGTGAGGGCAAGTAAAAACCACCTCTTTAAGAGACGGGTAGATGTCGGAGTAGCCCGAGGATGACAGCCCGCTCTGTTTTAATTGTGCGCACCTGAATATTAATAGCGGCTGTCAGCACGGTTGCCTGTCCTGTTATCGACTAATCGGCTGTGGTTCGCCCTTTTTTCCCCCACTGTGCCCTGTTTGAGTGAACAGTGAGGGCCCTCTGCCAGTTGATATTCTCTCTTTTGGATATTTTACATGTGAGTATAGCTGAGTACAACAGACAGAAGTTCTCTTGAAGTTGCTTTAATGTTCATTTGGTCAAATTAAGTTATAAAATTGGGATTTTATTAGAGCAGAGTAATGGTGTAGAAATGCTTTACAGGACTGTGAGTGACTTTTGTTTAGCAACCAAACAGCATGCGAATGAAAACAGGTCTACTTGGAGTTGTGTTATACAGGAACTGAATTCTAGAACATGCACACAGTGCCCAGACTCACTGTGGGTGCATTTTAAGATCTGCCAGAAGTGGGTTTTTTTTTTTTGTTTTCTCAGGTTTCATGCATTCCATTTCCTATGACTTTGTACTGATGAACATGTTAGAAATTGCTGCTCCCCCCCCCATAATGTCAAAAACAAACATTCACAGACACACGTACGCACTCCTATTTTCAAACACTTGTCTTGTTTATTAAGATACATGGCGAAGTAAGAAGAAAAAAAAGTAAAAAAATTAATCTCACCAATCTCATTGACCAAAAATGTCAGAAAATTCTACTTAAACAGTAGACGTTTCCATTTCTTATGAAATTGAGATCCATTTTAAGTGATTGTTGTGACTTATTTTATTATAGGTCTATTCTCATCATTAGCAGTGGGGAATGTTTCACTTTATTAATGACAAACTGTATGTTAGGTACAAATTAAATACCTCTGAACTCCACAAATATTACTTAAATCCTACATCTGAGGTGCAAAAGCACAAGTGTCCTCCTCTGTCTTTCACTGCCTGGTAGGAGTTATTTCCACTGGACTGTTTGGTTAGGCTCAGGGACTAATTTTCATAATAATACCATTACGGTAAAGCAGAAAGCATATTACAATGTGCAAAACCCCCAATTTTCTTGTAATTTGATATGGCAGAGTGCTCTCATTTATCAGTGTTCCACACAAAAAAAACAACATTCTGTGGAGTCGCAGCCAAAGATTCTCAGTCTCAGCTCAGACCTTTTGACAGGATTGATGAAACATAGGATCTACTGATGTATGGGTTTATGGAGATAAGCTCAATACCTGTTTTTGTTTTCACTGTTGCACATTTATGAGGTGAAGCAATTTTATAGTTCTGTAATGATAACTGTCACGATGGATATCCATCTGGAGGGATGCTCTTATCTTTGGGGGTTTTTTGCTGTAAAATTTAGATATCTGGTTTAACATGTCAAAATGCTTCAGTTTCTGCAACAAATGTGGAACCCAGAGCCAGTTGTCTTTCCAGGACACTGTTACAACGTGATCTTCCAGACTCACTGCCTTACCTGCTCATACATAATCAGGATAGGAAACACATTTCGTTCCTCCGGTCACAGGCTCTATTTCTCACACACAGGGTTAGCGCCTTGCCTCCTCCTGTTAAAAAGGGAGAAAGGTGGGGCCGGTGACGAAGCAGAAAATGGAGCAATCAGGCAGTTTTCAATGTCTTCAAGATGAGCCACACCTGTCCTGCTCAGTTATGCATATTGTCCAGTATTAGAGTATAGCCTGTATGCTAGTATGTTTAATCTCCCCCCTGACCTTTGGTTAAAACTGATGTCTCTGTCTCCGTTTGACTCTCTCGTGTACCGACATAAGCCAACGGATCGTGCACATCCTCTTCGTTGCTGGCAAGCAAACATTTGGCGCGTAAGGGCCACCCTTTGGGCTGGATCGTGCGCTTGTGTTCAGTTAAATCTTTCAAACATGCTCTCCTCTGTTTTAGTGGAATCATGGGACACGGAGTGGGCTGAACCAGAGGGGCTAGCAAAACACATCAGTCGTGAGTACAGATGATTTTTCTCTCCGTTCTCTGTTGTCATACAGACAGACTTACACCATTCTGTCGCAGTAATACAAACTGTAACAGGTAAATGTAAACAGATTGCTCACCTGGTTCCATTTGAAAATTTTCATTTTATGGTATTTACACTTTTTGACATTTAGCTTTACACAGCACACACCTTTAGGTGTAACTAAAAGCCTGTTGAAATATCTTTAACAAATATAAAGAATATCCTACATTTCCCCTTTGCGGGACAAGAAAGACTGCTTCTATTGCATTTTAATGTTTGTTTGTTTTTGTGGGTGTTTGAGAGGCTTCTCACGGTGGCATATGACATGGCCACGGCCTCATCCAGAGCAGAGACTAGCCCTAACCACAGACACACGTCACAGCTCCATGCCATCAGTGAGTCTCAGCAAGCACGTTTGACTTTTCCAAGGTGAACGTTTTTTCAAAATGACAGTGATGTCGCTCCCCCCAACAGTTTCCTGTGCCAAGCTTAAGCGGAAGAAGACGCTGTTCGGGGCGGCCATTTATGTGGAGGCGACAGCGGAGGGAGAGTCGCGCCGCACGGCCAAATCTCACAGCTCATCCAGCCCCAAATGGGACGAGAGGCTCACCCTGTAAGAAGCCCTGTCTTAGACTTGTTTACATTCCTTTAGCTGAAAGCAACGTTTATGTTTTTCGTCACCATTCTTTTACTTGGATCAAAGAAAATTGATTTTGATGCAGAAATAACTCAACAGTCAATTTGTTCCCCTTACTGAGAACAAACCAGAGATCTCATTTTTAAACAGTATACAATAGGGGACTTATTTTGAGGAAAACCTCTGAGCAGAGCTTAATGGAAAGTCTGTTCATTCTCCCTTCATGCAGACATGAGTTGTCTTTTAAAGGCATTTGAACTCCTATAAAGTTAGTCAAAGAGGCCGATTGAGCAACAGATATTTGTTTCCTTTGTACTTTGCCTTTTTGGATACTAGAGTTGGATCTGCAAGCACCCTTTGCTTCACGAATTTAAAAAAGATTGCTTAAATATGTTTGTAAATTCTAAGTATAATGACCCAAAAACCTTGTGGTGGCTCATCTGATAATCATCTGAAAATCGGGGGGGAATCTGTCCCAGAGCACACGGAGCTCTTTGTGCTATCACACCAGCAGAACAGCCGTCTGACCGTTGCAGCTCCCGGGCCTCTAAATGGCTCAAACCAAATCCCAGAAGCCTGTCATTGCATGAATTGTTCTTATTGGATCATTATCCATGACAATTGATGGCAGCAGCATTGTGTCTCGCCACTGAATCAAAGGCTGTAGAGTTAGATGTTGCTGATGTGCTCACCATTGAAAATGGCGATAGCGTATTGTGAGAAAAACACAAACAATAAGGTTACATCAGTTATTTTTGTGAGTTATTTTCTTTTATTTTTTGTGAATGGAGAGCTGATGATGGTCTCTTTGTGACCACCTATCCTCTTTAAAAATGGGAAAAAAATGTTCAATTCCCTTTTTTTTTTCTGTCCCTTTACACTGTTGTGATGTACCATTTGTCCCTGATTTTCCAGGAAAGTTACACCCCACACAAAGGTGGATTTCAGAGTATGGAGTCACCATACGCTGAAAGCGGACGCTCTGCTGGGCAAAGCCACGCTGGACTTAACTCAAGCTCTGGAGCAGCATGACAGAAGATGTAGGATTGGAAAACATCAAACATACAGAGAAACAAGATTGACTGATTCATCAGTTTGATGCAATCCAATCAGATTAAGCAATATTCCCCATGAAAGTATTTTGGTTTCAGTCTTTCTTTCTGTTTTTTTCCCCTGGTGACGCTCAACAGTGGAGAATGCAAAAGAGGTGCTGAAGCTGTGTGCCGAGCAGAAGGGGGCGGTCGTGCCTATGGGGGAGCTAACAGTGTACCTTGATGGACTGACCGTCACTGACCAGGATGAGCTGGTGCCCCTCACCAATGGCAACACTGCAAACGGCACCAGTGAGCTCAGTGTTTGTGTCAGGGGTGGGTGAAGGCGTGTCTTCAGTTTCCACCTGCACCACTACATGCCAATCAAAGAAATCCTCACAGAAACCATGCCTAACACTTTTCAGGCAGAAACTTTTGGCTAAGTCCTTCTACTGTCATATACACCTACAAGGTAATGTTCTATCTTCTACAGAGGTCCAACAGAATGGTGAGGCCATCCATGAAAACGGAGACTCCTCCTCCTCGTCCTCAAGGGCTGCTAATAGGTACGTTCATCAAACCCATCATTTTCAGACGTTTGAGTTTTCCCCGCACATTTCACAAAGAAAGGCTCCATTCCTGAAATGGTTAGATTCCTTTTTAAATTAAGGGCCATGCTTATCCTCAAGCAAAAGAATGCTAACATGGTGATAAGTATGTAATCCAAGTTTCCTCACAATGAGCCAGTGTTTGAATACGTAATGCTTTATTTCACATGACTGTTGATACTATTATTCCATTTGGATTTGGGGAAATCGATATTTATGTCCGGTATTTCTAAATTTAGTCTTTTTCCTAAGTATTTTTAAGTCTAGGGCAAAAAGTTTTCTTTAAGCTTCACAACCAGACACAATAACAGGTCCACTTAAGATCTGTTTTTAAAAGTAAGATAGAAGACTAGGCAGAATAAATTCCCTCCGTTAGTCTGTATTTGGAATAAAAAAAATTCTCCAACATGGAATCCATCGAATAATGGTTCAGAACCTCAAGCGCTAAGAATATTTAGATGCTTGAAGTTCAGTGATTAGCCTACATTTGACATTTACTGCCACAGAAAGCTCAATGTGTGGGTGCGGCTTGATTAGATTTGACAGCTGGTGCTGGTAACGTAAGCAGATGACCTCGCAAACTGTATTAGTCATCTCCTTAACAAGCATTGATTAACTCTGAATTGTTCCAAAGAAGTGTGTGACGTCAGGTCTTTTCCAACTCAGCAACACCTTCTTCCAGTCAGAGCTTAAACAGAAAGAGAAAGAGGGAAAAAAACAAAGCCAAAAAAGCCATTGTGCATCATAACAAAAGGAGTGACTACTAGTTTCAGTGGATCACGTCAGTATTTTGTGAAATTAAGAGAGACTCTGAATGCTTATTTTGGTTTGTGTTTTAGTTACCGTAATTGTGTTTAAACATTGTTTCCTTACAAGTCAATACAAAGATAACTTGAAAAAAACTTTCTGATTTCCTTTTGGAATTTGAGTGGAACAGCAGCAGGGACATTTTTTAGACTTGGTTTTAGCTCCTTTCTTTTCTGTAAGTTCCATCTCATTGATGACTCCAGATTTTATTCTGGTTGATTCTGAATGTAGCTGTCAGAGGAGGCGGTGGGGGAAAAAAAAGACGGAGGAGTTCATTTGTACACAAGTGAACTATAATTGAAACCAGGACAGCGTGTAACTCAGGAAGTCGTTGGACCCGACAGCGTTTTCTGGGAATTTCTGACTGGATTTCGAACACACTCTTCGGGAACTCTTAGGAGCTCAGCTCAGTTTGGATGGCAAAAATGAAGCATAATGGATTTGGAACATTAACATGAGAGAAAATCCTAAACGGAGACTGAAACGGCTGCCCTGTCGTAAACCTCTCACAGTCAGTTAATGACATAAGAAGATTCCATCTGGATGTTTACTGCACAGATACACGTTAGCTGCGATAGCAAAACCCCCTAGAAGAGAGAATTACCTTCATTGTTGCCATTCAGCAGTAAATGGCTTAGAAATGCCTTATTAATCCCCTGTTTTCAACGATTGCGCCAGAGAAAACAACTACGTAAAAAGCAGAACTTTAGTTACTTAAAAAGCAGGGGATTACTCAGTTTTTTCTTCTTTCTCTATTTTTTTTAAACCTCTAAGTTGGAGAACATTTTATGGCACCTCTCTTTGCCTTTACTGTCTCTTTATTGTCCGTTTTTACTGCCTCAGTGCGTTTCATTTTTACTGGGTGCATAGCACTATGAAGCAGTGAGTGTTCTTTCTGTCTGAGCAAGGCGCTAAATGAGCAGGCTTTACTCACTAGAACGCTTTCACTAGAACTCATATTTGTATTCAGTGCTCATGAGTAGATTTATTCCACTTTTTATTGTGGCTCCTGGATTTGAAGGTGAATCAATCAATGAGATTAAGACAAAGACAAAAGAAACAAGGCTCAAGTCCTCAGTGTTTTATGCACAATAAGCATAACAGTTTTCAGCCACAGTCTGTCATTGATGATAAGAATTTACAACACTATTTTTTTTCTTGTCTGTTTGCAATTCTGTGTCTGCCCGGTTGCCCTTTGGAGAAAATAGTCCATCTGGAGGGTTGGGGTTAGACAGTGCTGTTATCAATAACTTACTTGATTTTTTTTTTTTTAAACGAAAACCTACCAAATTAAGATAATTGGGTGGATTCGTGGAGAGGTTTTAAATGAATCATTTCAAAATGAAATGGTTCTTTTCTGTCCATCTAAGTATGTGTGTGACATATCAGGCATTGGAGTCCCATTTAAAAGCATTACATTCATAACAACAGACCTCCCACCAAGAAGTCCTCTGTAGTAGTAAAAAAAACTAATTTATTATGTGACCTTTTTGGTAAATATCAAGTGTCTTTTTAAAATAGCACTTAGTGGAACTTTTATCGGGTAAAATGTGCTGCTCCTCCATAAAACCGTTGCTTCATGGCCTGCATACGTTTCAGGTGGATGCGCACTATTTTTTTCATTGGGTAACCATGAAGAAGCAATCAGCTTTGATTACTCATCCAACGCTTTCCTCTCTTCTTTATGCCCCTTTGTCTCAAATGTGTGCACATGGCAAAAGCTGGGGGGCTATGTCCAACTCGGGGCTAAACGTCTTGGAATAAGAGATTCTAAATGTCAATCTAAACCATGCAGAGTGGATACAAGTCTGTTAAAAACCACAGTGTAAGGCTTCACCTGTCTTAGGGGAGCTTTCCCAAATGCAATGGCAACTTGGAGTATGTAACCGTTTTTTTTACTCTTGTCTTTTAAGGTGGTCCACTAGTCGAAAACTTGGTGAATAAAAATGTCAAACTAACTCGTCTAGGGCCAAAAGACCAAAATCAGACTTTAACACAGCCGGCTCCTGCTAACAAACAATGTTCAGAGAAACATCAACAGTGCCTCAAATCAAACGCTCCGAGAAGTTCAAATTGACAGATAATCGACCCGATTAATGAGCCACCTGTACGTTTGCTGTTTCCTCTTAAAGCACAGTGAATGGAGCAGATTCGGGCCCACGGTCAGGCTCTTGCTCGGCCTCCAGTGGAGCAGACGTTCAGGTGCCTTCTAGCTCCTGCAGCCCTGCTCGCGATCACGTCGTCAACGGCGACACGACGCCCACCTCCACGCCAGCCCACCAGCGCCTGGACAGTGACCCGTACGCCACAATGGGTGAGTGGCAGTAAACCAAATTCCTGGGAATCTCTGGTTTGTGAAGTGTAGGCGGGTGACCTCTTTGTCCTGTGATCCCTTTTACACTGTAAAATATCCATCTGATATTCTGTCAGATTGGAGGAAGAACGCATGCAGTGGAGGGTAAGATACTGCACAGGCTCACGTCAAAGATGCAGATGAAAACCTTCTTTCTTTTCTCCGGTGTCTGGTCTTTTTAAACGTGTGCTATTCGCAGTTGTGCTGGAAGAGAGCAGGACAGAGGAGCAATCAAGCGGTTTTCCCACCGTCAGCACCTCTGTCCGGACCTAGCCGGAGCGGAGAGGGAAAAAGAAAGAGTTCAGTGTACTGTGAAGGGCAGGCTTCACCAAGCAGAGGACGATGAGAAAATGTTAAATCTCTCACTGACCTACTTGAAGAAGAAAGAAATAAAAACCATTTGTTGGAAATTGTTCCATACAGTCAGCGAGGTTCCGAAATCCGAAATGTTTTACAGATTTAAGCATCCCCTGTAGAGAGTACAGAGTTATGCACATGGATACAGGAGCAATATCATGCTTTTGAGCCTTGAATTAATAATGATATAGTAATACTGTAGATATACAGCTGAATCTTTTCACTATATATTAAGACAACAAAAAATGTTCCTTACAAGTCAATACAAAGATAACTTGAGGAAAACCTTCTGATTTCCTTTTGGAATTGGAGTGGAATTTTTTTTAAAACTTGGTTTTAGCTCCTTTTTTCCTGCAAGTTCCATAAATATACTGCTGTTTCTTTTGACCTTATTAATTGATTCTTGTAGTTTATTTGTTTTATTACTGATGCTCGGCCAATTTCTACTTAGCATATGTACGGATGTGGATTCTAGCAAACTGAGATTAGGAGTCACACAATCAGACGTTTAATCTAAATACGGTTCTTTAATTCTTCGGTGACTTCAACTTGGATGACATGGTTAGTCCCAATGGCTCAAAACCAGCCCTGTTTTTCCTATGTGTCTGCAGTGAACGGGGAGTCCAGCGAGGCTGCAGCTGGAAGCGACGTGTCTCCCCCTGCTGAGGGCTGCCCTCAAGACGCCGGCCCTTCCGACTCAGAGGCGGCAGTAAACAACACATCCTCCCAGTCCCTGACTGCCCGCTCGCCTTCCCCGACCACGTCTTTCGCTGCTAAACCGGCCGATAGCGGTGCTGATGCTTCCACCGCTGCTGCCGCCACCACCTCCTCCACCACCTCCACCTCTTCCACCCAGGGGGCCGCCACCGTCACAGCGTCCAGCTCTTCGACCTCTTCCGCCCCAGCTCCAGCAGAAGCGAGCGCGCCGGGAGCCGGTGGCGGTGGCAGCGGCACGGCGACGACCACAGATGGGGTCAAACCCAGGCAACAGGCGCCCAACGCCGCGGCCTCGGATCCCCTCCCCCCAGGGTAAGAAGCTCCTCTTGTGGCTTAGCACTTCGGCGCTCTCATAGCACAACATGTGAACCTGACACTCAGAAGTCCAAGCCCTGTGGGTTAAATGTCCACTGTCAATACTCTTAATAAAAAAAAATGTTTAAACTTGATTTAAACCCGTTGTTTTAGGTGGGAGCAGAGAAAAGACCCTCATGGGAGAACGTATTACGTAGACCACAACACAAGGACGACTACCTGGGAAAGGCCGCAGCCACTACCACAAGGGTCAGTGTCAGTCTTCTTTTATTTATTGAGTTTTTATTTGTTGCATAAACATTTAATATAATTGTAAAAATGTAGCACTTTTCTATAAACAGCACTCAAGTGTCCTTAATTATGTGTATAGCAGAAGATTAAGATGGTTCTGTCTCTCTGTGGTCAGTTATTTATCTTTTTTAGGATACCCTGCAGCCTGTTAAATCGAGAATTTCGATTCAATATTTTCGGTATAGTAATTTACCAGAAGCTGAAACCTCATATTTCAGGACACCAGTAACATCACAAACCAAAAGAAAAAACACCATATCTGTGTCTCTGACTGATGTTTGCAGCCAAACAAACAGTGAGACGTAAAAACCTCAAAGGGAAAAAATCCCCAAAATGCAAGAATGGAATAATGAGTAAAAATGACCCAAAAAGAGCGTAGCTATGTGTATTTTTTCTTCATTTCCCGTCTCCTTGGTTCTGCCAGATGGGAGCGGCGGGTGGACGATCGGGGCAGGATCTACTATGTGGACCACAACACCCGCACCACCACTTGGCAGCGTCCCACTATGGAGTCCGTTCGCAACTTTGAGCAGTGGCAGAGCCAGCGGAGCCAGCTGCAGGGAGCTATGCACCAGTTTAACCAGAGATACCTCTACTCTGTAAGCCTACTTTTTTTCCCGCAGCTATGGATGTGAATTATAAGTATTTTAGAGGTCACTTTGGTCAAAAGAGCTTAATTTATCTTATCTTGAGGCTTCAGAGTTTATTTCACCTCTTCAAAAATCACATAACTGTTAAGAAGGGTCTCTTACTGGGCACAAATATGGCTTTCCTTTGTAAATTTTACCTTAATGTTAGATTTACATCTACCTATTGTCTCTCTTTTACACTGACCTGTTCATGTTTTTTTTTTAATCCAGAAGAAATGCCACATAAATACTTACATCTTTAAATCCAAGTATTCAAGTCCAGTTTAGTCAGCCGAAAACTAACTATGCCAATCCGCACAGAACCACTGATGTGCTCTGGATCCTTCCAGCTCTTAGCTTTATCAGATTAAAGTCTGACCTTAACACCCACTTTATTTTACGTAGCTTTTCAAAAGATGTTTTCTATTGTTCTGAGTTCTGCTTTTTCTCTCCGAGTTGAAAAAATCTCCCCTCTTTTCACTTCCATACTCATTTCTCTCACAGCTTGTTATGAGCTCACCTCTTTAAACCACTAACAGTGGAGCAGAGTATCTGGTGTTCTCTCCTCGGCTCCCTCTGTATATCTTTGTGAGGGTCCTCTTGTGAAAGTCTTTGATCATTTTCACTGATCATGATTAGCTCACAGAACAAATCAGAAGACGGCTAGGATGTTTTGAGCAGAATGAAGCTACAGAGTTGGATTTCAGTTCTTCTAGTGGTTCAATGCCCTCCACAACCCTTCTGTATCCTACTTGGTTTTCCTAAATAGCTGTCTGTGTATGCATCCCTCGTTTTTAGGCATCCATGATGTCTGCTGAGAATGATCCTCTTGGCCCGCTACCTCCTGGTTGGGGTAAGTGAACATTTCTTTCTTCAAAATACCACAAAAACATTATGTTGACTTAAAAAGGAGAAAGAAACGTGGGCAAGTCGCTACAGTGTCCTAAACTTTTTCAGTTCTACAGGTTGAATGAGAATGCTTTTAAATATAATGTCAATAATTAGAATGTTGATGCAATAATGAAATGTGAAATACAGTAAATACAACCCAAATTTGCCACTGTTTTGAAAGGGCTCCGCCTCTTTTATAAATATGAATGTTATTAGCTAATGTCATACCAGATATTTGAAGTTCTTGTTCCCAGTTGAAGGCTACATCTGCCTCTGTATCTTTGTCCAATCAGCTACTTCTTTTGCGGTATGTTGAAAGAATCCGCCATCTAACCTGCACACTGCGGTGCTTTGTTTTTGTCATTATTAACCACAGAGAGGCGTGTGGACTCCAATGACAGAGTGTACTTTGTCAATCACAATACAAAGACAACACAGTGGGAAGATCCGCGAACCCAAGGGTGAGCTCAATGCCGGCAAAAAGAAAGATTTTTATCCCAGAATAAATTCGATTTTCTGCTCAGAACTGACGTTTTCGTAACAATTGTTTCAGTCAAGCTTCCCTGATCGATTAAGCTATTGAACGTATTCACTGAGAAAGTAGATTACTACTCTTCTGGATACAATACAATACAGTGTTTACCCAATTAAACCAAAATCATTTAACTTTCTTGTCAGAGTCAGTGTTCAATCGTATAGCACTGACCCGAAAACCCCCAGTAAATGAGTTCATACGTTGTAAAAAAGTATTGAGCAAATGAAGCTAGTTTGGGCTGGATGGGAAGTTTATCTTTCAGGGACTCAGTGAAGATAAGACAAGCACACATAATGGCACCACCTTAGAGTTTCAACAAGAACAGAATACACAGTTTACTCCACATTACTCCTTGTCTATTTGTTAAACTTAAACATCAAAGTTTATCTTTATCCTGTCTTAATATTACACCGAAAGTGTCCTAATATATATATATATATATATTTATTTTTTTGTGGAAAAAATGCATTCAGGTTTTTGCAGAATGTTCTAAAAATAGGGCTCCATTATAAAAGCACGTCAGGAGTTCCACTTTTCAGTTCGTACTTCGTCCTTTGACGATTTCCACGTTTCACAATGATCTGTTAATGTATATAACTGGCTGAAATGTGTGTGTGTGTGTCTGCAGGCTACAGAATGAGGATCCTCTGCCTGAGGGTTGGGAGATCCGGTACACAAGGGAAGGGGTTCGCTACTTTGTGGATCACAACACCCGAACCACGACTTTCAGTGACCCACGCACTGGGAAGTCCTCTGTGTAAGGAACCTCGTGGCTGCACTAATATTTCAACATGGAAGCTGTGGAGAAAAGCAGTAGTGTTTTGAAACATTTCACCTTAAATCCTCCTTGTCACCTCGTAGAATTTTTGATCGGGAAAACATAGACTGTAGAAGGATTTGAGGAGATCCTGTGAAGTCTAAAATCTCTGCTTTAAATACTGTTTCAGTTAGGAGACTTCGAAGTTTGGACCTCAAAGGTTATTTAAGACCAACAAGTCGTTAGTATTTATTTGGATTATATAAAAAAAATATATATATTTTTTTAGAAACGCTGTTGAAATGTTGCCTTTAGTTTAAGCTAGCGTCCCGTGTGGGGAGCTGTGGTTACTAGGGTTAGGTTTAGGGTTAGGGTTAGGCCCAGGATGAGTCGGCGCCTGCCCCCCCCCCCCGTGCTGCATGTCTTCTATCACTCTCTCTGCTTCCATTGCATTCCAAAATCCTGGACCCAACAGTTGTTCATGAATTTTTAGATTCAGAGACCTGACATATCGTATAACATATCACATTGCATGTCACAAATCTTAAAACAGCAAGTTTAGAATTCAGAGCTGGCGAACCCAAAAAAAACAAAACATATATATTCCCAGTTCCTGAAAATAATCCTTTTGCTTCCTACTGGGCCAGTAGTATTTGTGGATCACTGATATTACCAATGAACAGAATAGGATATTGAGTCTACATTTAGAAAATCTGAGCATGTAAAGGCAGCGTGGGCCCAGAGCGTCACCAATGCACAACAGTTAGTCAGCTTTGACTGGAAATTTACCGTCAATTGAACCTTTTTTTCCCCCTCACTTTGAACTTGACATTCTCTCTTCTTTGTCCCTCTCAGCACCAAGGGGCCTCAGATTGCGTACGAGCGCAGCTTCCGGTGGAAGCTCGCCCATTTCCGCTACTTGTGCCAGGTGAGCCTTTGAATTTGACTCTTTTTTTTTTTTCTTTTTTTTTCTCGTAACGTTTCTTATGATGCTTGGTTACTGATGAGTTGTGTTGTCCTCCCTCAGTCTAATGCGCTCCCCAGCCACGTGAAGATCAACGTTTCCAGACAGACTCTGTTTGAAGACTCTTTTCAGCAAGTAAGAAATTTACAACCTCTCCTGCAGTCCACAGCACTCATTAACATCATTTTCAGGATGTCGTTTATTATTATTATTTTTTTCTGAATTTGAATGTGGGATTCCTCTTTCAGATTATGGCTCTCAAACCTTATGACTTGAGGAGGAGGCTGTATGTTATCTTCAGAGGGGAGGAAGGTCTGGACTACGGCGGCTTAGCCCGGTAATAAAAACGTTAACAGCCATTTTTAGGAAATCTATAAGAAAATGTTCTGTTTTCTTTGTTTTTTTTTCCTCGTGTGTAATTCTTTCTTTCTTTTCTTTCACTTTGCAGGGAGTGGTTCTTCTTGCTGTCGCACGAGGTGCTGAACCCCATGTACTGCTTGTTCGAGTACGCCGGAAAGAGCAACTACTGTCTGCAGATCAACCCGGCCTCGGCCATCAACCCCGACCACCTCTCCTACTTCTGCTTCATCGGCCGCTTCATTGCAATGGCACGTCTCCGTGGCAACCCACACTCACACCAGCATTAATCGTTTTTTTTTTTTTAAATATCTCTACCGGTGAACCAACCAGAAATGGGGGGGGGGTTGTGTACTTAAACTTTAGGAACTTAAAAGCCCATTGGTGTTATTTTTCTATTATACCATAATAATGGAAACCAAATGTTGGTTCAGGCTCTGGGATTTCCATGCCGACCAGCTAAATTAAAAGCTTTCTCAAATCCGCAGGCACTTTTCCACGGCAAATTCATCGACACCGGCTTCTCCTTGCCGTTCTACAAACGCATGCTGAACAAGAAGCTGATACTCAAAGACCTGGAGTCCATTGACCCGGAATTCTACAACTCACTTATATGGATCAGGTCCTTAGCTTTTTCCATCTTTGGTCGTCTTGTACTTGAATGCATTTTATATTTAAGATTTTTATATTATAGTATTAGAAACATTGGAGGAAAATTTTTATGAGCAAAATTTGCAACAAGTTTATTTCTATAGTGCAATCTGAAGGTTCAGATAGCTGCTTATTTTAGCTTTACAACCGGTTACGGAAATGGTTCAGTCATTTAAATCTATATTTACCCTAAAACACAGTATTTTAAATAATTAGAGTTATTGGTTAGAATGGATTAAATACATAAAGTCATCAGAATCTAATTGCATTCTGTTCTGCAGGTACGATAAACTTACGAAATACTTTTTCGAACAAGTTGAGCATTTCATTTCTCCACAGGGACAACAACATCGAGGAATGTGGGCTGGAGATGTACTTCTCAGTAGACATGGAGATCTTGGGGAAGATCACTTCTCATGACCTCAAACCCGACGGCACCAACGTCCTGGTCACCGAGGAGAACAAGGAAGAGTACATCAGGTGGTCACATCGGCCCGTGTCACACAGCCGAACCCACGTTCTGCACTGCTCAGAATACTAAAGTATAAAAACATAAAACAGATTTCTAAAGACATGTCAAAAGAACAACTGAAATTCAACCCAATACGCTCGTACAACTAAGATCCGACTCTATCTCAGCTGAATGAGAGGTTGATCGAAGTTGAGAAGCCAGAGAATATAAATGGGTTCTAAGAAGAGTTTTAAAAGCAGGCCTCTCAAACGTGCGAGTACACGTCATTCCACAGTTTGGAAGCAACATTAGAGAAAGTCTGAGCTTCTTCCTGGACCCACAGGAGCTGCCGGTCTGCCGACCTAAGGAAAGGAGGGGGTATAAAGGTGAAGAGTAGGGAGGGACAAGATCGTAAAGAAAAAACTTTGAAATAAAAAGTACTTAAAAAAAAAAAGTCCATAAAATACAGGGCATCCAGTGGAGTGAACAGGACAGGAGCCATGCTGTTGAGTTTCATGATGGGTATTAAAAGTCTAGAGCAAGGACGTACTGACTCCATTACAGTACTATAACAAAATGAAATGATCTTATGGATCACTGTCTCAAAACGCTGACTGGGAAGAAATAATAGTATAATAGCTGTAACTTGGCAATTAAAATCACTGTTCAGCCTCAAACCCAAATTGTTAATAGTTGGCTTAGAGTATATTATCACAACACCAATTTCTGCTTTTTTTAAATAAAATAAAAAAAATGTTTTTACTTCCTTTGAATCTGTATTAAAGACATTTTATGGTTTTGGGTCACAGTTTAATGGCAGAGTGGAGGTTCTCGCGCGGGGTCGAAGGCCAAACCAAAGCGTTCCTGGATGGATTCAACGAGGTGGTACCGCTCCAGTGGCTCCAGTACTTTGACGAAAAGGAGCTCGAGGTGAGCGGCACTTCTTTCCTCGACACGTTTATCAGTCAGTCATAACACAGGTGTGTAGAGAATCATTCCCCTCCGAGGTCTTATTAATGAAAAGCATTTGTGTTTATTTAATCAATCTCCCATCTGAGTTTTTTGGGGATTTTCCATTAATAACTCCTCAACCCTGCTCTGCTGTAGTACTAGGTAGTTTTTCATGAAAGTGAGGTCCTACTAGAAAGATGACCTGAACGCCCCCGTGATGTCATTTGCATGCCACACGATCACAAAACAACAATGAAAGATGTCTCAGTGACTATACACTGGCTGACCCTTTTGTGATGGACCATATTTTCTGCAATATAAGGCGCACATTCAATGAATGGCCCATTTTAAAAATGTTTTAATATATAAGGCGCACCGCATTATAAGCCGCATAGAGTAGAAGCTCCAGTAGTGGCTGGGGTTGCGTTCTGCATCGACTAGATGCTGCTGTGCTAAAAAGAATGTCAACAAAACAGTCAGATAAGTCAGTCAAACTTTCTTCTGCACCATTTATTCATTAATGTTGAATTCTCTAGCTGCTGCTCTATTCCCATGTCTTACTGCGTGACCGATAGCCTTGAGTTTAAACTCTGTGTCGTAAGCGTGTCTCTTGAAAGGAGCCATTTTGGGGTCTTTACACACACAAACATATATCCCAGCATGGGATTTTTTATACGGGAAAAAATGGAGTCTGTGGCTGATTCCTGTAGTTGCCAGACCTGTTGTGGCCCAATCTTGATCCATATATAGGGCGCACTGTTGTTTTTTTGAGAAAATTGAAGGCTTTTAGGTGCCTTACAGTGAGGAAAATAGGGTAGTTGTTTACCGAGTTGGTGGTCACAGAAACAATTAAATTGTTGCTGCGTCCTAAACTGGGCAGGGTGCTCTCGAAGGAGTTTCTCTGCTAACTCATCCAATCATGTGACTCCCTGGCCAGTCAGCGGCCTGCCGTCGCCCCAAATGAGCCGGATTGGAGCCCCCAGCCGAATAGAAGCTAAAATTGTGACTGAGGACACGCCAGGCACTTGTGGAAGTGGGAGTGGAGCCAGTCAGTGGAGCCAGTCTGTAGTAGTAGTAGTAGTAGTTTTCTCTGGGGGAAAAGCAGTCGACTACCGATTAAAAGATCGGTGGTTCGTCATCGGGCTCCTTGGGCAGGACGCCATGTCGCCTACTGATGCTTCCACTGGGGGGTGTGTGTGTGTGTGTGTGTCAGAGAGCCTTTGAGTGGTCTGGCTCTGTAACTACAGTCCCTTTACCGTTCATATGTTTGCGTGTTCCATCCAGGTGATGCTGTGTGGCATGCAGGAAGTCGACCTACAGGACTGGCAGAGAAATACGGTGTATCGTCACTACACCAGAAACAGCAAACAGATCATCTGGTTCTGGCAGGTACCGTCTCCCACCACACACACACACACACACACACACTCACATACGGGCAGTGGTGTCTTATTACATACTTTACCCACAAAATGTTTGGCTTATTTAGGTCCTTTATATCTCTGATATTGATGGACCTTTCTGTGTTTTTCTCTTTCTTTTATTTTTTTGTTTTTCCTTAGTTGGTGAAAGAAGTGGACAACGAAGTCCGACTGCGGCTCATGCAGTTTGTCACGGGAACCTGCAGGCTTCCTTTGGGCGGCTTCGCTGAACTCATGGGTCAGTGACGCAACGACACTCTGCCCCTCACACACCGAGAGATCGGCAGCTGGAATAACTATTTAAAACCTCCTGAGTTTTATCTTGTTTTGTTTTTTTGTGCGTTTTCTTTCTGTTTCCCATCTTGCAGGAAGCAACGGGCCTCAGAAGTTCTGCATTGAGAAAGTGGGGAAGGACACATGGCTTCCTCGTAGCCATACCTGGTGAGTACTCTGCCACACTTTGGAAGTCATGTGATTTTTAAAAGCATCGTGATTTTGAAGAGATGTGACCTTGAGGGAGTTCTGGGGTTCTTGCTTTAATTGAAAGTGTCAAATGAGGGAAAAGTGTGAGAACTCCTGTGGCCCCAGAATAGAGCTCTGGGGAATTACAAAAGAATCTTGTTTCCAGAGTTTTTTTTGCTACTCAGAGGGGTTCCAAAATTTTATCCAGCTTAACACGATCAACCAAAGCAATTGCCTCGGAGGTGCTCATCGCTGGGGCCGACGGACGGCATCCTAAAGAGCTATAAATTTGTGTTTGTTTAGTCTAAAACTCCGGAGGCCTCTTCTCTTGCTGTCCTCCAGTTGTGTAAAGACTGTCGAATGACCTCTGTGTTGTATTTATCAGCCTTTGATATCATCAGCCGGTTTATAGAACGCTTTTGACAAGTGTTCGAATCCCACTTGTGTAGAAGTACCATTTCAGGTTTAGAAATGCCTGAAATACACTCTGATTCGACTCTAATCCAGCTCCCTTTCCTTTAGTACCACTACCTACTCATCATGACTCGAATCGACCAAACTCAATTCTGTTTTGTTTGTTTTCCATTTGGTAATAAAAAAAAACTTTAAATGTTGACAGCTTTTTGACCCTGGTTCCAAGCAGGACCTCAGACAAAGTTAAGAGACGCGTCACATCACCTCTGCTCCTCCGTCTTTGTCTTTTCAGCTTCAACCGGCTGGACTTGCCTCCATACAAAAGCTACGAACAGCTGAAAGAAAAGCTGCTATTCGCCATCGAGGAAACCGAAGGATTCGGCCAAGAGTAGAGGGACGAGTCCGCGTGCGTTTCCCTCCATTATGCCCTCGCTCTTTATTCAGCCATTAAAAACAAACTAAAACAAACACACACAAAAAAAAAATTGCACAAGATAACCACCAATGTATATAAGCTATTTTGTCATCAAACACCAAATCCTAATTTGCACCCCCCCGCCCCCCATATATTACATAACCCCCCCCCCCCCTCCCCCCATGAAATTATCCAAGCATTTCAGCATCCTGCTCTTCTGTTTTTTACAAACAGAAACTTTTGTTTTTTTTTAAGCATCCTCCCCACTGCTGACTGGCTTTTAAAAGAAGAGACAAGTGTATTTTTTCTTTTCTTTTTTTTTTTTTTTTGGGAGAGGATTTTATAGTCGAAGCGCAATCTTCTTTTAAAGCTCTAGTTCTATAGAGCTCGTGAAAGGCAAAAGTAGAATATTAGAGTCCGGTGCCTGAAGGTCTTTATTTGTCCTGTCGGATGGGACCCACAGTCGTTGTGACGTTTTTTTCGCGTGCTTGCATGCTGCCTACGAAGATTACCAGACTGTGACGGCCGCCCTCCTCCTCCTCCACCGCGTGCACACGCACGCAGACATCCGAGCATGGATCGCCAGGCGGAGTCGAGGGAAACGGCTTCGACTCCCCCTATTCAAGCCTCTTTTTTTTTTATTTTATTTTTTTTAAAAATCTATATCAACAACTATGGGGACTTAAAATGAAAAAAGAAAAAAAGATGCTTAAGAAACTGAACTGATGTACTAAGCTTTTTTGTGAGCGTGTGTGTGTGTCTGTATGAGTGTGTGTGTGTGTGTGGGGGGGGGGGGGGGGGGGGGGGGGTGGATCCTGTGGTTTTTAAGGTTCACACCAGACATCCAGGACGCGTTCCAGCCGAACTGCAGCCTGCTTTGCACACTGTGACAAAACGAGAAAGAAGAGGAAGCTTTCCGGCGGTAATTTAGACAGAAGGGGGTGACACAATAATGCATTTGAAAACAAACTATCTAGAGAATGAACCCAAACAAAAATGTTTTTTTTTAAAAAAGAAAGAAAACCAGAACCTGTGCTTCATCTCTTGTACTGAGACTTTTTTTTTTCCTCTCCTGGAATCAGAAGTCTCCAGACCTTTTAAGCTATTGTGTTTTCTAGACGTGGTTATTCTCCTTCAGTAACATTAGCTGACATTAACCCCCCCCCCACACACACACACTTTTAGCTGGCAAACTTCCACCCTGCTGACACGACTGTATTGTACTAAACTGAATCTTCTCATTGGTGAAGGCAGAGCAGATTGAAAGTGGCCCCGTTGAGGAAGAAAAAAGGGGGAGATGGAGACCAGAGAAGGGGTCAGTGGAAAGTCTCAGGAGCTGGCGGTCAGTCTTAATCACGGCGTCCTGTAGGTAAAACTGGGGGGGGCGGGGTGATGAGAATCAGTGCTTCCTGTCACCACTTAAAAAAAAAAGAAGCGTGTGTGTGAGTTGAATGGAGAGAGAACCCAAACATGATCAACTCCCCGCAGATGGAGATCTGCGATGCCTTCGTTCTTATCAGAAACAGCCGGGGGGGGGGGGCCTTTCGGGACCGGCGGTGAACTTTGGTTCAGGCCGCCTGAAACGCGCTGCCCCCCCCACAACCCTGTAACATATCGCGTGTAGATACACACTGTAAACACCAACCACACTGTACAGAGCGCCCCTCTACTGGAGACCATGTGTATAGAAGATTCATTTTTAATCTGCTCTCGCCCATTTTAAATGGAGAGAGATGGATTTATGAGATAGAATTAAATAACTGAATAAACCCCCTCTTTGGCCGTGCTTTGTTTTTCTTTGGGGGGGGTTGTTTTCTACAAAAATGGACACAAAAAACTCACCACAACAGATGATACTTGCTTTATTAGTGCTTGTGTTTTTACTTTATACAGAATCGATTCAGTTATGTTGAACTATGATCAAACTGGCACAAAGCTCCACTGTCCTGGTTCTTATTTTTAAAAAACAAGAAAAATCAAAGTGAATGAGGGTGAATTTTATCTTTAAGTTTTCCAGTCGGATCAGTAAATGTAAACCTGGAAATCTGAAATATGATTTTAAAAAGGGAAAAAAACAACAAAAGAGAGAACGGGCACTTAATTGACAACATCTCTTAATCGGTTGTAATTCAAAAAGCACTCAAATCCAACCAGGACTTGGACAGAAAGGCATTTCACAGGGTGTCTTCAGCACCCGTTTCCCGCTCCGACTGCCAACCGGACGATCTCCGAGAGGCGTCGGCCGTGGAGGGGGGTGCGAAGGTCCAGCAGGTCGCGGTCCGGAGAGGCCCGGTCATCCAGGTCCAGGCCTTCAGCCGAGCTTCTTCAGCAGCTCCACGGCCTCCTTGTGGACCTGTGGAGAGGAAAAGGGAGGAACAGGCTGCCAACAGGTAGGCGCTGAGCCCCCGGAGGAGAACTGTTTACACACCTCCCTGTCCTCCGCGGTGTGGGCGGGGTAGTCCCTGGCTTTGGTGAGCCACATCTGGGCCTTCTGCTGCTCCTTCAGGGCCAGGTACGTCTTCCCCAGCATGAGGAGGTTTTTACTGTAGAAGTTAGGGTCGACTGGGAGAGGAAACGTGATTAGAAATAGAATAAAATCAATGAAAAACCCCTGATTCAATCTTAAAGCCTGCCCAGAATCTTTTTAAGGTCCCCTCATACCTTCCTCTGCTTTCAAAAAGAATTCCAAAGCCTGAAAGAAGCACAAAGACGGGGTGGATTCAAACTCGCCAACAGGTGTCGGACGCCTTTCTTTTGACAGGAGAAGCTCGAGAGGAGACGGGCAGGAAGGCTCACCTCCTGGAACGTGGACGTGGGCGGCGAAGAGAAAACGACGGCCGCCACTTTGCGCTGGTACCACGGCAACTCGGCAAAAGCAAAGCACCTGGAGCGGAAAACGCAAAAGCGAGAGAGAGAGGAAGACTGAAAGGTCTGTAATTCTGTTGTGGGGCGATTCGTTTCGTGCCGACTGGAAGATTTCGGGAGTTACTGGAAGCCTTTGATAGGATGTGGCTACTTTGTGTCCAGAGTCTGGAAAGAACGCTTTTTAATTTTTTCTCCTGAGGGTAAAAAAAAAAAGGACTCACCAGTAGCCTAGAATGTGTAAGGATGTGGCGTCTTTGGGGTTGAGCTGTATGGCTTTCTGGGAAGGAACGCATCACAGTTCAGAATAAAGTAAAAAATGCGGATTTTCCATAGTGCGTAGGACAATTAATAAGAATGTCTCACCTCCAGATGCTCCCTGATGATGTATGAATTTCCAATTTTTACCTTGACCCCCTCATAATCCCCGATATCGCTGAGGCACACGGCGTACCACTGCGCCGGGAGAGAAGAAAAAGAAGAAGAAAATTATTTTTCAGAGCCAGAACAGGATGGGGGCCCGGCCCCGGGGGGGTCCCCGTCTTACTTTGTGCGCGGCGAAACAGGAGTCGTCCCTCTCCAGGGCCCTCTGGGCGAACTGGAAGGCCTCAAACGTCAGCCGCTTCTTCTGCTCGGCCTCCGTGTCGGGCAGCAGCGCCAGGTCCCGCGAGGCCCGGGCCAGCCGCCACAGGAACTGCGCGTCCTCGCTGGACGGGAGGAGCGGTCAGTGTTAACGAGCTGTCCAAAGCTGACAGCTCTAAGCTGTCCAAAGCTTAGAGCGGGGTCAGACCTGAGGTCAGACCTGAAGTCAGAACCGGGGTCGGACCTGAATCAGACCCGAGGTCAGATCAGGGGTCAGACCAGCCCAGGTCCAGACCTGAGGTCAGACCCAGATTCAGACCTGAATCAGACCCAGGGTCTGACCAGCCCAGGTCCAGACCTGAGGTCAGACCCAGATTCAGACCTGAATCAGACCCGGGGTCAGACCAGCCCAGGTCCAGACCTGAGGTCAGATCAGGGTTCAGACCAGCCCAGGTCCAGACCTGAAGTCAGATCAGGGGTCAGACCCGGGGTCGGAGCTGAATCTGACCCGAGGTCAGATCAGGGGTCAGACCTGGGGTCGGACAAGCCCAAGTCCAGACCTGACGTCAGATCAGGGGTCAGACCGGAATCAGACCAGGGGTCGGACCTGAGGTCGGATCAGGGGTCAGACCAGGGGTCAGAGTCAGACCAAGGGTCAGGAATGAAGTAAATTCAATTAAAAAGTAAATAAATAAATTGACCCAGGCACAAGAAAATAAGTAAATAAAACCAAACATTCTCAGGCTGCAGGTGGCAGCAGTTGTCCAGGTCATGGAAATAAAAAAACTTGAGAAAAATAAAGCCCGAAACCCCAAAGGCATCAATAGATCAGCTGTGAATGAATCAAAAACCGTGAAGTTAAACTGGACGCGTGATGCGCGTGACCCGGGAGGCGCGTACCTGTCTTTGTGCTGGGCCAGCAGCTGGTAGAGCTTCTGTGTGTCCGCGCAGCTGTACAGGTAGTCGGCCTGCTCCAAAATCTCCTCTGCGCGGACCAAAAAAACACGCGGAAAGTCAAGTTTCCCAAAAAGGCCCTGGGGGCCCTGACCATCCTACTTACCTCTGTCCAGCGCACTGACCACGGCGGAGCTCTGCGCCCTGCGGAGAGCCTCGTAGCCCAGACAGGACACAGCAGGGACGCCCAGGACAAATGCAGCCCGGCCACTCTGCAAACAAGAAAAGGAAACCACAAAAACAATCACACCTCCACATACAAAAGTAGGGCAACGAAACATAAAAGCTCTAGGTTGCTTTGGGCTGCTCTCCAAGTTATGAACAGAGGGGACAGCTGACCTGTTGTAGCCCAGGTGGCCACTGAGCTGGACCTTTATTTAAAAGTATAGAGATGATTCTCATTAGTTAAACAAAACTAATAAATAGGCTCCCATAGATTTGAACGCATCACTGTCATATCCTCCTGTTGAGAGCTGCTCAGCCTCTCTGAAACCATTAAAACCACGGTGCCCTTTAACCCACATACAGGGGGGCATTTTCTAGACACCGCCATCACGAAGCCTAATCTCCTGGCCCCAAAAAACCCTCCCAGCGTTTTGCAGGATAAAGAGTTTGACACAGGACACCCCAAAAATGTTGAGAGGTGAGTTAACGAACAGGCGACTTTATTTATTTACACTCAGGCCACTGACAGTCCGCCGGAAAGCCGTCCAGTAGTGGCGACCGGTCCCTCTGGTGGGGGCGCTTTTGCTGCGGGATGCAAACTCCAGGAAAGTCCGCCTCGCACACCGCGACAACACTCTCACAGCCATCGTTAAGTCCATTCTCAACGCAAAATGATCGGGAGTTGCGGTGGCGCTGTAAACCTTAACCCAGGGGGCATCCCGCAAACCCAGAAAAAGGGTACGTTCAAGAGCACAAACACCGACGGTTTCAAAACGCTGAAACCGGAAGTGTGTTAAAAGACGGATAAAAAATAACGCCCGAACACAGCAAAGCTTAAAAAACAATCGCTAATGCAAGTTATATGTTGGAAAATACACAAAGCAACATTGTTTTACTGTAGCTAGTACTGTGTGTGATGCCGACGACTTAAAGTTGTTGCGCCACGGTAAGTTGCTTTTCGTGAATGTATCCCTAGCGTTGTTTGTACCATTGATGTCAAACCGAGGAGAAACAATTGGAGCTTCCAATGTTCCTAGGAAATGTCATAGTAAATACCCTAATATTAGATTGTGTTTTTTCCAGTGTTATTGCTACTGTGAAAGGTACACTATACACAATGAAAAATTGACTGTCAGACTGGGTCCGTGTACCTTTCCTTCAGGTGTTTTTTTCACTGAGAATTTAGAAAATGGGGGGAAAAACTTATTTCATCATTAATTTTTACTTTAAAACACTATACAGAACCACCTCTCCGATCTTCTCAGAAACATCACTGAGGCCAATTATTTGCTAGGCTAAAACAAAGTTTTTTTATCAACCAAAACATAACTGTTTAATTGTTCTCTGGGTATTTTCAATTCATTTCTACGTGCAGTCATTTTTTATTTGTCTAGGAATTGAGTAATTACTACAATTTCCGTCTTGTTTATACAGGTTTATCGACTATTACATAGGTTTATCTGCCTTTTAGTCCGAAAAAATAAAGGATATTATGGATAGTTAAAAATGCCAGATATGTGGTGATTGGTATATTAAATCTGAGCACAGATTCCAAAGATGTGTCTAAAGGACTTGCCCAGAGAAATATAAAAACTTTTAAAAACTTTTTCTTTTCTGTGCCACTTAAGACAAAACCTTTAATCACTGTTAAACTTGGTATTTTTTTTGACCGGTACGAGTAGACTGGTTCTTAGTTGTTTCCTCTCCCAGAAACAAACCGTAGGGCTCTCAATGTTTACATACAAGCTAGCTTGTATAGCTTACTATTCCACCGTTTAGCGTGTTGACGTATGTAGATGCTTTCCGGGTCAATTATGTCGGTGAAAAATAAAAACGAAGTCGCGGGACGTTTTTTTTTTATTTAATAATTTTTTTATGTTCGAATTTTGAGTCATAGATAAAGTCAAATTATTCTAAAAAGTATTTATTTTTTTAAAACACATTTTTTAAATAGTTTAAATGTCCAATGGAAATTAACCATGACTTGAGACGTTTTTTTTAAAGTTAAAATTAGTTTTTTGTTTTTTTAAAACTGAACCAATTCGGTTCGTTGACCAACTCGGCCGGACAGCGCCGTGCGGAGCGGCTCCTCCTCGGACTTCCCAGCTGTTCCTGTCAGATAACGGCCGTGTGTCCGCACGGCGTGCCGAAGCGGATGTAAACAGATAGAATTTCATTTATTTCTTTATTTATTCCAACGCCCGGACAGGTAAATATGTGCGAGTTAGCTGTCGTCTTTAACGAGGGGGCCATTAAGCAGCTGGGGCTCGTGGGTGCGCGTGGCGGCGTCACGCCCTGCTGGTGCAGTCCGGTGGGACGGTGGCGGTTATGGAGCCAGCACGGGAGGGTTGGACGCCAAATGTGCTGTGAAAATAGACCTGCCTTGCCTTGATATAGCAGCTAAAGGGTTAACATAACTGTCCACTAACATTAATCCTCCCGCTGTTAGTAATAATAATTGATGTCAGTCACTAATTACTCATAAGAAACAGGTTCTTCCTTGAAATGTAACAGTTCCCGGTTTCAGTTCTCCATCAACTTGATTTGTAGATGTACTGAAAGTTTTTTAGATTAAATTTTGAATAATTCTTTGTCTGTTTCGCCCACCATTTTCAACTTAACAAGCACTATGTTGTGCAAATGTTCTGCAATGTTGTGCAAAATGGAAGTAGTCAAGTGTGCTAAAGGGATAGATTCAAATGCCCTCCAGTCTTGCGTCTGTTCTATTGTTTAAATATTTGATCTCTTCAATAACGGCAGCTGAAATGGCCTCAGGAGGGGCCTCGGCTCCAGCGGCTCCAGCGGCCCCACATCTGGCCACCAAAGTGGAGCTGACCATCTCCTGTAATAACCTGATGGACATGGACGTCTTCTCCAAGTCGGACCCCCTGTGCGCCTTGTACATCAGCGCCTCTGGCTCCCACTGGTATGAGGTCTGTGTTGGGACGCTCACTCGCACCGGTTCCGTCGTTTTGACCAACAAAGTCGATGGTAGCTGCCTTTTGCTGACATGTTTCCTCTTCTGCCGACCAGTTTGGGCGCACGGAGATGATCCTCAACTGCCTGAACCCCAAGTTTGCGAAGAAGTTTGTCCTGGACTACTACTTTGAGATGGTGCAGAAGCTTAAGTTTTGCGTGTACGATATCGACAACAACACCTACGATCTGAGCGATGACGATTTCCTCGGCGAGCTCGAGTGCACTCTGGGACAGGTGAGGTTCACCTCGTGTGGCGGCGGAGAGAAAACGACCTTTCTGTTGTGTTTAGACGGCCCTTTTTGGTTCCAGATTGTTTCAAACCGCCAGATGACTCGACAGCTGCTGCTAAAGAACCAGAGACCTGCAGGCAATGGCACTATTACCGTGAGTGGATTTAGTCACGGGGCGCCACAGTGGTGTGGCGGTTAGCACACCTGGGTTGGAGTCCCTGTGTTCTCCCTGTGTCTCTGGGTTCTCTCCGGGTTCGCTGGCTTCCTTCCACCGTCCAAAAACCTGCATGTTAGGTTGATTGGACATCCCAAACTTCCCTTAGGAGTTAGTGTGTGTGGTTGTCGGTCCTTGTGTGTCTCTGTGTGGCCCTCCGATGGACTGGCGGACCGTCCAGGGTGACCCAGCCTCTCGCCCATTGATCACTGGGATAGGGTCCAGTTCTTCCCGCTACCCCGTTACGGAATAATTGGAAACGATAATGGATGGATTCAGTCACTTTCATTCAAAAGATATGTAGAGAGACGGAATGAGCCGCCTTCTGGTGTGTTCAGAATAGGACTTTCTTTCGTCTCTTCATCCGTGTTTTGCTACAGATCTGTGCTGAGGAAATAACAGACAACAGAGTAGCAAACTTCGAGGTGTGCGGACGCTCCCTGGACAAAAAGGTAAAGCAGGCGGACGCACAGTTTAGAGTCGTTCCGACTGCGTTTGACTCTGCGTGCCACGAAATAACTGCTGGGGCGTGGCTGTTTTTCAGTTTTTGTGGTGGTCAGATCCGTTCCTGGAGTTCTACAAGCAAACGGAGACCGGGTGGCAGCTGGCTCACAGGACGGAGGTAAGGGGGGGGGGGGGGGGCGGCTGGCTGTGGCTTGGGGCTCATTGGGGCCTTTTCATTCAGGTTATCTACAACAACCTAAACCCAACATGGAGACCTTTCCGCATCTCACTGCGATCCCTCTGTGGAGGAGACGTGGAAAAACCCATAAAGGTCTTTTTTTATTTTTTTATTTTAAAGTCAGCCTGCCTTGAATAATTAACCTTTCTAACATGTACTAATCTGTTTCAATTATCTTCTTTTTAAGAAAGCTATTTTTTCTCTCTGTCTCTATCTATATATATTATATTTTTTGTACATTTTAAAGAAATATTTATTTTCTATTTCGTTATTCTTTGAATTTCTCTAATATTATTTTCACATACTAATAAATCATTCTGAAACTTAATTTGTTTTTCATATTAACATGCTACGCAATGCAAGGGAGTGCTTGCAACCGGCTGGATAAGCGATGTGTGTATGTATGCACGACTCATGATCTCTGCACGTTCAGTGGATGAAATGAACCTCTGTTCTGTTTTGTTTATATAGAATCAAGGAGAAGTCCATATGTAATTCCAATTACAATCCAGTCATTCCAGTAATCCAATAAAATTGAAATCGTTGCATTCTATATTGATCTCATTCATATGCAGGAAATTGCCCAATAAGGGAAACCGACATTCTTTCCAAAACTTCTCTTAACTTCAAATCCCCCATCCTGAGCACGCACGAGGTGGTGGTGGAAAAAACTTCCTTTTGATAACAAATCTCTGGCAGAATCAGTGTTTCCCTGTAGCACAGCTATGGGATGTTTCAGGGTCGTCTGAGTCATCCGTTTTTTTAGAAAGGAAAGCTTAAAGTGTAATCTTAAAGAAAGAGAGTGTCTCCACTTCCTGGATATACACTGTCAGTTGGTCCACAGAGAGGATTAACGCATGAAACCAAAACTTTTAGGAACTGTAGGAGCTTAAATGAGCCCGCAGACTGAGAGAGAAGTGCACAGTTTCTGAAAATAATTTTATTCTGAAATCTTTTCGACAGGACTGAGCCTCTTTAGTAAGAGCTATGTGTCAACCACGTCAATTGAAACTGTATTATGAATTTAGATTTTAGATAAGAAAATATCGCCTATCATATGTAAAGGTTAACTTTTAGGTCTGTTTAGAAATTTACCTATAATTCCTTAAAAATTCCATTAAAATGTTTTACAATAAACTTAATCATCTTATCTTCATACTTAGTTGATGGTCTTCAAAATGATTACGATGAATTATTTCGGCCGTTGTATTAAGTCTTTTTTCTGTGTCCTCAGGTGGACTGTTATGACCATCATGTCAATGGGTCCCACAGCCTTATCGGGAGCTTTAAAGCCACTCTGGCCCAAATGTTGCTGGGAACTCATCTCTCCCCGGTAGGACGATGTTTTGCGTGGACGCGTTTGCTGCGACTCAATTTTTACTTTATATTAATATGACTCTGGCTTTCATTTTCAGGAAGAATTTGAATGCTTAAACCCCAAAAAGTCGAGGAAGAGAAACTATAAAAACTCTGGGATGATATGCATAAAGCGCTGCCAGGTGAGAAAAAGAAAACATTTTCGAATAATTACGAAAATTCAAAAGGCTTTTTCGGGCTTCCTTTTTAACCAATACAAAGCGAGCGTGGCCATCCTGGTAAATATTTTCTTGCTTTGCCGGTCTGTGGGATCAGGGTGAGCTTCCTGGTAACCCCTGATGAGATCAGGATCCAGGATGAAAGATGTGGGAACCCCGGGGTTCATAGAAAACCACTTCCCAGGTTACTTAATAGCATAGCAATAAGGGGTGGACAGGAGATCTTCTGGACTGGACATCGGGCTTGACATTCTTGGTGCCGTGTCTGTAAGCGCTAAAACAGCCACAATAAAAAAGGCCTACCAGCCCTCTAGATGCACTGGGGATCTGTGTAGATGGTGTAATGTTGTTCAAATTCCTCAAAACAATGCCCCCATTCTTCTCAGGCCAACTCCTCCACCTACTGTTCTCAGTTGCTCACCCCATAATTTCCCTCAGTGGATAAAAGGCAGAAAAATGTAGGGGAGGGTTGAAACTTGCCAGTCTTGGAAGAGACTTGAGAAAGCACCATTCCTGAACACACACACACACACACAGACATACACATCCAATGCATTAAGCTTGAGGATGAAGTGGCAGCTTGGGTCAGTTGGATGGATTACAGAGTCAGATGGGTGGTGTGGTGGTCAGCACCATTGCCTCACAGCAAGAAGGTTCTGGGTTCGAGTCCCCGGGGTAACCAGGACCTTTCTGGGTGGAATCTGCATGTTCTCCCTGTGTCTGCATGGGTTCTCTCCGGGTTCTCCGGCTTCCTCCCACCGTCCAAAAACCTGTATGTTAGGTTAATTGGACATTCCAAATTGCCCTTAGGAGTGAGTGTGTGTATGCGTGGTTGTTGGTCCTTGTGTGTCGCTGTGTGGCCCTCTGATGGACCGTCCAGGGTGTACCCCGCCTCTGTGAGTACACCCTGGGATAGACTCCAGTCCCCCCCCGTGACCACATTGGGGAATAAGCAGTTACGATAATGGATGGATGGAAAATTAGATATTAGAATCTCTTACATGAGAGTTGATCCAACTTCTATATATGTATATATAAATAGGAATGGATGCTGTGTTATCTTATCTTATTAAAGACATTAATCACATTTTAACGTATTTAAGTCAAAATATCAAGTCCTAAGATCAGGCTCTTTAATAACACGAGGTTAGTCTTATTAAAAATTCCATTTACTCCACTGTACTTGCAACATTAATGCAACAAAACTGTTGTAGATTTTAGAAAAACACATGCTTCCCTCAAAACATCATTTATTTAACAAAATCTCACCTGAAATTTGTCACCACTTGGTATCCAAAACATCTGCGCGTCTCTCATTTGTTTTAAGAAGGTAAAAGCTTTACCATCCCAGGATTGTGGCAACATGTAGTGAGCCTAAGATATAAAAATGGATGTTTATTGATAAAAAAAACTAAAACTGGGATAAAACATATCAGTATGATGTCTGGGGTTCCTACTATCTGCTGAAGTTCACTGTTGAACACAATCACTGTGATATTTCTATATTTTTAGGTGGAGAAGGATTACACCTTCCTCGATTATGTAATGGGAGGCTGCCAAATTAACTTCACAGTGAGTTTGGAAATGCTCCAGATCAAATTTTGACTGTCATTTGGAACCTGAAACGCCCCGCATGAGCTTGGCCTGCATCTTTTCTCTGACGTTGTCCAGATTGCCATCGACTTCACCGGCTCCAACGGAGATCCCGCCTCTCCCCAGTCCCTCCACTACATCAATCCTGAGGGGTACAATGAATATTTGAACGCCATCTTGGCAGTTGGTAATGTCATCCAGGACTATGACAGGTAATCTCAAAGTTAAAGGGCTGAAAGATTTCAAGGTTTCTGTATCTGTCCACTGAAAAGCTTGTGTAATACTCGCCCTTTATTCTGTCTGTCTCTATTTGTAGTAATAAGATGTTTCCTGTATTTGGTTTTGGAGCACAGATCCCTCCATCCTGGCAGGTATAAAACATTGAAAGGTTTTTAATAAGAACATAAATGATCTGATTGTGAATATTTCAGTGTCCCCAAAATGTATGAAATGACAGGCCTCAGATTTCCTTTAGGTCTGTTAAGTTATCTTCTCTATAGCCTTGTAAGCTATGTTCAATCTTTCTTTGAATAATAGTTTAAAAAATGAGAAAATATCTGAAGATATCTCACAAACTCCTTCCACTGTTTGTCAGGTATCTCACGAGTTTCCAGTCAATTTCAATCCATCTAATCCATTCTGTGCTGGTAGGTTGAAATCGTTTTTCTATTTGTCCCCCTAAAAGTCGTCCGTTTCTGATTCGGTGCTGCCACCTTGTGTCGGCGCGTGTCTGTGTGTGCTGCAGGCATAGAGGGGGTGGTGCAAGCCTACCAGCAGTGTCTGCCTCAGGTGAAGCTCTGGGGTCCCACCAACTTCTCCCCAATTATCAAACACGTCACGCACTTCGCCAAACAAGCTCTCCACCAGAATGCGGCCTCGGTAAGAGTATTGGATACATTCGATCATCGTGCAAGCTCGTGTTAAAGGACACCGGGTGTCCTTTTGTTCCATGCTCCTGACAATATGAGGCTCTTAATGAAACGTCTTTAACATGCTTTGGTCATAATGCAGTAGTAATACAGAACTAGAGGCCTTTTTTCAAGCCTTTCATGGCAGCACAAGTTTATTTGCATAGCTCGTTTAATCTGTAAGACTGTTCAAAGTGCTTTACATAGTTATAAAGATAAAAGATAAAGACAGAGTATATCCAGTTTTCATTTGCACGGTTAAATAGAGCTCTGGATTAAACATCGTCCGAGTTGAGGCCTGGGTCACTTCTTTAGGAGGACTGTTCAACAAAGTTTCACAGTAAATCCACAGGCCTGTGTTCCCCTGCTGTCAGCAACACGTAGATCACGCGTGCATAGCTGTAGCAGGACACATTATGGCTGCCTATTAGCTGGCCTAATGGAAGCATGTACAGACTGAACAAAAGGGGTCCCAGGATTGACCCCTGGGGAACCCCACAGGTCAGGCCCATCCGGTCTGAGGTACAGTTCCCAATTTGAACAAACTAACACCTGTCTTCCCGGTAGGAGTTGAACCAGTTTAAAGAATGTCGGGTTTGATACGGGCCGGTAGCTGTTTTCAGTACTGTGGCTTCCAGACTTCTCTTCGTCAGGAGAGGCTTAATGACAGCAGTTTTTAGGCCTTCTGAAATGTTCCAGTCTGGAGTAAGATGCTGACTAGACTAGTGAGTTGTGATAAAAAACTGCTCAGCACAGACTTTAGGAATCTAAGGGCTAACTGGGCCAGACGGACTCAGGCTGCAGATGGACTCTTGCATGACAGGTGTAAACTGTGTCAGCTCTAGATGTCTTAGTGGGGGTAGAGTAGTTATTTCTGTTGTGGAAACGATTGCTTTTTTAATGCCTTGAACGTTGTCATTAAAGAATATTGAAAATCATGACATTTGGAGGTAGAAATTAGTTCCCAGGGCAGTGAAACTGGAGGGTTTGTTAATCTGCTCTCTGTAGCAAACAGGACACCAGAGTCCGCTGTTTTACGCAAAGTCTGTTTGAACACACTCAGCTTTTCTTTGTAGATCTCCAAATGCTTTGACTTTCCATTTCCGTTCGGTTCTCCGGCATTCCCTTTTCTGTGCCCTTTACAAAGCAGTTCATTGAAGCTGACTTCAGGGGATGAAACACACATTTTGACCCCACCCTCTTTTATGTGAACTGAGGCTCTGTTAAGATCATTCAGTCACTGTTAAACTGCATGGTAAGGTACATTTAGATCAAAATTACACTCAGTCACCCTTGAAGCAAATTCTGTAGACTGCAGATAAAAATGACAGGCTAAACAGTTTGTAGAACAATATACATCTTAATCAATCTGAATAGAAATACAGTAATAGGCTGTATTCGAAAAAGAAAAATTATTATTATTTTTTTTTCTCCAAATGTTTCAGTCTAGGGTCAGATCAAAGATAAAGATGGTGGCATGGTAAAGAAAAATTAATTTAATCTACAGAAATGAAATTATATCTGTAAGGCATGAGTCCCATTTTTCCCAAGGGATATTCCCCTTTTCCTTTTGGAATCTGATGTTAAAAGTGTTGATGTTCAGCCATTGGTTAGTCTTTCAGACATGCAAATATTGTTGAAAATGGCCATCCACTGACTGAGACTGACTCACCTCCACCGTAGTAGGGTCCCTTCTAAGCCATCACTTATTTTGTGCCTTTTTTTTACTTGTTGACATCATTATTTTTTAAATGCATCTATCTGCTTTTTACACATTTCAATGTATATCCTGTAGATAAAAAGACAAGCAGCTAAATTCAGGATCATACCCTATAATGGCCCTGACAGTACAATGAACGCCCTTCCCAGGAAATTAGGAAATTTGTGGTTCAACCAATATATTTATATGGCTTTACTGGGGTTAAGAAGCACCTGATACTATTTTTCCAAGAGAAGCGTCTCCACATTTGTGAGTTTGTGGGGGCAATTAATTTCCCATTTCTCTAATATCATATAAATTTGAAGCCCTTTCTCCCATTTTTCCTTAAAATAAAGTGTAGTTGCCTTTTAATTAAACAAAAATCCAATAAAGCTCTCCTATTAACATTTTGGGTTTGGAAGCCTTGATGGGTGTTTGTATCCTCAGCATCTCTCAGCGTCTGATCCTTTTTCTTTGATTTGTCCTGCCTGTCCGCAGCAATACTTTGTGCTGCTCATCCTCACAGACGGAGTGATCACAGACATGGACCAGACGCGGGCCGCCGTCGTGGAGGCCTCCCACTTCCCCATGTCCATCATCATAGTCGGCGTCGGCCAGGCAGACTTTAGCGCCATGGAGTTCCTGGACAGCGACGATAAACTACTGAAATCGGCCTCCGGGAACGTGGCAGCCCGGGACATCGTGCAGTTTGTGCCCTTCAGAGATTTCCACGTAAGCGGAACCTTTGTACTGCAGGGACTAAGGTTCATGACTGACGAATAATCCTCCTGTGCCAGATTTTAACTTCAATTCAATTTTATCTCACAGCTCTTTCCAAACAGAGCAGGTCAGACCCTACTCTGAGTTATTTACAGAAGCCCAACAATTCCCACCAAGAGCAAGCACTAGGTGACAGAGGCAAGGAAAAACTTTCTTTTAGGAGGCAGAAACCTGGAGCAGAACCATGGCTCACGGTGGGCGAACATCTGCCTCGGCCGGTTGGGGGTGAGAGACAGAGAGGGCAAGAGAGAGAGAGAAGAACAGAGGGAGCAGAGAGAGGCAGCCTACAGGGTAACGCATAGACTAGATGAAAAATGGCAATGATGTTGATACTAATAATAATGATAGCAGTTATGATAGTAATAAGACTATGAACAGTGGCTGTAATTGTAACAGAGTAGGAACACGGGGACAGCAGGAGATTCCCCATCACAGATCCAGTTTCACAGCTCCAGGAACACCTGCAGGAAGTGATAGGAGGAGACTCCCAACCACAGATCCAGACTCCACAGCTCCTGAGACAGGAACATCTACAGAAAGTGATAGGAACTGATTTGGAAGGGAGCGTGTTTTAGTTCTCTTGCCACTGATGGGTGGTTGGGGGTGTGGTTCTCGTTGCAGGGAAGCAGCGTGGCCCTGGCCCAGAGCGTCCTGGCCGAGCTTCCGGATCAGCTGGCCTCATTCTTCAATTCCTACAAGCTAAAACCCCCGAACGCCGTCAACGTGCCCGAGTCCTTCAAGTAAAACAGATTCCTTCAACCAGACTTACCTCTCCGTGTTCCACCTGTCCTCAACTCCTGCACCCTCTTTCTGTAATCAGTGCATGGAGCAATGTAAATTATAGCTCTGATGTTGTTTGGGAAAGAAAAGAGAAAGCCTCAAACCTCAGACCTCTGAGAGGAATTTGCAAAAATGTGTCAAATGCGATTCGAAATCATGTAAAAAGGAAAAATGGTGCCTTTTTCTCTCTGTGTAATGCATCACATCAGCAAATACTCACTTAAAGAAGTCATGAAATGCTTCATCGGATATGCACGAGCATAAAAGTTCTTATTTTGCCTTATTTAGATAAGTCATTTACATAAGTCATGACCTTCTGTGCATCTTTTGTGGTTGGATGTTTTCCATTGTCAGAAATATTTTCTTACTTGCGTCTAAAGAATGGATCAGTTGTACATATGGTCCCTGGATCTTTCAGTTTGACATTATTTTTTAAAAACATTTTTATCCTTGAGTTGAGGGATGTGGGGGTGAAACCAAAGTAATTGGAGGCGTGACGGCTAAGAATACAGAGCTCAAATGGCTGTGTCTTTCTTTGATTCACAATTCTTCTGTCCATAACAAGTCAGTTAAAGGGATAATTCAACATTTCATATTTATATTTGTATATCAAGCCTGCTTGTTGTGTGTATTGGATTGTTTCACCATCAGAACGCCGTTATATTTTCCCTCAGCGAGACATTTGTTGAATAAAAGATTGCTGCAAGGGCTCAATTTTTCATTGGTAAGGTTTCACTTTTGTCCAGTAGTGAAGAGCACGTGTCTTTTTGCTTGTTTATTTAAGTGTTTATGTTGCAGCAATATGTAAACACAGTCTAAATCTGGAGCTGAAAGCAAAACACGAGGGAACGGACAGATCTGCAACACTGTTGGAAAACTTAAGTGAGTATAACCATTATGTTTACAAATCCGCTAGCACCATAAAAAAAAAAAAAAAAACTCCGGTTAAAAAAAAGGTGAGAATTTCCTCTTCATGGAAAATAAACAGAGTGACACCACCGTTAACAGGAAACGTAACTGAAGGGGCTCCGCCCATCGCGGACCGTGCTAGTTTGTCTGTTTCGGCTGCTTAATTTGTGGGAGAGGCAGACAGCTAGCACGGTAAGATTAAGACGGGACTCAAAACTTCCTATGACGTTCTGAATTTTGGGGGGGCAAAATAAAAACAGACCATTAATCTATCAGTTACTCCTTCGTCGAGTATATTTGAACAGACTTCTACATACTTCGTATATTTTAGCTGTTAAGAAGCCAAACTTCAGGTTTACAGATGTATATACATGTGTACATGTCAGCTAACCCAAAGTGTCGGTATCTTTTGGCATATTGTTAGTTTTTCGGTTATTGACGGCCACCGTAGAGAGGAACGTTTTAACGTGAGGAACGTTACGTTTATGGTTTGTCACTCGACGGAGCTAATTTCGCAACGCGGATTTTTAAATTTGTTAACATTTTTTATAGCTATGACGGGCCTACTTGGTGGTTTTATGAAGGAATAGGCTCGTCTTTAAACTCCCGGACGGGATAAAACCATTTCAAATAAATTTGACTGCGTTAAATGAGAGAAATTGAAAACACAACCTAAACCAGGCAGACAAATAAAAAAACTAACGATTTTTGTTTAAAATTAATTTAGTTAGAATGAATAACAACCATAACTAACATATAATATAAGACATAAATACCTGTAGCTTTTTAAAAAACAAAATAATGTACCGTAAATTACACCTCATTAACATTAATAACCCAGTGCAATTCCTGAGATACAAAGCTGCTGAGCAGCATGGATGGAAGCCAGCAGCTGCATCCATTTAGAAATGCTCTTTCACATCCTTTGGCTGCTCACAAGTGGCCAGGGTTAGGAAATAATCTTTATTCTCAATATTGCATGTTTATTTAAAAAAAAAAACTTTTTTCCATCCAATTACTAAGTCAAAACTTTACCTGTCTCACCTCCTGAGAGCCTGCGTCCTCGTATGAGGACATTGCATTTTTACTTACCATGATACTTCTTATTTCTTTGGACTTTGACCTCTTGGCCTCATAGTAGATGCTATCAGACATTACTGTTTGCAATCTAAAGTAAAATGGTTTTAGTACATTTTCAACCAATCATGTTCTTATTGTGTAATTACAATTTTGTCATTCTCAATTCTCAAGTCTCAATCTCAAGTGGAGCAAATTCCACAGAGAGCATGTAATTGAAAATATAAACACACATTTTAAATATAAAGATAAACTGATTGAGCCTATATGAAGAAAAACTACCTGTACTAGGACAAAGTCTAGTTATTAAACTTATTAGGTCCTACTAATCCCAGATTTGTTGAAATAGGCAAAATGCACACCAAATAAAAGCTCGGGTCTCAGGAGGCTAATGGAATATTCCCCCGTTTTCCCTCTGTTTCCCTATGTTTCTCTTGGATACACAGTGTTACCCCTCAAATTGCGATGGCAGCGTCCAGAGCCCAGGGCCCCGGGGCCTCAGACTGTGTGACCAAGGTGGCCCTGAGCATCTCGTGTGAGAATCTGCTGGACATGGACACATTCTCAAAGTCTGACCCTCTATGCGTGCTCCTCATGAATCCCACAGGGCAGCACTGGTGTGAGGTGAGTGGGTCTCCGGCAACTTCGAGTGCTGTGTGGAAGTGTTTTTTAGTGAAAATGGCTCGCTTTGAAACTTGTATTTGCTCTAGATCGGCCGAACGGAGAAAATCCAGAACTGCCTCAATCCTACATTTTCCAAGAGCCTTATCCTGGACTACTACTTTGAGATGGTGCAGAAGCTGAGGTTTGAGGTGTACGATATCGACTCTGAAAACTGTAGCCTGGAAGAGGCGGACTTCCTTGGACAACTGGAGTGCACCCTTGGACAGGTTAGCCTTCTTTTGCTCTCCACTAAAGGACATTTATCATCTCATTAACAGTACTTGCAGAGCACCTAGAAAGTACTGCTATTATTTCAGTGTTTTTGTATTTTGTTATGCAAAACACTTTCATTTTTTAAATGGATTTAATAGATTTTCCCCAGAAAACTTAGATGTCTGTAAATGGTACAATAGTTGACAGTGCACATTAGAACACAAGCCAATGGGGATTGGAGTGGAGTTTCCCAAAAAGCACCCGAAGGACTCTCAAACCATGAGGAATATTACGTTTGGGTATAATGATACAAAGCTTGTATTTGTATCCAATTGGGCATCTCTGTAATGATCTGGAAATGATCTAACCTATAAAGAGGAATTAGACTTTGACATTTTTAGAAGGAAAAAATTAACTTACGCCATTTTGGAATAACTAACAGAACAAAATGTGGAATGATGTGAATAATTTCCAGATGGACTTTAGTTAAACTGTAGTTTCCAGTCTAAGACTTCTTTCCAGTAATATGTCATTAACAGGTCTGTATAAATGCTTTCCGATGATGTATTTTTCTAAAGATTGTCTCCTCAAGTAAACTGACCAAGCCACTTGTTATGAAAGACCAGAGGCCTGCGGGGAGAGGAACCATCACTGTGAGTTACTTATGTTCAAAATGGAATGCTGTTTGTAACCGTGTTGACATTTTCTAAAGAAACCAACTCTCTCTAGATAAGTGCAGAAGAGAGGACAGACAACAGAGTTGTAACATTTGATGTTTCTGCAAGAAAACTGGACAAAAAGGTACTTGGTGATGTTACTCAGACAAAGATCATGTTATATTAAGCTGTAGTCTTTCCAATGAAATGAGATTTCAAAAGACATAGACATAGACAACTTTACTGTCATTTTGTGTGTACGGAGTGCACACTAAACAAAATTTAATTGCATACAGCTTAAGACAAGAACAGGATTCAATAATTTAGCAGTCTAATGGCAACAGGGAAAAAGCTGTTGTCAGCAAACATTTTGCGGTTGTTTTTGGAGTGGGGGAATTGTCATCGAGATTTTTAAGCAGGATGGGACTGAGGTGTAGATGATTTATACATTCAAAAACACCTGAAACATTTCATTTAAGAGAAATATAAATAAAGAGTTATAAAGAGTTATGAACTGACTAAAGACTATGGAATAACCATTTTTTCAGGATGTAAAAAAGTACTTATTTAGTAAAATTAATACATTTAGATATGAATATCTATTATATCAATTTAATAAATGTATTTGATAAAAAAAGATAATTTAATAATAAAATATTTGATAAAATATAAAAAATATTTAATCTTTAATTACATTTAATAAAATGCCATTTTGACTTTCAGGCCCTGTAATACATAACAATCATATATATATATATATCGTATTTATTTGTTTATACTTTTGTTTATAAATATCAAATCATTCATGATGTATTTTTTATCAAGGTCTATAATCTAACACAAAGCCATAACATTGGTACTGTACCTCTTAATAATTTACCTTTTCCAACTACAAAACTTTTTATTTTATTTTATTTTTTTCAGAATGTTGTGCATGTTTACTTCAGCATCGTCTTTCTATATTCGCAGGATTTTTTCGGCAAGTCCGACCCTTTCCTGGAGTTTTACAGGCAGACAGACACTGGATGGCAGCTGGCTCACAGGACAGAGGTGCTGCTCCCATCAGTCTCCGCGTAGGCTTGTCAAATTGCGTCTGAAATGTCTCTAAAGTTTGTATTCGCGCTGCACCGAAACACTAAAGGGGTTCACGAGGTTTTGTTGTTGGGCAGGTGGTGAAAAACAACCTCAACCCGATATGGAAGCCATTCCGAATCCCCATGCAGGCACTCTGTGGAGGTGACGTGGAAAAGTCTGTAAAGGTACACGCATCGTAACAAAAGTAAAAACACCAGCTAAACCAAAGGGAAAAAACTTTTATGACAAATGCAGTTTTTCTCTGTTTGCGTAAGTCATGGTGGATATGAGTTTTAGCCACATCTGGAGCTGTGTGTGTGCCATCACTTCTTATCGCCTTGCTACTAATAAATTAACATGTTAGTTTATGTTTTTTTTGTTTTTTTTGTTTCCACCCTCTAATGAAAGCAAACTTATCAGGAACAGATGCTGTGAAGGCAGCAGCACAAGTGAGTTAACCGTTAACAGAGTGAGTGTTCTTCATGTGAGAGATGCGGTGTCCTGGATGCATCCAAACATCTGTCTTTCAAAGGAATGGATACCCTCAATTCTGAGGAGATCGGCCCTTTGGTGACCCTACCTATAATATAATATCCTAATATTTACCGACTGATCCTCTTTACCTTTTTTTTTTAACCTATTTAACCCTTAGGAGTCCGCACGGACATCACACTTTTTATTTATTTGTTTTTTCTCAGCAATGGAATCGTGCATCAAATATTAGTTTTCATTCATTTACAGACTTTAGTTCTCGTGGAAAACACTAATCCCATGTATGCAATATGCTTTGCCAAACTTTTTCTGGCCCCGGGTCATTGGTCGTGTCCACAGATGACAATTTATTGTTGATTTTGTTCTTTAGGAATACAATTGAACTGAAATTTAATACTTCATTTAATTTTTAATTGCATAAATCTTTAATAATTTCAGCGTGATAGTTGAGGTTATTCAGCCCTTTTTGATAAGCAACCCAAAAACTTATTACTTTTTAAGAAGAATATAAGCAGATCTAGCAGTAAGAGCCATTCATATTCCAGACTCCTAAGGGTTAATAATTAAAAGAAGTCTATTCTTACTAAATGCAACAAAGGTATTGTTTTGATTTTTTAAAAACTTTTTTTAGGCTTTATGGCTACAGATTTGGTGGAATGCATTACATTTTGCAGCATCACCTATTGAGTTAGATTTTTTTTAAAGATATGTAACCATAAAAAAGCTTCTCTTTGTGTCAAAGTTTTCTGTCTACTGACATTCAGCAAACTGACATTTCACAATTCCAAACGGATCTTTGATTTTGTGAACCAAGTAAGCGAACCATCGGGCCGATCTCCACATAGGTAGATGTTTCCCATTTAGAGTGATCACCTGTAGCTGTAGCTCCATGCCATCTTCCGCTGATTCTCTGACCACTACACAAAAGTTTAGTCCGTGTATGAGTGTGTGTTTTTTTTAATGATAGATGTTTCAGACAAGGAAGCTTTTCTCTCTCTCCCTCTCTCTCTTCCTCTCTCTCTCCAGACTTCCGAACTCATTTGAAAATCGGTTCATGTTTCTCTCTGTGCAGGTGGAGTGCTTCGACTACAACAACAGCGGCTCCCACGACTTTATCGGATCCTTTCACACCACGCTCTGCCAGATCCAGCAGGCCACGCAAACGTCCCAAGTGAGTCCTCCGTATAAAACCCGCTCTTCTCGTCCAAAAATGGCGATTTGATCTGGTGTGTCTCCCACCTTCCCAGGCGGAATTCGAATGCATGAACAGCAAGAAGAAGCAGAAGAAGAAAGGATACAAAAACTCCGGGATCATCGTCATCAAACAATGCAAGGTACCGCGGAATGCTTTTGCTCTGTTTCCTGTTTTTTTTTGTTTTTTACCATTCATAAAATGAAATAGACTTCAGACATGTATTTAGATTAATCAGAAGACATTTTATTTAAAATAAAGTTTAAATCAGACTCTTTGAAAATGTATACTTTTTTTGTCTTGCAAAGAGGTTTTATCATTTATATTTCTTGATAACTTTACCTGTTTTAGCTTAAGTTTTTATTTTTCTGTACGTTTACTTTCAGATAGTGAAGGAGTACACTTTTCTGGATTACATAATGGGCGGCTGTCAGATTAACTTCACAGTGAGTACAGCATACAGTCATTATATTTACTGCATATCTACATGGAAAGTATGGAAAGAATGAATCACTAATGAATGATTAATTCCTTGTACAGTATTAAAGGTTTGTTGGCCCGTGTCGGGGGCCAGATTGCTATTGATTTCACAGGTTCCAATGGAGATCCCCAGACACCCAGGTCCCTCCACTACATCAGCCCTCACGGATACAATGAGTACCTCTCAGCTATCTGGGCTGTGGGTAATGTCATCCAGGACTACGACAGGTAAATATGGTGATAGACATTCAGTGCTATTACCAAAGAAAATTAAAGCGTTCTCCTACCTGGGTATTTTTCCCATTTCCCATTTCCCTACCTTTAATTTAAATGCACTGTGTTTTGGATTTTCTTGTAACGGACCAATGCAGAACACTCAGAATTACTCAAGCAAATTTAAAATGTGAAAATATTGTAAAAAATGTGTGGACTTATTTGTATTATCTTTTATTTCAAAGCAAAATTACAACATCTCATGAGAGCTGCCGCTTCATTTCAGAAGTCACATCACTGGTTGAGAAAAGTCCACTTATATTGTAAAGTGCTGATGTTTTAGTTTTGTTGCTGTTTACCTTAGTAATATCCTATTCTTTCTTTTCCCTCTCTGTGTTTAGTATATTGGTAAACCTTAGTTGTCCTCTAATTTATCTAGTTATATTTGATTAGTTTAATTTATCTGTCTATTTGTATTGGAAATGATAAGGTCCAAAGTTATTTGTTCCTTCTTAGATGCCAGCACCTACAAAAATCAGGCCCTGTAAGAAGATTTTGGACAGTCCTTTTAAACACAACCTGTGCTACCCTCTAATGGAAATATAATTTTAATTACACTTAGAGAGGTGTTTCTTCCCACTGTCCACAAACATGCTTGTTAGATCAATTGAACACTAAATGACCCCAAAGAGTGTGATTTGTGATTGTGTGGACTCTCCGGTGTGTATCCCGCCTTTTGCTCAGTCAGCTGGGATAGACTCCAGCTGGATTGCAAAACTCAATCCATAATGGATTGAGTTCCAACTCCAAAGCTACTGCAGTCTGATTAAGAAAAAGCCTTAACTCTAAATCATGATTCTGTTATTTATTTCTCGTCTGAAAAACTCTGCTGAGCTGTAACTCTTGCTGTGTTTCACTCCCCCCCCCCCACAGTGACAAGATGTTCCCTGCCTTTGGTTTCGGAGCTAAGATCCCTCCCACGTGGCAGGTGAGGGTCTGATATTGGTGTAAATCCTTTTTCTACGGCTCGGAAAAGGTTGTCCTGCACCCCTGTAGCTCCTGTGGCGAAGGAGGATAGAACTTCGGGTTAATGATTGCTTTTGTTTTTAGGTCAGCCATGAGTTTCCCATCAATTTCAACCCATCTAATCCATTTTGCGCAGGTCAGTCTGAAGCAAATACTGCAGCATTACAGAATTTATATCGCTGTGAAACTTAGTTTCATGGCCCGTTTCCCATTCCCAGATGCATATTTCTTTTTTTTCCCATGTTTCATAGGCATAGAGGGTGTGGCTCTTGCCTACCAGCAGTGTCTGCCTCAGGTGAAGCTTTATGGGCCAACAAACTTTTCCCCGATCATCAACCACGTCGCCCATTTTGGCAGACAGGCCTTGCAGCAGCAAACTGCCTCTGTGAGTAGCCAGAAGAAAAATAATGAAAAAGAAAGTGTGTTATTTTTTTTTAAGCTCATTGATTTAATGTATTGTGTAAGTGACTCTACTGGCATTTGTTGTGGTGTCAAACGTTGGGTTGCAGGAAAAGGTTTCTTCCTTCTAAGAAGAACTGGCTTCTGTTTTCAACAACAGAGCGAAAAATTGTTTTCAAACCACATCTGAACAAACCATAAAACTACTGGGCAAAAAGATTTTATTAAAGCAGAGCTAAATCCTGAAACTTCCCCTACTCCAAGTGGACAGGCCATCTTCATAGATAGATTTCCAGTCACAGCTTCTTGTGATTTTCCATCTGACCAAAGAAACTGAAAATAAACAGTGTGAGCAGCTTCATTTGAAAACTGGCTGCATCTATATGTCTTTCTCTTACAGTTGCTCACTCTTTTTTCCTGTTTACTGGAATCAGGACCATGTTGTCTTCTCTCTAACTGAGTTAAAAGGAATGTGAAAGTTCTGAGACATTATTTGATCTGTTGGTCTGATTTTAGTAGTAGTTTCTTCGTTTGCGGTTTATCCTGTTTTCTGAGATTATCATTCTTAAATTCTTTGATATAGGCGAGGTACTAATAACCACTTTTCTGCCATGTGGAGGAAATGTCTACAGCAATAGTTATTATTAATGGCCTCTAACTGCCTTTAACTTGAATTTGTTTGTGCAAATTACCATTGATACAATTAGTAGTAGTAAAATCTTAGACTTAGACTGACTTAGACTGAACTTTATTGATCCCTTGGGAAGACTCCCTCAGGAAATTAAGGTTACCAGAAGATACTGGAGAGGCAGCCGTCTACACAGCGCCAGAATAGAGAGAGAAAGAGATTTTTTTCCACAAATCTTGAGTAAATCTGATCTTTCAAGTTTGGATTCTTTGTGACAGTCTTTTTTTTAATCTCTGTTTCTTGTTTCCCAGCAATACTTTGTCCTGCTGATCATCACCGACGGGGTGATCACCGACATGGACCAGACGCGCACCGCCATCGTCCACGCCTCCCGGCTGCCCATGTCCATCATCATCGTCGGCGTGGGGGGGGCGGACTTCAGCGCCATGGAGTTCCTGGACGGCGACGACGGGAACCTGCGCTCGGCGACGGGCGAGGCCGCCATGAGGGACATCGTGCAGTTCGTCCCGTTCAGGCAGTTCCAGAATGTACGTGCCCCCGCCCCCCCCCCCCCCCAAACTCCCCCCCCCCCCCCCCCCCCCCCACCCCCGAGTTTAAGCAGCTCTCTGCAGGCCGGCTCCTAACTGACTTTCAAATGTCACACGTCTTGTTTCAGGCAGGCACTGTGGCCCTAGCACAAAGCGTTCTGGCAGAATTGCCTGACCAAGTGGCCTCCTTCTTCAATTTATTTGACCTGAAGCCCCCCAGTGACCCCTGTCCTTCCTAGACATGTATGAGCACCCCGCCCACCTACCTCATCCACCCCTTTTCCTTTTTTTTTCTATGCACTGGATGCACAGTAGCATGATAAAAGCACTCTTAGCCCACTAAGGAAGTCAGGGTTTGGCCATAGTCTACATAACAACATGGTTCTCCAGCCTTCAGCTTTGGCCTCCATATCAATGTCACAGAGGAAAGGCTGGCTGTATTTAAACAGCTCTCCCTCAATTTGTTTTTAAGCTTCTCTGCTGTATTTGTGATATCATTGTCTTTCTCTGCCTCTTTTTCTTTAGGGTCCTCAGGAGATGCTGGCTCAGAGTGTGTTGGCAGAGGTCCCAGAGCAACTTACGGGCTTCTTCAACGTCATGGGTCTGAAGCCTGCTCACAGCCTGCCCGCCCCCGCTGACCCTCCTGCTTCAGCTTCAGCTCCCCCCCCGTGACACGTTCTGGAAACCCAAACTTTGTCCTCCATCTCAATTCAATTCACTTTATTTACAAAGCACCTTTCGTACAGAAAGTAACACAAGGTGCTTTACATGGAAACACATTTAAAATCATAACCAATCATAACCTCCTCTCATGTATACACACACACAATATGCCCCCCCCATCCCACTGCCACCCTACCATCCCATCTAAACTCAAGTTACCACCTTCTTAAAACCAGTTTGACACTAGAGAGAGGAAACAGTATCCTGGGGATGCCAGGATCCAACACCCTTAACCACAGAAGCCGTCGCCACTGGAAACCAGCCCCATCAGGGCAGGCCAGGGTCCACACTCCAGCCACATTGCACTGATGGACCCCAGGTTACCGAGATGAGGATGATCACCATGACAACGACCCTGCAGACGGCGCAGAAAGAATCCCCAGGATGGAGGATCCCCATGAAGTTAAAAATCTTGGACAGTAAGACCAATCAAAAGCAACAGTTTGAAATGTCAATCAAATAGCCAGATAAATTAGTCTATAAAAATGATAAGTATATAATAAAAATAAACGAATAGATAAAAATGAGATATATAAGAGGCCAGGCTTCAGCCCACTTTACCTCTGAACTTTTGGCATGTGGGACTTAGTATGATAGACATGTCAAAAGACAAATAGACAAGTCAAAGTGTAAAATCCTAAGAACAAAGTCACCATCTTAGGCTGTCCCCTAATGTTTTAAAATGTAACCGTATCAACTCAATTAGCTAACAAATCAGCCGTCTACAGGAAAGGACAGCAGTGCTCACTTATTCATTTTTTCCCGAATATCTCCTTTCCTATCCCCCTGTCCAGTACAACTGCCATTTCATCCTTCATCACCCTCGACAACTCATGTAGGCATGAAAAAATCTCAGATATTCAATTAAAACTTCTGAGCTGAGCTTGTTTCCGGGGAAAAACGTTCAAAATGCCTCTTTAATGTTTACAGGATCAATCCAAACAGTCATATGTTTCAAGTACTGTTTTTTAAAATATATTTGAATTTAAAAAAATGTTTTTTTGTTGTTGTTAGAGTTGCTCACTTTGTCTTATAAATCATGCATTTTATTTGTTTAACTGGCTGCTAGGTGCTTCTGTGTATGTTTTTAATGAAAATAATCGCTATCAAAGTATAAGTTATCAGGTCTAGATTTTCTATCATAAAATTTTTATACAGCATCTCAAAAAAGTCTAAATGAAATGTATTAAACATGTGTTAGTATATGTGTAATATTAATTATTCTTTACACTTAAGTCTTTGGCACTTTCCTAATGATTGTCTTTTTTTATGCTTAACTCATGTTATACGAGGACAAAATATCACCTGCCTCATAACCCAGAATTATTTTAATCATGTAAAGTTTGAGAACTTTTACTCAGAAGGGCATTTGTATTTACTTTTCATTTTAGTGTGGATTTGTACAATTTGTACATGCCCAGACCAGATATTAGACTTGTTCTAAAATCTGTTGATCAATTAAAAAAATAAATATGAAAGTAAACACTAATAGCAGACTAATATGAGATTTGTCTTTTTTCTTTCTATTTTTTTACATATTTCCCTAAGCTAATATATCATATGTTCAGCAGAAATATACTGACACATATTCTAACTTCTGTGTGAGACGATAATGGAAAAAAAAAGTAAACGAGAAGACTCAGCTAAGTGGATGTGGATTTGGACATTTGACCATGTCATCCAACCCAGTGCTTGGCTGGTATGCACAATGCAGAAGGGTCCCCAGGGGTCTTTGTTACTACCACAACAACACATTTTCCGACTCGAACCATTGGATCTCAGTCAGTTTCTTTAACTGATGTATCCCTGTCAGTTTATTACCTCATACACCCAGGAATCAGAAAGTATAAACCTCAACCGTAATGGATTTGGAAAAGCAACCTAATAAAAAGCAGGAAGTACTTGACATTGTCGGTGGTTAATTTCTGTCTGATTCCATCCCTTCTTGTTAACTTAGAGACAGTTTTCCTCTCAGATGATGGAGGAATAACAGGGACTTGCAGGCAGTCTTGTCATTTACGTGTCCATCCATCTGTTTAGAGCAGGGTTACTAAATATGGTCAGACAAGACAAAAAGTTAAAATCATCATACAAATCGTTTAATTAATGTTAACCTGCTAATGGGAACCAGCTTATTTACAGCCCCTACTGACTTGTAGTAAAATACACTAGACAGATTTCTAGATGTTTCAAATATCAAAAAGCATTGTGTAATATTGAACGTAAAACGGAGTTGCATAGACACTCACCTGATCATCCACATACACATCAGGCATTTAATCAGTTTTTTTGTTCCGTATGTTTGAAGCTCTTCTGCATTTTCTTTATTTAGAGGCTACACTTTTAGTTGGATATTCAAAAGGACAAATTCTAACAAAGGGAAACCCCAAAGGATACCAAGACAAAGCGGAACCTATTTCATGGGTTTTTATTTGACACATTGTTGACAGAAGCCAGTGTTTGGACTGGAGTGCTTGGTTTCAATGGATTGGAACACTGTCTTTTCTAACGAGCCATTGTGTTTTCCTATCTTGTGTTTATCTACATAATCAGGAGAGTCAGGAGGTGTACATTTCTTTGCGCGTACATGTGTACGTTTACAAGTGTATGGTGATGGGACTTCTTTATACTGGTTAACTTTTCGAATGAATGTGTGTCGAGTTGGACGGCTGTCTGCTTGGTTATTTAGCTTCTTGCTTTCAAAGTCCACCTCATTAAGGGTGACCTTTAACAAATGCCGTCAGAAGTTATCCGTGTGACTTGGTTGCATAAATACTGATTGACAGAGACTGACAGCGCGATAGCTTGAATAGCCCACACATTGCTACAAGCTTTGATGGATACCAAAGCTTGTAGCAATGTAAATTGGACAAACATTAAATCTAAAGGCAGTTAGAGGCCAATACCAATAACTATTGCTGTAGATGAGAAATCCTTTACTTTTCTTTCACATGGCAGAAAAGTGGTTATTAGTACCTCGCCTATATCAAAGAATTTAAGAATGATAATCTCAGAAAACAGGATAAACAATAAATGAAGAACAGGCTGAAGAAAACATGCAACTTCCAATTAAGAGTGTGACTGTACTCTGGGGGAATGTTCCGTTACACTTTCCTATAAAAACTTTTATTTGGTATTTTGGATATACTGTAGAACACTTCACAAAGTATCTGTACAGCAATATACTCTAGGTTAATCTACATCCATTTATAAGAGTTTGTGGGGAAAGGCAGCGAAAAAACCCAGAAGTAAAACGATTGCAACAAAAAAAAAAAAAGCTGACATCCAGTGAATACTCCCCAAATCTAGCATTTGAATCAGAATTTGAAACGGAATCAGACTCAGCTGCACAAATAAAGGGTCAATGGTTTCATGAGAGCAAGTTTTGACAAAGAAAATTACACAGAATGTTCTGGAGCACAAAAAAGGTAGATAGAGGTATTTCTGGGGCCCAGGGGAAGTTTTCAGGTGGTGCTGTAGGCATTTAGGCTTTACTTATATTATTTCCCAGTCCTTATTAACTCATAGTGATCTCTCATAATAATTAATAGTTTTAAATAATAAAAACGTTGACGTCAACACTGGGGAATCCTGTTATCTGATTTTTTTTAACATACTGGCTGCCAAATTCGCTGGCTATCGTTCCCTGCTACTTCAAACGGTAAACAAAACTGAGTGTGGCTTGTTATATGCAAGTTTTTGACACCACTTAGAAGAAGATGACCTCCTCCACTGTGTTATTAATTTAAATATATTTTTAATTCGTTCTCTTCAAATTTGAGCACTGCGGATAAAACACTTGGGTCGAAAGTGCCCCTGCTAGTTGCCTCCTTATCGTCATTTGCAGTGTTTGCTTAGTGCTAAGCTTTGGCTTAAGATGTCTTTCTGTGTGTCTGGGCACAGTCCTAAGCTTGCGGATATCTATTTGCCATGACAACATTTTGGTCTCCACCTTCTTCTGTCCTCTCTACTTTTCAGGAAACGCCGACGACGTTCTTCTCGACCGGGGGTAGCTAAACCTAGGTTAGGTGCTCTGTGGGCGTAGCTTTTGCTCGGCGAAGGAAAAACTACATATTTTTACAACTTTTTTTTTTTTTTTTTTTTACCTCAGTATCACAACACCGAGCTAAAGTACAACGCGGAATCAAAGTGAATAGTTTTTTCTCCACCTGAGTTACCCGAGACTTGTCTGACACTTTCGACGGTAAGTCTAAAATATTAATTTGACTTAATTTTCGGATAGACCAGATAAGTTGTCAATTTGTCGCCCCGTTAGCCTGTTAGCGTGACGTTAGCTATAGCCTTTTTCTCACAAACTACCTATTAACGTAGCATGCTCCACGCCCACGAGAGGATTTCTGCTGTTAATTATTGTGTCATATTTTCCATGTGCTTGTACCACACGCTTAGACAAAGTACTACTATATTGCTGTGCCTCTCTAAGCCAACTTAGGGCTACTACAGTTAACTACAACCGAGCAAAACTGGACCTGAAAGCTACGCGAATACTAGATCGAAAAGGTAACGTTAGCTTGGTGCCGACATTCTGCACACTCAGTGTTAGTCTCGTTAATTAATATTAAGTACTGAGACAACATTTTGAAGCTATAATCTCAAAGGGAAAAAAAATCCTATCCTGTTTAAAAATAAAAAATAAAAAAAAAAAGTTAATCAAATTTTCCACCATATTTGGCTCTACGTTCAAACTGACGCAGTTTACAGATGTACAGAAAAAATACGTAAACGGGCAGAACCTAACCGTACCTCCCTGTATATTGCACAACATGCCACTTTAGACATTTTGGAGGGGTTGGTCCGCGTATTGGCTCACAGTAATTGTGTATGCGTGTTTGTGTGTGTTTTGTTCACATCTTGTCCCCAGTCAGTCATGGCTGCCCAGTGTGTGACCAAGGTGGAGCTCACTGTGTCCTGTGAGAACCTGCTGGACAAAGACATCGGCTCCAAGTCTGACCCCCTGTGTGTCCTTTTGATGAGCAGCTCAGACTCCAAGTGGTATGAGGTTGGTAAGATGAGCAGACATGAATCTAAAGGCAGTTGGGAGTACCTATCAAGTGCTTCCAATGAATTACCTTGTTTTGTAAAGCACGTTTCTAACCTCTAAGTAGCAGGAAAGGGAAGACGTATATGTTGGTTGTGTTCATTTACGTTACTGTATCTAATGCAAGACAAACGGGCAGTGTTAATGGTTTAAACCCCCCTTCCAGATGATACAATTTCCACTTCCTGTTTCACTGCTTGGTCAGTTACTTAAGAGCCACTGCATCCAATCTTTCCCAACAGGTCGGGCGAACAGAGAAAGTCCAGAACTGCCTCTGTCCCAAGTTTGCCAAAAAGTTTGTCATCGACTACTACTTTGAAATAGTTCAGAAGTTGAAGTTTGGCATCTATGACATCGACAACAAGACCGTTGACCTGAGTGATGACGACTTCCTGGGGGAACTGGAGTGCACTCTGGGTCAGGTAAAGGTTTGCCTCTTTCGGGTTATGGGGAAGGGTCGGTAGGGAACTGGAAGTGTTTTTTTATTTAGTTTAATGTGATGTCGCTCCAAATATTCCTCTTTCGTTTCATAGTGTTTCACATCTGTGGTAAACACTGATTGATAAGACTGTATAATGTCACCGCACATGTGTTTACTCCTCCATGTTGACTCAGTCTGTGGATTCTGTTCAGTTACCTTTTTCTTTTCTCCTGAAAGTGCTTGTCTTTATCAGCATGCTCACTCTTTTTCTCAAACCTTTCATTTAGGTTGTGTCCAGCAAGAAGCTGACTAGGCCGCTTGTGCTGAAGAACAAGACCCCGGCTGGAAAGGGAACGATCACTGTGCGTAACAGAGGGAGCCTGGGAAGCTGCAATGCACTCGTTTAGCTGTCTCTGTAATCAATTCCCCCCCCTCCTCCCCTTTGTGTTGCAGATATCTGCAGAGGAAATAAAAGACAACAGAGTTGTGAATTTCGAGGTGGAGGCAAGGAAGCTGGACAACAAGGTAAAGGACGTTCTCGTTTGATGCCTTTTCATTTTTGCAATTTGTTGTAAGTTATCGATATCTTTATCGATTTTCACTCGCAGGATTTCTTTGGGAAGTCGGACCCATATTTGGAATTCTACAAGCTGGCAGATGGTGGCGCCTGGCAGCTGGCTCACAGGACTGAGGTGAGCAGGCCACAGCTTAAGCAGCAGAATATTGTTAAAAACGTCAGCTGCCCTCGCTTAACTGTTCGGCTGCCAAATTAGTCAGTGTCCCTTTGCAGCTTTTTCTTGGATCATCTTGAACTCATTTATTCCCATGTTGCTGTGAAAAGCTTCTCGATTGGACCCCTGATGTAAATCGGATAATGAAGTTGTGACGTCATGACCACTGATTTACAGATTTTCTATTTTTTTTTAAAGATTTTTTTTCACTTCTCCTTTTTAGCTTTAGACTTCTTTTTTTGTCGGTTTCTCACGCCTGTCTTTGTGATAGTGAGAACAACAAAACTATCTTCTCACTTGGCGTGTTATGACCAGCTCACCTTTAATCAGTCCAGCGTCCCTTTAACGCTGAACCAGGTTCTGATGGTTTCATTAAAGGGCCAGAACAACTGAGGCCCATTTGGTTTCAGGAAGTTTCCAGTAACCTGCGATTCAGTTTTGAGACATCATCGCATGTGTGGCTGTGACTCAGCTAAATATACTGTATCGTATTACTGCTTTAGCATAGATTTAATTAGTGTGACTCGCTGGCAATTAAGTTTATAACTTCTTAATTTGAAATTCATATTTCCATATAGCGTGATGGGATGTTACTGGTTTATTATATTCTAAATTACGACTCCAGAGTTTATCCAGGTGAATTTAGTCTCACATATAATCTCATCTAATATGAGATAAAAAAGACCAGAGATGGGATCTCAGATCTTTTTTTTTAGGCTGCTTTCTCGTTCGAACACAACACAGTTATAAAAAAAAAATCCATAACATCTATGGCGATACGTCACCCCAACATGTAACAACCTGCCATGTTTCTTCTAAGTTCAAGATGCAAACTTTTTTTGCTTTTCAGAGAAGACACAATGAGTACCCAACACATGATACCTTTCAGTGTGGTGGCAGTTCAGCTGGTTTGTTGTTTACAGCGTGGGTTGCTCTGCGTCTCCTGGATGTGAACATTATTCTCTTAATGGATTTTCATCATCTGTGTCCTCAGGTGGTGAAGAACAACCTGAATCCAACCTGGAGACCCTTTCGAATCCCCCTGCAGTCGCTGTGCGGAGGCGACATGGAGAAGTCCATAAAAGTAAACCTCTGTCACATCAGTTTAGCTTTTTTTACATTTAAAAAATGTTTTCAGCTGCTCAAGTTTTTCTCCAAAGCAAATCTTTAATGACAATAAAGGGAAGGAAAGCCCATTTTTGCTCTCAGGGACTAAACATGTGACCACATGAGTGTTTTTAGCTGTAGGGTGACGATTTATATTTCTTTAACCTCTAAAGCCAACATGACAGGAAGGAAGCACTTTCCCAGCATGCAGGACATGTGAGTTCCCCCCCCCATGACACAGTGTTCTGTCCTCTTTTCATCCTACCATCACTGACTGGCTGATGGCTGTGTGAATGGAGCAGATATGGCACGCTGTGTTCGGGAGTTCCTCCAAAGTTTCCTCCATCCACACTAATCTTTTCATAGAAAGCTTTGTTTGAAACTGTCTGAAGTTCTTTGGATGTTCTGTTTTAACACGTTTGCATGTTTGTTTCATCTGTTCGCGTCCAGACAGGCACTTCATTTAAACCACAAAAATTGACCAACCAGGGGAACTAAGTAGTGCTCAAAGCTGAGCCCAGATCTGTGGTTAAGCGTCCTGGGTTCTGCCTGTAGTTTTGGACAATCTCATTCCGAAACTTTCTCCAGTTTCTTTCTTCCTCACCTTTTTGTTTGTAGTCTGAGTGAAGTGACACATTTGGTGTTTTTTTTATTTTGAATTTGATTTGGTATTTTTTTCTGTCCCAGCTGAGCCGCTGCCTGACATTGTCGATCTCTTTCAGGTGGAGTGCTACGACTATGACGATGACGGCTCCCACGATCTAATCGGAACCTTCGAGACCACGATGAAGCGGCTGCAGGACGCGTCTCGGACCTCTCCGGTATGACCGCCGGTCACTGAAAGGCCAGCCGGCCGCTTTGTGCTGCCTTGATGTTGTTGCAATACTTTCGGGTTTTATTTTTACCTTTACCTGGTAGGATATCCATTCTTTCCAAGACAGTAGTTGTTTTTGTTTTTCTCCTCGATTTCTGACTTTTTTTTTTATTCCGCAGGCGGAGTTCGAATGCATCAACAGTAAAAAGAAACAGAAGAAGAAAGGCTACAAGAATTCCGGTGTTGTGTGTGTGAAGCTGTGCCAGGTGTGGACCTTTTTTTTTTCTTTTTCTTCTTGTTTTTATTCCCCCTGTGTGAATCTGACTTCAGAAGGTGGCGGATTAACAAAATGCCCTCTTTTAAAGGTAGTGAAGGAGTACACCTTCCTGGATTACATAATGGGAGGCTGCCAGATCAACTTCACCGTGAGTTCCAGCTCTTCTGCAGATGCTCTGTCATTCCTTGTCGGTCAGTCCTTAAAACGCGTGTCCCCCCGCAGGTGGCCATCGACTTCACAGGCTCCAACGGGGACCCCAAGTCCCCTCAGTCCCTGCACTACATCAGTCCTCAGGGGGTGAATGAGTACCTCTCTGCCATCTGGTCTGTGGGCAATGTCATCCAGGACTATGACAGGTTGGGAATGTCTTCTGTTTAAAAAAAGAAAAAGAAAGATGTCTTAACGGTAAACCTAACTTGCGTTTCTCGTCTTTTGTGTAGTGACAAGATGTTTCCCGCCTTCGGCTTTGGAGCCCAGATTCCACCCACGTGGCAGGTGAAGCTCATATTTGAAACGCGACACCACTAATGGCCACCGGCGCTCGAGGCCGCGCCGCCTTATCTGATCGGAGCGCCTCGAGGCGGAACCCGTCTGACGCTCATGTTTCTGCCTTGCAGGTTTCCCACCAGTTTGCTCTCAATTTCAACCCCTCCAATCCGTTCTGCGCAGGTGGGTGGAGCAGCCGCGCCCCCACGCGGGGGCGGCAGGTCTCCGTTTCGCCCCTCAAAGTTTGACCCCTACTCTGTGTTTGGTGTGAAGGTGTCGAAGGTGTGGTGGAGGCCTACAGGGCGTGCCTGCCTCAGGTCAAGCTCTACGGCCCCACCAACTTCTCCCCCATCATTGACCATGTGGCCTGTTTTGCCAAACAGGCCCTCCAGCAGACCACCGCTTCAGTGAGTTGGAAAGCTCTGAAAAGAAGCTCTTTGTAGTCGGCTCAGAGTAGGCTTGTCCCGATCCGATATTTGCGAAACAAATGCGTATCGACCGGCAGGAGAAAATGCAGAAGCAGACTCCTGATCCAGTTTTTATAAAAACTCGATCCCACACGAGCATTAGCATCTAAGTAAGTAAGCTAAATAACCTTAAACTTGAATACATGCTCTGATCAGTATCAGATCAGAAGTGCAAAAAGCTGGATCGGGACATCCCTAGCTCAGAGCATCTCTCCTCCCACAGCAATACTTAGCAATACACAGCAATACTTAGCTTAGACCTGAAAGAACTTTTTTTCACAAATCTTGAGTAAATCTTATCTTTTAAGTTGGAGTCTTTGTAACAGTCTCTTTTTTATCTCTGTTTCTTGTTTCCCAGCAATACTTTGTCCTGCTGATCATCACCGACGGGGTGATCACCGACATGGACCAGACGCGCAGCGCCATCGTCAACGCCTCCCGGCTGCCCATGTCCATCATCATCGTCGGCGTGGGGGGGGCGGACTTCAGCGCCATGGAGTTCCTGGACGGCGACGACGGCCGCCTTCGGTCTCTAAGCGGCGAGTCCGCCACGCGAGACATCGTCCAGTTCGTGCCCTTCAGGCAGTTCCAGAATGTAAGTGGCGTCTGAAACACTCGGGACTTAAAACGGTCAAAACGGCTGATTCATTTCCACATTCCCTGCGTTCCACAAAGCTGCCTAACCTGTCGCTGGTTAATCCGCACGCACAGCAAAGCATCCCCACATCTCCACCTAACGCTGCCCACGTTTAATCCCTGAGCCCAAGGACTCTAGCCCCTTAAGCTTAGACCATCTCTCCAATGGTGGCTCATGCTTTTGCCTTATTTATCCCCTTTTTGTTTTTCCAGGCACCCAGCCAGGCCCTAGCCCAAAGCGTATTGGCCGAGTTACCTCAGCAAGTGGCCTCCTTCTTCAGTCTATTCAAACTGAAGCCTCCCCACGATCCCAATCCTTCCTAGGGGGTACCATGAAGTATTCTAAGTCATAAACCCCTCCTACCCTAACCCATTTTCCTTTCTTTTTTTTAATCTTTTTTTGCTTTACCTGTGTAAATAACAGTCTAATAGAATCCTCGCATGAGCCATCATTGTAATAGTTTTTTCATTTTCATTCACTAAAAACGTCCACTCAGCTTTTTATCGCTCTAGTATAGTTGGATGTTGACTTATGTAGGTGCCATTTACAACAATGATTAATTACAATTGAAAGTTTGTTGAAGCCAGAGCCGCTCTCGTGACTCATCCAGTCATGTGACTCCCTGGCCAATCAGCGGCTGGCCTGACTGCTCGATTTGAATCCCAAATGAGTGGGTGCTGAAACTCTACCTGTCAGAGGGAGCCAGCCTTTTCCCTTTAACTGTCCTCACCCGCACGGCTTCACGCTTGTGGTTCCTGCCCCACTCGTTTGTCTCTGCTTGACCGTCTCACATCCAGCTTAGTTTCGTTTGTTTGTTGTTATCTTTATTGTCTTTGCTGTAACTTTCTCGCCCGTCTGGCCGCCCCCCCAGGCTCCCCGTGAGGCTCTGGCAAAGACCGTGTTGGCCGAGGTTCCCACCCAGCTGGTGGACTTCTTCAACCTCATGAAGCTCAGTCCGCCCAACTCCAACCCAGCCCCAGACCCGGCGGGAGCCGTGTGAAGGCCAGAGGAACCAAAGCCACTACCTTCTTCCCCCGTATGTACTCTGCTCAGCGTCACAGCTATCTACACCGCAAAGCTGTTTAAAAAGTTATTTTTTAAAGTTTGTGCACTTAATAATCACTGATAGGAAAAAAGCCAAGAATTTTAAAGCTTAATCATTATATTGTAATAATAACTGAAATGTAGCCTCTATAGAAAATATTCTAATCTTCCCTTTTGCCCACCGATTAACTATAAAAGGAGTTTGAAACTGAAGGAGTTTCCTGACTAGAGAATCTGATTACGAACACTATTAAGCCAAGCTCTTGCTTTGCGTAGCTCTTCCTTCATGTAAAGCTTAGCGTTCATGTGCCAGTTCAAGGCCCGGCAGATTTTCAGATACAGTAAATTCCCCCAGCTGGGTGTCCCAAAAATTCTGTCATGACTCTGAAATCTGCTCCACAGATTTGTTTGCATATGCATTGTCACCACTGAAATCTGGGGCCGTCCTTTTTTTACATCCTAAGAGAATGAATTACAGTTGTTTTTTGCCACACAGCCTTTTTCATAGTTATTTTGGCACATGGAATATATAAATGTATATTTTTTTTATTGATGGTATATTGTTTACGTCTCTCTATGCACGGATATAATAACCAAAGTTATTTATAACCGATATTGTTCAGTTATTTTAACTAAAACAATTGCCAAACCCATAAAATGGAATAATATAACTGGAAGGCCATCTGATTATAGGTATGTATTTCTTTGTATTATACAGATCGGGCTGCATTGTGGTGTGGTGGTTAGCAAGAGGGTTCCCGGTTCAGATTCATGGGGGACCGGGGGCCTTTCTGTGTGGAGTTTGTGTGTTCTCCCCTGTACATGGACTATATAGTCGATCAGATAATCTTTTTAATTATTGTATGGTAAAACAGAAACATTCAGTATTAAAATAACTAGCTCTTTAAAATCTAAATCAGGTGTTTTTATTATGTTTTTCCATCGGTGTAACGTTTTTTTTATTCATATTAAATGTGTTTGACACATTCCAGTTTCTGTGTACTGTTCTCTGCATTAAGGCTGCAAATAAAACATCTGATTCTACGGAGAGCATCAGACCTGATTGTGTGTTAAATGCTGTCTGACACCTAGTGGAGAGCAAGTTAAAAACACCAGCAGAATGAACCCTTAAAGTCTATGTAGATTGTTTTTGATTAACACACACTAGGAGACATCATCATACACTCCGAACTGTTTTATAGAATATTTCCTTTTTATCATTTTAGTTTAATGTAAAAAAAGTAGAGAAAAATATTCATTAAATGGGTAAAACCATATTATCGTTACAAAGAGCCATTTTTATATATATATATATATAAATAAATAAAATGAATACTTTTTTGGTCAGAGTTCTTAGACCAAATCAGGTTCATTTGGTCAATGTGAGCATTGACTTGATATCTGTATAATTATTTCAACATTTAGTTACAAATTCTAATTTACTTAAAAAAAAAAAAGAAAAGGTTTTACCACCATGAAGGCACAGACTTTTCAAAAGTAGTTTCTCATTGACTTTAGTGCTTCTTTCCCATTTTTTCTAGTTTTCTTAATCCTGTGGGAGGGGAAATACTTGTGTAAAGTGTGTGTAACAGTTTGTGTAAAAAATTTAAAGACGAGCTTTCATTGCAGAACGTGAAACAGCATCTCAACTGGAGGAAATAACATAACTTTATTCATTTATTTATACAAAAATACCACTGTGAATCCGTGGAGCTGTCAACACTTTTCCCCATCTACTAAATCTGAAGGCTAAAAAGCCCTCGGAATCCTGGGTGAGCCTGTCCACGTGCCGGACTTCACACAGGCACCACGACTGAGACACCCCCTGCTTTCTGTTCTCCAAACCAAACCGAAAAGCAGGAGCGGGTGCTCGTTGGGTCTCTGGCGATCAGAGCATTCCTCTTTTTCTGTGATCGGAGAGCGGACGGCGGCTACATGCGGTGGATGTGGGCGTGGTCCATGAACTGCTTCAGGTTGTGGAGGTTGTCCCACCACTGGAAGAGGAAGGTGTCTGCGATGAGGCTGAACCAGGGCGTGACCTCCAGCTCTTTGCGCTTGGCCTTCTGCAGCATGGCTTTCAGCTCCTCTTTGCTCACGTAGCAGTGGCTTTTGATCTCATTGGGGTCTGGACTCAGGTCCACGTCCTGAAGAGAGACAGGAAAAATGCAGGTTGTAGCCACATATCCCACATGAAAACCACAGAAAAAAAGAAAAAAAAAAGAAAGTCCGGAGCTACCTTCTGCATGAAGAGGATGTAGTCGATCTCGTGTTCTCCCCAAACGCCGTCCGATTGGGCCTTGTAGTGGATTCGTGTCAGGTAGGTCATCTCCTCTGGAGTCACCTGATGGGCCAGAGGAAGACAGCAGATCACAGCCAAGAAAACTCTATCCCCCATAATCCTCTTCCACTTCCACTGAGCACCTGACGCACACACAGTGGGATCACGAAAAAATAATACCCACTTTAAGAAATGTTCTTTCATCTTTTGTTATTTTCAAATGAGCAAAAGCGGAAACAAAAATGCAAATGGACACAAAACACTTAATTTTGATAACTAAACAATCTCTAAAACTGTTTTTTCATTGTGATTTTCAGATTTCTCAAAAGTAGAAGAAACACTTTGTTTTTAGATCTTCTCAATTTAAAAAAGAGGAAAAAAAGGATGAAATCCTTCACCTGCTTCTTATACTTTGTTCACAAACACTGACTCCTCTTAATTAATTTGATTTTCTTTATCTTTTCCCCTTTTCTTATTGTAGAAGAGGCATACTATTTCTTTTGACTCTTTCGCCCTGACATTTTATCTGGTCAACCTGTAGGTTTCCCCATTACAACCATACATGTATTGTTATGTCCCTGTCCAAATGATCAACATAACCAAAAAATGAAAAGAAAAAAAAAACATAATTTGCCACATTACATGTTCAGTTACATTAGATCTCCTTCTCTCTTCAGACCGATTCGCATACACAGATTAGCTTTTTTGCGTCATATTGGAGTGTGTGCATGTTTGAATGAACTTGATCCAAATCCAGTCATTCCAGCGGGGCCCTGGGTTTTCGCACCTGCTCCATTGGGATCCCCAGTTCAGCTTTGAGTCTTCTCTGAGCGGCCCTCCTCACTCCTATGGCCTCCTTCTCCTCCAGCTCGCTGTCTGTGTGTAGAGGGTGACTGCAGCATGTGTTGGTGTAACAACCTGCGGAACAGATCAAAAACAAGAAGAAGAAGAAAATGGCAAATGCTGCTGTTTGACATGCTGCCACTCGCAGTCATCTGCTTGACTTCTGACCTGGGAAGGTGATTTTGGCATCGGACCTCTGTTGGAGAAGCAGCTTCTCTTCGCTGTTGAAGATGAAGACGCTGAAGGCTCGGTGCAATAGACCTGTGGGGACGGAGAGGGGATGGAGAGGGGTCAGAGGGGGCCGCCGGAGCCCGTCCACAGCTCCCCCGCCAGGGGCCCGTACCTTTGTCGATGTTGGAGTTGAGGTGGCAGTTTTTTTTGGTGTCCGCTCCGACCTTCTGGTCGTTGTCGTCGATGAGGATGCACATCTCGGACAGCAGCTGCACCTGCTTCTCGTCCAGGTGATCCGTGGTTATCTCCGGCATTCTGGCGGCGGACTGCAGGTGTCGGACTCCACTGAGAGGAACGCCACATGGCAATGAACTTGTAACCTCAAAACCAGATAAGCGAACTCCCTTATTGGTTCAAACTACTTCTAAGCTGACCTCTGACCTTTTTGTGTAATTATTTAACACATAAAACTAGCAACACAAAAGAGATAAACATCTTCAACTGTCCACTGGCACGTGTGTTTTGTTCTATATTTGACATTTTGCTGGCGTAAAGACGATGAAGTACCCAATTTTTATTCAGTACTTGTGCTAAAACGTTATCTTAGATTATGAGACGGACAGATATTTAACAAAATAAAAGTCTGAAAACGTCCAGCTAATTTGCAAGGTCATACGGACGAGAAAACTCCTATTTTGAGACTCGGAGGTAAAGATTAAGTGGCTAACTGCATCTGACAGAGAAATAAATTTTGCAAGCATAGCTTGGAAGGATTATTTACTCTTTGGAATGGCTTTCAGAGCACAAACCACATATACAAACACGTTTCTCTATACAGGGCATGCACAGGACACTTAAGCACTTCCTACTTATGGCCTAACGTTCTTGCTAGCTTTGTAGTCTTTGAGCTCGAGACACTGGTCTCGGACTCCCTCGCGGGGCTAGCTTACCTGGGTGTAGCTCTGCCGCAGATATTGGCAGCAGCGCACGAGAAGCGGGTCCCGGGAGGTGCTGCGGGTGCGTTTGATTTTAGGACGGCGGCTCCTCCACGGGATAGCACACGGAGCACCGCCCACATTGCTAGGACCATGGCCTGACCAAAACAGAAAACCAATCACAGGGACGGAAGACGAGGCTGTGGGGAAAAAACGGAGATGGGAACGTCACGAAGGAATAGGCCGATAGCGCCACCGATGGAGGGCAGAGGGCTCGAAGGAGAATGAAAACGAACACCAAGCTTTTGGACTTAAGTCGTTGGTACTCCACCAGAACAATACACATCACCCCAATTTCTCTGCTGTTCTTTCCTTAATTACCTTTTTCACATTAATGAAATGTCATAGAGGTGTTACCTGCCCGAAGGGGAAACCAATAAATAAATCAATTTTAAGAAAAAATATTCTGATACATTTAAGTTCCTAAGTGCTACAACAACAAGCTACAACTTGCTTAAAAAAAAACAATTAGCATAAGATTAGAGACATTTCAGACAAAGTCCAAGAGGTCAAGTCAATTCAGAATGTTTTTGCATTTGTGACATAATCATCAAATTTACCAGTCTTTTTTTGTTTTGTTCAAGGACAAACCTCCCAGATACATTAAAAAATATTTTGACTGAAGACCTTATCAGTGTACTTCTTAGGAATCCTCGTGCTACTTTCTGAGGGGTTTAATGTGTCCAAAAGCACATTTGTCATTGTGTTGATAAAAAGACACTTTTGGAAACCTTTGCTTTTACTTGTCATAAAGTAACAAAGAAAACATGCTTGTTCTGCCATTGGTTTAGTTAGTATTAGGACAGAAGAAGCAAAAAAGAGTTTCTCTTTTCATTTGTTTGGGCTGATAAGTTAAATGAGACTTCTTGAAAAAGAACATAGAGACCCTGTGGGTAAAGGCCATCAGGGACACACACACCAACACACACACACACACACACACACACACACACACACACACACACACACACACCCACACACACACAGATACAGTCTGATATCTTGTCCTTTCTTTTCTTGTTTAACTCATTTATCACTCCAACATTTGCATATATTATTTTTATACCAGATTCCTAACTATCTTTGCACATTAAATAAATCTAATTTTGGTTTTAAAGTTATAACCTATCATTTCAAACACAGAATAACGGATTTGCTTTTCTTATCAAATCTCAGCCTGAAGGGGGAAAAGGATTAAGCTTTTATTTTAGATGAAATCAGGGTTCTCCTGGTGTTTTGCCAGTGTAAATGTTCACCTTCTACATATAATGTCAGTCTTCAAAGGTGTCTTTTCCTATAAGCGTGGAGGATGAGCAAAGGGGGAATTTGTAGTTAGTTACACTAGATGTCACTAGAAATAAAGGATATGTACTATGGGTATCATATCACTGTGGATTTCTTAAAAAAATGTGTGCATTGCTTTAGTTGTGACGAAATGTAATTAATCTTTCATTTTATAGACATATTATATATCTTAATACAATTTAGGGTTGGCAAACGCCAGTTCCAAAGATCTTCTTTGGACTGGTGACCAAGCCAAATAGGTTACCAGTCCTTCACTGAGCCAAACAGTTAAGCAATCTCCTAACTGCCAGTCACTTTAGAAACCATTTAACCTGACAATTCTGGGGATGAAGCTGGCATTTACTGCAAAGAAAGCCCTAGTTGGTGGCTGGTGCTATTTTTTGGTCTTTTTAACCATCCTGTTACACCGGTAGTATGGCAGATTACAGGCAATCAGACTAATTTTAGGCAATTATAAATAAATACACTGCATAAAATATTAAGTGAAATCTCAGAAAAGTCTAAAATTGTGGGTCAGACAGAAAATTTGGGTAGCACCAAACAATTAATTCTCTGGGAACTCTTAATTCTCTGTAGTCATCTCTTCACAGTATTGATGTAAATTGCAATAAACTACGTCCAGTGCACGGTGGGGCGGAATTACTTCTCAAAGCTTAAGAATGTCTTGTTCGCTTTTTAAAAAGTTGATCATTCCAAAAGTGGCCCTTTCGTCTTCCCGTTGAATCCACTCCGTGTTTTACTGTCATCACTGAGCGTCAACACGCCATCAGGCCACTGCAAAGGGCAGCACGGACCACTCATTTAGCAACCAAACCTAAGTATGCGTTGTCCGTCACCTACACACCATGCACAGAGACTCATAAAATCTTCTCTTACTTACATAATATGTACTGGTGGCGGCTAGTGCACAAAACACGTCCTTAAACGTATTTTTTATTTAAATACGACGACATTACAGAGTGGAATCCAGTGGTCGTAGCTTCGTCCCTCCGCATCTGACATAGCACATTTCCATTCGCTGCTTTATCCGCAGCGTAATCACCAATTGGTTTAGAGGGCGCAAACACATACGACGTCATGCGGAAGTAGGTGCAAATGCGTGATGTGTCAAAATTTTGACAAATTTTTTTTTGACACTTTGGGATAATTGTTGCGCCCTTTCACCATCAATTTCTAAAACCAGACACCTTTGCGATGGGGTTAAATTGAATGGTTTGCATGTTAAAACTGTAGAAAGGAGAAGTTCCACCTAACTCTGATAGCGGCTGTTTGAGTCGTGAACGTCAGATGCCGCTGTAGAGGGTAATGTGTTAGCTAGCCGTGCTAGCTCGTAGCTAATTTCGTTTCCAGAATTCCCCGAGAGCAAGACATGCATTCAGCGAGGCAGTGACATTGGTAGGTCAAAGTCTTGTTTATAGTATAGCACATATGCAAAACAAATGTGCACTTACGATGCTAATTTGCACAGAATAAATGAATGTGCGTAAAATTAAACGGTGTGATGCGTTTTCTTGCGCGACCTACATTCGCTTTCTGTTTTTGTGGTTCTAACTACATTATTTGTATCAGTTATGGTCTCGTTGCAAATACAGTATAGATAAAACATTTGCATCATAAACCCGAATGACCCCAATCCCAACCCTTGTTGCGTAGAAAATAGACAGGCTTTGATAGGCGTAACACCAGATTCTGTGACATTGTGAGGACCTCAAACATGCATTCAAAGATTTGAAACCCGGCAAACGTTTAAGTTGCTCCCTGTCGTCTTTACTTTTTGCAACCACTGACCCAAACTAACACAAACTATCCTCCTTGATCATTTTTATAACACCTTTTACATCTAATAGTGTTGTCAACATAGTTGGCTTACTGTTTTTATAGAAATATTTGAGGGCAATTTAAGTAAACAGTGTATGAATACACAAGACTGACCTAGAATTTTAGAATATTTATGTGTTGGCCATGCAATTGAAAATCCTATCTTAGAAATATAAAGGTAAAATCAGAGTATATTTGCTTTAGCAAGAAATCCATCTTTATTTAGGAAAGAGATGGGCATTTTTGCTTTCTTTAAAAGGAGTTTTAAATAAATCTCTCTCTATTTGAAAGTGCATTACCCTGTGCAGAGAAGGATACCCTCCTCTGTTTCCAGCAGTTTCTACTCCAGTTGTAAACATGCTCTCCACTTCCTTTCCCCCCCTCCCCCCTCTCTTATCAGCAGGCTGGCGGTGAGAACTCACAGGCCCAACCCACACACCTGCCAACCAGCCCGCGTGGCCTCTGCTTACCTGCCTCGCAGGTAGGTTGTCAGCGAGCGGAGGGTGGGCGGGGTCACGCGCGAGGACAGGAGGAATGCCTGTGGAGGGCGGGAGCAGCGGCGGCCCCGCTTCGGCCGCGCGCCACCCCAAGCAGAAGCGCAAGGCTCACAGTTTGTCCATCCGGCGCACAAACAGCACCGAGGAGCGGCCACCGGGCATCCTGAGAGGAGACATGCTGGAGGGACAGGTTAGCACTCGTATCCCTATAGTTGTATGTCTGTCTATCCTATACTAAACAGAATATACTCTTTCCTGTTTGGGAATACGTGTAAATACAGGTTTTTAGAGACATTGAAGTTAGACATTGTGGTTCAAAGTACGACTGCTGATTAATTTGAATGAAATATGATGGTCGTTCACCCTGGCCTCAAAGCAACAGGGTTCCTTGTTCACATCCCCGGGGGACCAGAAGTCTTTCTCTGCGGAATTCTCCCTGTGTCTGCGTGAGTTCCCTCTGGATACTTCGGCTGCCTCCCACTCTCCAAAAATATAAACAAAACATGCAAGTTAGGTTAATTGGACACTCTAAATAGCCCTAAAGAGTTATTGTGTGTATGCGTGTGGTTGTTTGTCTCTGTGTGGCCCTGTGATGGAATGGTGACCAGTCCGGTGTGCGCCTCTCACCCGTTGTCATAGGCTCCAGCCCACCCCCTCCCTTCCCATGACCCCTCTGGTAATAAAAAATGGATGGATGGATGATGGTCAATCTGCTATGAACCTCTTTTGTCAGCCATAACAGCACAGAGCCAGCCGGTTCGACAGCATTGCTTTAATTTTCTGCCTGGTTATGCAACATCCAGCACTCTTTTCAGCAATCTGTTTATGAGATGGAGTTTCAGCCCCCCCCCCCCAGAGAATTGGCCCTGTTTTTTCTATGTTGCTGAGGGATCTCAGTCAGGAAGACAGTGGTACTAGCTGAAGTATCGGTCTGTGTTCTCTCTCATTTAGATGGGGACATTCACTCGGGTTAACCTTTGATTGAAAATAAAGGAATTCTCACATCCCTCTGCCGCCACAGAGTTGGTGATTAACTTGCACTAAACTAGGTTATCTGTGTTCCGGCTACAATCGATTAACAGATTTCCATACTGGGAGGACTGTGAGCTTATTCTTGTTACGGTGACTTTGCGCTTCCCGGCTGCTGAGATAATAAAGAGCGTCTCTGTTTGATCAGGAGCCGTTGACTTTTGGGGAGTTGGCTGCAGGGTGAGCCTGTTTTGAGCCATCTTACAACTCAGATAAGAGGCTCGTGAGTGTTTTAGATGGTATCTTCCTGTTTATTCTGCTGGCAAGAGATCATAACCGGTGTGCAAAGATTGACGGCGGTTATCTGCCACGCTGCATTGTTATCGTTTTCATTGAGGACAGAAATATGTTTCTTTCGCTTCTACTCTCTCTGCTCGACCTTGAACGATCACGCACTAAAACGCGGAGCTCAACTTGCACCAACGGGTTGTCTCATCAAGTTTTAATGTGGGCTGCTTGTCCAGGTCTGATTAGTCTTTTCAACAGTCCTTTTTGTCCATCGCCAACACACGCCGGCTCTGTTTATGTAGTGCGTCTAAACCCCTCCCCGGAGCCCGAGTTCCACATACACAGACAGCTTTATGAGCCCATATAGAACAGAGCGCATTTTATCCGGCCCTTTAAAAGCTTTCCTTAATGAGCAGAGCTTGCCACCGGTTTAAAGGCCCTAACTAAGGAGCTTTGAATTCATAAGGCCCGCCTGTTATTTCCTAATTGACCCACTTATTTTCTTTCTTTCTTTCTTTCTGTCTTTTTTTTTTTTTCGTGGCGCGGCTGTTGACATATGCTGCCCGCTGAACGGTCGGACCACCAACGTCGTCGTGTTAAACTGTTCGAATACGCGTCCCAGAAAAGACAAAAAAAAACAACAAAATACAGCGTTCCATTCTCCGGAGTTTGGTTCGGTTGGGTGGCAGAGCGGCACCTCTAATGACACAGCTGTCAGATTTGTTTCCATGGAGCCTCCCGGGCTGTTAGGCCGGCGGAGGCTGCTGGTCGGTTGATAACGGGGGAACCGGTTGGGGGTTCACCATGGAGGTGAGGATTGTTTGCAGGTTGCAGTCGAATGGCTGGAAATGTAATTGCTGTTGTGTCAGCTGGTTTGTGAGCTCAGTCTGTTTTACAGCAGATTAACATTTTGCCAAAGTTGTGTGTGTACTTTTGTTTTTTTCCTCAGTCCGGCATGCTCCCGTTGGCCAATCTAAAACTGTGTTATTTGAACATATTAAGAACAAAAATGGAAGTAAAATGCAATGATATTTAATCTCTTGCTCACTGTGTGACGTCTGTTTTTTCTGTCCAGGACTCCAAGCTGCCCATTGCATTGCGGACCAATCTCCTGGACCTGTTCGGCCAGATCGAGCGGGAGTTTGAAAATCTCTACATTGAAAACCTTGAGTGTGAGTAAAAAAAAGTAAGATAAAGAAAAAGCCACACGGGGAGCAGTCGATGGCTGATGGTGTGTCGCTGTGCTAACCCTGCAGTGCGCCGGGAGATCGATTCTCTGAACGAGCGTCTAACCGGTGATGGACAGGTGGTCGAAGGAGGAGATCCCACCAAGGGAGCCCTGAAAGCAAAAGGTTCAGTTTTTCCTCCACAGTCCCTTCCTTGTTCTTTATTCTAAAGTCTCTGGTGCCTCTCGGTGTGTTTTACAGACTTCTTTGGCAGCCAGAGGGGATTATCACACACAAATTTAGTTTAGCAGCTGGTACAGCTCTGAATATTTACAAGGGGCCGATGAAGTTTAAAAGATCTTTTGTAATTTTCTTGTTTTGTCTCTATTGAATGATATTTGCAGGGTAAATAGATATTTCCATGATTAAAAGTTTGTTAAATCAACCAGAGTGGCGTTTCATATGAGATAGATAAATCAGATAATAGAAGCAACAATAACGGGGATAACCAAGAAAAAACCGGTTGGAAATAGATTGAAATAAAAAATAACAAGTTTATTTTCAAAGTAAAATAGTAATAATATATATATGTATATATATATTATTTTTTGTAATAAATTAATTGCAGCCCTTCTCGTAGATATGGTGTTCTGTAAAAACTAAGCACAACTAAGCATGTATCTGTGTAAGAAATGTACAGTCCCAGTTCTAAAAAGTTGGGACTTTGGGTGTAACATAAAGAAAAACTAAGTTTCTATGATTTACAACACTAATAAACCAGATTTATTTGTTTGATTTTGACAATATTAAACATTGATTGAGAAACATCCGCCCCTCTTGAAATTCAATTGCAGCAACATGCCTCAAACAAAGTAGGAGCAAAAGTAAGTTATAACAGCATTATTAGAAAGAATCGGGTGGAGAAATATTTTGCATTTAGATGCATTTAGATTAAATGTTAATGACATCATTTGAGATAAAAAGGGCACCTTAGGGAGGCAGAGTCTCTTGACCTGCTTAGAACTGTGTGTAGAAATTGTCGATCAGTTTTTGACTCATCCTCGTCAATGTAAAATTGGAAGATGTGCTCTGTATTTAGAAGATGATGCTAAACCACAGGCTGCACACATTTCGCAAAACTTCTCCACATGCTTCCTTCGTTCTTTTTGGAAAAACAGTTTGATTTTGAGATTTGCAAATAATCTTATTTAGTTGCTTTTTGGTCTTGATTTATTCTTTACATATAGATGGGGGCAAAACTTTGTTACAATTTAATTGCTTCCAATAGGGCAGTTTAAGCATTTTCAAGAGACCAACAGTTAACTGGACCCTGGACTCTAGACTCCAAAAGAGCAGCATATTTATAAAATGGCCTCCGGTCGTGTAGCTGTGTTGAATTCTAGTGTACTAAAAAAGTTCTGGTTTCTGCTTTAATTCTTGTGCTGCCAACCTGTCTTTCCTTTCACTTTAGCATTTGATCGTCTCAATTCCTAGACTTTAAAGATCCGTGGTTGCTGATAACCAGAAATGTTGTTTTTTTTTGTCCTAGAGGTTTTGTGCAGCGTTGAAAGCAACCGCAGAAATAGTGAATTTGCCATTTGTCTCTGTCACACAGCCAGCCACAGCACCAGCCAGCTGTCACAGAAGCTGAAGACCACCTACAAAGCCTCAACCAGCAAGGTACTTCCTTATCCCATCAGGCTCAGAGGAGCCTTCTCGTGTGTGTGAATGTGAGAGGTGTGTGGGCTTCTGAAAAAGGGGAAAAATTAATTTGCGATCTTAAAAAACATAACAGTGTAATCCAAGGGGCAAATGAAGTGCCATGTGACTGTGAGCGTTCACCACAAAATGACGTCTTCCTCTTGAATCCTTTGCCGAGGCAGCGCTCGCACACTTTCCAGGACAAATTAGGTGGAGCTCGCAACTTCGGCGTGGCCACGTGGGAGTTGTGGGGCGGAGATTCATGGGTAACGTCCTGAATGCTCTGTTTGTCTCTAAGCATCGTCGGGGTCCTGCTGCGGGGGCTAAACCTCTTCCTAACCGCGGTCTCACCTTGACTCCTGGTCTCGTCTTCTCTCTGCACCCATGCGTGAAAGGAGGAGGGAGAGAGGGAGAAAAAGGATATAATAAGGCTGTGGAAAAATCGTGAAAACAAAATTTTGGTTACTTGATTCCACCTTTTACCAACCTTTTTACAATTCATTCGGCTGGCAATGTGGTCCCCAAATATACCTTCGGTTTTAGGTATACGCAGAGGAGAGCAGGCTCATGTTTGCATTGACCCTTACACCTTGTTCGTTTAGCTGCTTAGCTGAGTGACAAGACTTTGAATGAGAGGAAACGACAAGGTAAAAATCCACTATCTGGCTGCTGTTAAGCAGGAGGTCCTGTGCCAGGCTTTTTCTGTGCCGGCCGGTCATGTGATTTTTACGTAACAGAAGTAAGCACATCCCATTTAAAATCCAACTTCTATATTTTACTATTAGAGGTTTCCCCCCTGGAACGACTGACTTTGTCATGATGAGCAAATTGACATTCCTTAAAAAGAACTTTGCATATTTCTCGTTAAACTGGAACTCATCCTTTCAAATTGTGCATCATATCTTTGTCACTCAAAGGCTCTACCTTTTTAAAAACAATTCTATAGGTGTTACATATCTCCTTAGATCTTATTTCCAAGAAAGTTCCACATGTCAGAGGGTCAAATAGTTTATTTTTTCTAAGAAAACACAGATAATTTGGGAACCAAGTATGCCCATGGCTTTTTTTAAGGATTTATATCAGATTTAAATAACACGGATTGAAGAATAATCTACTAATCTTTTCATTAATAAGAAATAGGCTAGTATATGACTCTCCCCCTACCCATAAAGATGTTTAAAAAAAACACATCTTTAACTAAAGATATCAATATTTAGAACCTTTAGTTGCATGTAAATCTAACACTAGACAGTTTTATTTTTTTAAGAATCTGGAGTTTGTCTCTACACCATGCTAAATTAACCTCCCAGCTTAAGCTAACCTCCCACTTCAAGTGTTATGTGGATTTTTATATGCATAAAATTATGCATATTTATTGCATACCCACAATGACTAACTATGTCTTCTTACATTATGATTCGTGAAATGTTGCTTTTCAACATTTATTGGTTATCTTGAAACACCCTCTTATTCTGAAGCCTCCTTAAAACGTACTTAGCATTAGCAAATAAGCTATCTGGATGCAAACACAGCCCAATTCTGCTTTCAGAGCATTAGAAGAGGACACACAGGATCAAGGGTGGACCATGTGTATTAACCTCTTGACAGCTGCCAACTAGTGCCCGGCTAACCTACCAGCTAGCTAAAGCTGAGAAACAGGCTAATGCCATTAAGACCGATGAGCACTGGCTGTGGTCAGCGTGCTCTGGATGGGCCACTTTTCCCTATTGTCAGCACAAAGACCGCTGGACGCTTTTGATGCAGACGCCCTGTGGCTGTACCTCATAACCAGCACTGATCTGAACTGAGCGCTGTGGTCATCCGGTCAGCTTGTGGCAGCATGCGCAGTGCGGCGCAGGCTGTGTGAGACAAACAACCCCGCTTCACTCTTAATTTTGGCCGCGTGGAAGCCGACAGAACCAGAGGCCACAAGGTATTTTTTTTAGAGGGCCCGGCCGCAGACCGAAGCTTGACCGAGCATGTGGGCAGGGCTTTTTTGCTCCGGCAACATGCAGTTTGGTGCGGCGTGACATGCCAAACACCTGGTTTACTTGTGAACCGAGTGCTTGTGCACACTTTGCTGGAATGGGTTTATACATTTTGGAGCCTGTGTCATAAAACCGGTAGTTTCACTTGGGTTTCAATGGGTTTACGGTTCATGTTGTACACATGTAAAATATTATATGACAATTGGTAGACTAATGTGCCACGTTATTTGCAATCCAAAGGCTATCAACAAATGTCAGACTTACTCTAGTTCAGGGCTTTGGACAAAGTTTAGCACTCTGTTGGGAACTATAAAAAATAAATCCTTTAATGAATGAGTTTGGACAGGGCCATGGTCACCACTGCGTAGCTTCCCATCTTTTAGATTTCTTAGTCTGGAAACATCTGGGAACTGAGGAGGTTGTCTGACTCCTGTCTGATGGGGAATCCTGACTGCTGAACTGTCCTGGACCTTCTTTGTTTTATTTGATCCTAACACAGTTTAATCGAGCAGGTCGAGCGTATCTGGATTCTTCTTCTTATGAAGTATGCGCTTTGACATTTTCTTGCAAAATAATGCGGGGCTTCTTTTGAAAAATCCATCTGGATGGGAGTACGGGTTGATCAGAACCTTCCACGTATCTTTCAGCATTGGTGATTCCTTTCCAGATGTACAACATCTTTGTACATCTTTCCAGATTATTGCCAATCTGTTCCATTGGGCCTAAATTTCCACAAAATTTGAGATGGAGGCTTTGAAAGCGCACGCTTGTAAAATGAATTTACCCCTATTCCCATGTTTGTTTTAGATCTGATGTGGCCTAAATTTCTCCACTGTGAGATCAATAAAGCTCTTATCTTAAAGAGTGCAGATTATGGATGTTGTCCACGTTTGGTTATCACAATTTTATGTTTAGGAACATCAGTTTGACATTTTTTCGCAATTTGTTGACAAGTTTTTAAATGTTTTAATTGTGCTCTTTATTTAAAAGAGTCTTTGTCCCTCAGAGGTGCTCTTTATTACCCAACCATGTTATCAAAATGGTGTCAGTTTGGCTAATTAGCAACATGTCCCTCCAGATCTTATTTTTCTAGTGCTTTTTACTTGTTCCTTGTTTACTTTTATTCCAAAGTGCTGCTGGTATAATTTAACGGCGAATGTTTTAATGAAACTGTCAAATTTGTAACTTTCAAAGATTTGCATGGTCACTTTAGATCTGTTTTTGATCGGTTTATGGGATTTCCAAGTCACGGTTTTGTTTACATTCTTCGGGTTTTCTGGAATTTGCATTGCTATTTGGTAAATCGTGTTTATGTTTTTCTAAATCGTGCCAAGAAATGTGGCCGCATTGCGAAGCGCCAGATTCTTGCCATAACTTTTCAGTCGTTTCTCACTTAGTTTTTTCCTTCGAACTTGTACTTTTCTGCCGGCATCTTGCCGCCCAGAATTCCAGGCTCGTGATCGGATCTTTTTCAGCTAACATTCTGCGAAGCCGTTTAGCCGTGCTGCACAGATAGTAGCTGCTGAGTTGACCTGTCACCAATGGGGGAGATTTACCCAGTAATCTGGCTTTGTGACACAGGCCCTACATCCAATATACCGAGCTGCTTCTTACCTGTTATTCTTATCTGGCAACAAACTGTGTGATTCCTAGAAAAACATTGTGTAAATAAAAGTATTATGAGCATGTGTTTGTTTTGTTTTTTTGTGGCCAGCTCTCAGCCTAATCAGCTTTTTATGGTTATAAATATATAGCGGTTGTTAAGTATGAGTACTAATTATTAACTTGTACACATTCTTTTGTTAAATAAAAAAAACATGACTTCTCCTTTGGTTCACCTACTGCTCATGTAAACAGTTTTAATTTAGTAAATGCAGCCAGGGCTTTTCGTTCCTTTCTTCCTTCCTTTTCGGCTCCCTCACACCCGCCTCCGTCTTTTCCCACCTGCAGATCGTGTCCAGCTTCAAAGCCACCGCCGGCTCCCGGGCTCTGTGTCAGCTCCTCCGGGAGTATGTGGGCCACCGGGACGGGATCTGGGACCTCAGCGTCACGCGGACGCAGCCGGTGGTGCTCGGCACCGCCTCTGCCGGTAGGTCCAAACCCTTCCGCGGACCGTCGCCAAGAAAATAAGAAACAGAATCAAACCTGGAAGCAGCTGCGTTATTTACATTGCGGTTTGTTGTGGTATTGAGGCAGAACACCAGCAGAAGACAGAAGGCGCATTCACATCGTTATCTCCTCGTCTGATTAACTTTGGAGCAATTAGCAAAAAAATGAGAGCAGACTGCCGATGATGGATGGCAGCTGCTGTGTGCTGGAAGTGTTTTAGTGCTAGTGCTTGACTCGCATTTAACATTGTCGTTACTTCAGATAGATCGTTATGTATTTAAAGAAAAATCTAAACTTGTGTGAACCTGTTTCTAGATGCGTCTTACCTCATCTGATCATATTAGTCGTTCTGCGTGTCCACTCCATTATTCTCACAAATTATTGGCTGGTTACTATCAATAAAACACACAAACAAACATGACCGAACAGGACTGACCTCTGACCTCTGCTCTCTACTCGCAGACCACTCGGCTCTGTTATGGAGCATAGAAACCGGGAAATGTTTGCTGAGGTACGCTGGCCACGTCGGATCAGGTAACGAACCTCAGAACCGTTAAGTCTTTTACTTTAAACTGCCATAAGCCAAAGAACCGCTTTATGGCAAGAAGATGGTTTTGACTCTGAGCGTCTCTGTAGTTTATTTGAAAAAGCAGTATTGGTGACATCTTATTGGACGACATGAATGTTTGATAGAACTTTAATACATCACTCTGTCTTTTCTACAGTCAACTCCATCAAATTCCACCCCACGGAGCAGATGGCCCTCACAGGTAACAGTTTGAACGGGCCGAGCGCATGTATGCAGCATCTGTGTCAACAGGTTTGATTGTACCATGCCCCCCCCCACCCCTTCCCGCCCCTCTTTGTTTTTTCTTTCCGCGCCTCATCTGTTCTTTCCTGCAGCATGTAGGGCGTGAGCGCGTTGCAAATGTGTGCGTTAACGTGGGCTTCCATGTGTCTGTTTTCATTTTTCTTCCCCTTTTCCCCTCCCGCCCCCGCCCCCACAGCCTCTGGGGACCAGACGGCTCACATCTGGCGCTACATGGTGCAGCTTCCTGCTCCTATGCCGCCACCAGATGTCAGTGTGAGTAGCATCTTCCCCGGGCTTTCTGTCACCGGCAAAGCAAATCCTCCCGTTCCACCGAACCAAAATGAGACGTTGTGCATTCCACAGGCTCTGTGTGACGACGACCAGGACTCGTCGGACAGGGAGGAGGGCGAGGTGGACGCCGACGGCCCCTGCGAGGTGCCCACAGTCAGGGTTGCCACAGCAACCCTGAAGAGCCACCAGGGGGTAGTGATTGCAGCCGACTGGTTGGTGGGAGGCCGACAGGTGGTGACGGCTTCCTGGGACCGTGCTGCCAACCTGTATGAGGTGGAGACGTCTGAGCTGGTCCACACACTCACTGGTAACGCCATTTTTTCTTCGTCTGCGCACACACCCGAAACTCTTAACTTAAGGATAATGTTCTGCGCTCAAACTGTTGCTCTTGTCGATATTAAATACATTCGTAAGTGTCCTCTCTAGAATGAAGCTCTTTTCTCCTGGCAGTTCCTGAATGAACCATATAGGGACATCAGTTGCGTGGGTGTGCACTTGTATATATCTATATCTAGAATTGTGACTCCAAAAGGAATCTGTGGTAAAAAAAAATGTGTGGAAGATGTGATTGTGAGTCTCACATGAAATTCAGAGGTTGCTTTTACACACACAATTTTCCTAAATATATGTCTACATTTAAATACTTTCCAGCCACTTTATCAGGTACACCTGCTCACTTGCTTGTTCACTCAAAAAGCTGATCAGCCAATCACAATGCAACAACTTAATATATTTAGGCATGTAGAGGTGGTCAAGACAACTTGCTGAAGCTCAAACCGAACATCAGAACGAGGAAGAAAAGAGATTTAGATGGTTTTAGATGACAGAAACACAACAGTAACTCAAAAAACCACACATTACAGCTAAGTAATGCAGAACACCATCTCTGAACACAACAAATTGACTGCTGCACGGGCCACTCCACTACAGTTCTCACAGGCTCACCTAAATTGGACAAAAGAAGGCTGGAAAAACATTTCCTGGTTTTGATTTCAGTGCTGACCATCAGTTGTCAGGTTTAGAATTTGGCGTAGACGACATGAGAGCATGGATCCATCCTGCCTGGTCTCAACATTTCAGGCTGGGACTGGTGGTTTGGCAGTGTGAGAAATAGCTTCTTGGCTTCTTTAAGCCCTCAGTACCAGTTTAGCAGAATATTGTGGCTGACCACGTCTATCCCTTTACGACCACGTGGTACCCCAGCCTCTGATCTCTACTTCCAGCAGGATAACGCACCGTGTCTCAAAGCTAATCTCATCTCAAACTGCTTTCTTGATCACGATGATGAGTTCACTGCACTCCAGTGGAAGCCATAGTCTCCAGATCCCAATCCAACAGAGCCCTTTGGGATGCATAACGGGAAATGTGCATGACACAACTGCGGCTTTTACGTGACGCTCTCATGTCAATATGGACCAAAAACCTGAGAGTAATGTATCCTTGTTGAAAGCATGCCATGTCATTCAGAGGGAAAAAGAGGGTCCAACATTCTGTGAACAAGGTGAACCTAATAAAGTGGCCAGCGAGTGTATAATTGCCTCTGAGCTTCTCCATTCTTTACTGGATGCCGGCAGATGCTTACCAATTAGCTCTCATTGTAAATCAACAACCTCCACACTGAATGGGAGACTCACGATCCCGTTTTAAACACTTTCTTGCCACAAATTCCTTTTTTTTCTTCAGGGTGAAAAACATATCCAAAACATTTTGAAGAATTAGCGACACAACCAGCTTATTCTGATTAAGAGGCGATAAACGTGAACGATACGATCTGACGGCCGTTGTAATCCGCTGGCTTTACGGTTGGAAATTTGACAACAGATGAGGGAATCGATAACGAACCAGACGGAAACGATGTGTCGTTAGTGGGGAGTTTATCATCAACGCGATCTCATCGGTTCCCAGGCGCGTGTAGCTCGTATGTTCCTGCACCGCATAATCAGACCAGAGGGGCCTGTCCTAGAAAGAGGGAATAGTGGATTAAGTATGCAACTTTAGGTTAAACTCCAATTGGTTTGTAAACTCGTGTGTTGCATCCGCATATGAGCGAATAGCGTGCCCTGTGATTGATTGGGATCATTCTCTTGTTTCTTCTATTTGATCTGAAATTTTTATGAAACATATGACTAATAATCTGCGTTTTTGTACCCCTTAATCAAGAGCTTAATATTTCTGGTTATTTGGGTCGGGAAAGAGTGTCCCTTTGGACATTGAATTAGCCGGGTTAACAACTGTCCCTCTTGCTTTGTTTGAAACCACAAAAAGGAGTAAATCCTATCCAGCAGACTGTTGTTTGTTCTGTTTATTCACTTCCTATAAGTGTTAAAAAAAACAACACAATGTTAAGTGGTGAGGTGAAAGGACTTCACTCCTTAATTGACTTATTATTTGATAATTTTATTCTAATTTGTATGGTTAAACACCTGTATGTGTGTGTGTCGTCAGGCCATGATCAGGAGCTGACTCACTGCTGTACCCACCCCACTCAGCGGTTGGTGGTCACCTCCTCCAGAGACACCACCTTTAGGCTGTGGGACTTCAGAGACCCATCCATCCACTCGGTCAACGTCTTCCAGGGACACACTGAGTGAGTCACACACACACACACAGACACACACACTGAGTGAGTCACGCACACACACACACACGTACGTTTCCCCGTTGCTCTGTTTGTACAGCTGTCGTTGCTGAGCCCCAGCCCCTGGTATTGAAGCTCATTTGTGTGTGTCTGTGTGTGTGTGTGTGTGTGTGTGTGTGTGTGAACGGGTGATTACGAGACCTCTTTCTAGGACACAGATGTGGTTAAAAGACGCAGACTTTTAATCATCTTGGTTAAATTAAGGCATCAATGATCCATTTCAGAAGGAGTTTTTGCAGTTCTTCTTTTGCCCACCGGGTGGTGCTGCAGCCTCTTCACAGGCTTGAACTCTGTCCACTTCATTCTCTCGTTCTACTGTTCCATTAATCTACAGGCCATGCTGCTCTACGGCAAATCCTCCATTTGCCGCCATTACTAAGCTCTTCTCCACACTTGGACAGTTTTGCTCCCCTTTTCTCCTCCTCACAGCTACCTTCCTCCCTCTTATCTTCCACCCCCCCCCACTCCTCTCTTCATTTATCTGTCCATTTCTGCCTTAATCCTTCACTTTTCGTAATTTAGCACTTTGCTTTGCTGTTAACACTCAATTGCAGCCTCGTTTCAGAGCGACAACTGTCAGGCCCGTCTGCATTGCTCAATGGAGGCACTCTTTAAAAAGTGTAAGAGTAGTGTGTGTGTGTGTGTGTACGTGTGTGTGTGCCACTGCTGGCTGGTTCTCTCTGGCAGCCTTTGATTGCAAGTGGGAGGATTACGTAGAGCTCATTATGTACAACCCCAACATGTCTAATTCCCGCAGATCCCACTCTAATGCTCTCCCATAGACAATCGCTGTAATGAGATTAAGCAACAATGTTTCACAGTGAACAACAGTCCTCCTCCTTTCCCCTGCTTTCCCCTCCTTCCCTCCATCGTTACGTCCTTCCCAATCCGCCTCTTTCTCCTCCCCGTCTGTGACGCCGGGGAAAAAAAGCAGAAGAGCTACCCAGAGCATCAGATGTCTGGGAATATTTCCTATGTTTCTGCCATCTCCAGAGAAAAACTGAGTCATCTCCTGTTTATTTTTTCATTTTTAAAAACCCCCAAAAAGCTTTTTAAGGAGCCATGTTCTTTCAGAGAGGCTAGGCAGGAATAGTGGATCCTTTTGGTAAGGTTTGAATGCAACTTCAGAGAGCTGAGAGGAGAAAAAATAGAGAGGAAGTCTGAATCTGAACCAAAATGTGCTGTTTTTATTTTTTACTCGAGGTATGTTATACTAGTACAAACATAGTATGTTGAGAAATTTGTAACTTCTACAGATTGTTAGTGAATAGAACTCAGCGGCTTCTCCCGCTTTGTTGGAATGTGTCTTAAAAGACTTAATTTTTCCAATTTGCTCTTTTCTGTAGGGAACACCCATCTCCTGTATCAACCCTCCAAAAACCTGCTTCAAAATATATTTAGGATTTAGTAATTCAGGACAAAAATCTAAAATCAAATATAAAATTAACATAAAAGGTCTAAAAATGATTTCTAAATAACTTGTTTGATTTTTTCCTTTCTTTTTCTTCTTCATTTTTTTGATTAGTCCTATCAAAATCATAAAAATCTTTAATGGTTTTCTTTGTCGAGGCCCATGTTGCTTTATAAAGTGCATTTCATGCAGAAAAGCCATATAAAGTGTAAATCTTAAGAGGCGTGGGCAACAGTTATCAGAAATGATTCCGCAAACCGCTGGTAAAATGAGAAATAAAAAGGGTTAAAAAAAAAAAAAAAGCAGGGTAAAAACGAGCTAAGATAGTTGTGCTTCAATGCAGCTCTTTTTTTTGGAAATCTGAACATTTTGTACCCAAACTTCTGTCTTCTTTTCTGAAAGTTACAGGTCCATTTTTAGTTTTAGAAGATAAGAACAGCCACCAGACATTTGTATTCTAAACCAAATTAACTTTTAAGATACTTTTGGTGGAGATGATCATTAGAGAGTGGTCATTTACTGTTGAACTATGTTTTTTTTTTATTTTTTATAATTTATTACAAGTCAGAATTTCATGCAAGACAAAAGGAAATGAGCTCCTGTTGGTTAAGTCTGAGTCTCTAAAGGTCACATCAACCCTCACCTGAACACACACTATCCTCCTCCCTTTCCTCCACTACTTCACAGCTGGTGAGACGCCATTTTTGTCTCTTTGATTTCCATGACGACCAGAAACTATTGGGGAAACAAGAGTGAGCGCGGTGTAACAGGCACACGCCGCCGGAGGGAACGAAAGCCTCTCATTTCCTCTGTCTTCACTGGCAGTTACAGCTAACGCTCCCTGACAGCAAACCTCAGCAGCTAAAAGTGCAGCAGCCCCCCCCCCCTCCCCCCCCCCCTCGCCGTAATTACAGTGTAATGACAACTGCGCGCAAGCGACCAAAACGGGCCGAGAGCAAACGAGAAATGACAGCAGGCTTGCTCTACAAACAGGATGCCATGTCACGTTTGTCTCCGCTGCCATCGGCGGCTCTTTTGATTTCACTTGATAGAAATGCAAGCGTGTGTGTGTCTCTGTGTGTGTGTGTGTGTGTGTGTGTGTGTGTCTGCGCACAGATTGGCATCTGGGGAATACACCAGCTCTTACCAGGTTCTCAGCGACTGTCAGGTTTACTGCAGCTCAGCAGGAATAAACAGGAACTCCGGAAACTCCCGTTATCTGTGGCCGACCGGTTTTTGTTTGCTTCTTACTTTTTAAGCTAGCATTTATTTATTCTGCGTTCGTAAAAAATCGATTAAAAAAAACTAAATAACTGTCAGAATTTCGGTCATTGCCTACTTTTTCCCTCAAGCTCTGCGTTGCTGTTGCTCGACTAGTTTTTTCTCAACTAATTATGCTGACTTTCTCCTTTAAAAAAAACAACAAAAAATAATTTGCCCTGAAGTTTCTATTTCTATTTTATTTGCTCGAGTAAACAATGTATTCTTACATGTTTTACCAACACTTTGCCAGAGTAGCTCTAATCCACCGCTAACAGCTTACAGTCCAGACACTTGTAGTTTATGAGTGCAAAGCCTATTATGATTTTGTAAATAATAACTTTGAGCTTTATTTTTTATGAATAATTAGTGGCTGCCTAGAATCTTTATTTTTTTTAGTGACGTGGAAACAGAGAAGAACAGTCAGATGTCACCATTTTAACCTGTGGGTTAAAGTTCAGGGGGCATTCAAAGGCTTTTATTTTAAGCTAAATCATCAGTTACAAAAAAAGCAAAGACATTACATGGGAAATAACACCAATTCCTAAAAAATCTGAATTAATGTTGGAGACTCTGTGGATCTAATGGAGCCAACCACTTCCATATTTTTAGGACTGCCAAGCAATAAAACCCTATTGGGAAGAGATCCACAGACGTGTAAAAAATAGATTTAACGTGAATATTCCATTCAAATGGGAAACTATGTTTTTGGGTGATATAATGTTTGAAACATGGAACTTAAAAGACAAAAAAATGCTGACCATATTTTTAGCAGTTAGTCAGAAATGCGTCAGCAGGAAATGGTTAAAAGTGGAACCTCCCACCATCGATGAATAGATCGAAATTGTAGATTTGTGTTATGGAGAAGATTTCTTTTTCCATCAAAGTTAAGAAAGAAAATTTGGACCAAATGGACTGAGTAGCCTATGTAAAAGCAATCAGATCGGATTTTACCTGAAAGCCTCAGATGGGCAATATGGACACACTGTGTCCTTAACAGACTGAGTTGATTTAAATTTGTAAATGTTATATGTGATGGAGATGTGTCTTTCTGAGTAAAAAGAGAATAAAGAAAAAGAAAAAAATAGAAGTAAGATTAAGGCTCTGACTCCAGCTTCAGAGAGGTCCTCCCAACACTGTCTGCGTCCTCTCCGGTCCTCTTTTCCCCGGTCCCCCCCCCCGACGGAGGCTTGACCTTGTCTGCGGGAGACACTGCAGAGCGTTAAGCACCACCGAACCCTCCTCCCCCTCTCCACACCATTCCAAAAACCTTTTAACCTTAATCAACCTTTTAATCAATTACCTTGTCTGATTATGCTCCCCGCGCACATCCCACCTAGCAACACCCCCCCCCCTCTCTCTCTGTCTCCGTGGTGCTCCCAGGTGGGCCGTACCCGGCCTGTTAGCACACCGGAGCTCCTCTAAAGCCTCTGCCCCTCGAACGGGGCAAAGTTTGGCCGGCTAATTAGCCGCTAACGCCACGTCGGTTCGAATTAAGAGGGGCTGGACGGTTTTATCTGGATGGGCTGGAAGCAGGAGCCGAGGATTTAATCAGCCCCATTGAGAAACGCAGTCAAAATTTTTAACCTTCTAAAAAAAAAAAAGAGAGAGAGAGACAGAGAGCGAGTGGAAACTTTAAAGGCTGCTTAAATGTGTGGCCAGGCCTCTGTGTTTAATGCTAACTTAGCGTTGATATGATGCCAGATAATGACAATTTGAATGAATTATGATATATGTTTCTAAAAGTTTGTTCAGACATATTTTGATAATTGCTTTTGTAATTCGAACCACTGGGGAGGGGGGTCACTTCTTTCTTTTTTGTTTTTTTTATAGAAAACTTTGTAATGCGTTTCTTTTTTTTCATGGAATGTGGAAATATCAGACGAGAGATAAAGGCGCGTAAGAAAAAGCCGTGTTTTTTTTTCTCTCCAGAGTAATCCTAATCACTTTCTGCCAGCTGCTCACGGCGCATCATACTAAAGAGACAAAAGCGGAAATTGGCTTTCACAGCCTCTCGACGGCTCAGACGCGTTTGAGAGTGCGAGCGCTTTCAACTCGTCACGTTGTCCTGACAACTACATCTGTGTGACAAGAGCCGCCCGAGTGAGATGGTGCCAGCGTTCATTTCCTCGAACGGGAGGGTGATACCTTGTAATGTTTTAAAAGGGAGAAAAGCCGCGTGTTATCTCTCAGATGTTGTGCCTGATGAAGGCTGTGTGGCTTCAGTCGTATTGACAATAGCACTTTGACGCCTGTGTGGATGTGTCTCAGCCCTCAGGTGTGTGTCTCGCTGTCTGTAGGAGGGAGATGCTAAAAATAAGTTTGGGCTCGCAAAACTTTTTTCCGCCGCTTTCCTCGTAAAGTGCGGAAACTTGTAGAAAAACATAAAAGTCCTGCTGCTAGAGCAGTCAACAGAGACCCGCTTTTCTGCATTTGCTCTGAAAAAATCCACTGAAACTGCATGCGAACTGGAAAGCAGTATACATACATACATACATATATATATATATATATACGGTAAAGAAAACTGAATACTATCTATCAGATATTAAATTATACCTGTGAGGCATGAGTCTCATTTTTCCCAAGGGACATCCCCCTTTTCCTTTTGGAATCTGAAATTAAAAGTGCTGATGTTCAGCCATTTGTTTGTCTTTCAGACATGCAAATATTGTTGAAAATGACCATCCACTGACTTGACATGTATGTATGTATGTATGTATGTATGTATGTATGTATGTATGTATG